GGTGCGAGAGAGACAGAGCCCCTCGGAATCAGTCTGCTGCTGGCCCTGCTGCCCGTCACCGCCGCCTGTCAGTCACTGTCGATAACACAGTGCCGCAGCCCGGCCAGGGCCCTGCAGCCCTGCAGCCCTGCAGGGCTCGGCGCGGCGGGGTAGAGCGCCTGCACTGCGGCAGATAGGCAACCCGCAACGCACTCGTGTGCTGCAGTTGCCTGATCCGGGCCGCAGGCGTTTCCGTCTCTGTGCGTGCCGTTTCTGTCTGTCTGTCTGTCTGTCTGTCTGTCTGTCTGTGTGTGTGAGGGTGCGCCGCGTGGGACTATACAACATGTGGGGCATTGTGAAGTAGACATTCTTCTGGAGCGTGCGCGCGTTTTCGACAGGGCCTCTTTCACTGGCTACAGCCGTCGCTCCGTCTCTGTCGCACTCACGGGGCTCTCCATCAAAATCCCGGACGCGTTTTGAGCTCCAGAGTCGCTGAATGGGACTCGAGCCGAACGTGTGACCCCACCAATGGATGGCTCTCCGAATGAGGAATCCATCGGTGGGGTCACACGCTCGGTTCGAGTCCCATTCAGCGACTCTGGAGCTCAAAACGCTTTTAGAGTTTTGGCCTCCGGCGCCGCCGGTCCTCTGGCCCACTGTGCAGCGCTGCGCGTGCCGCGGCACTCCCTGGAGGCGCTCCTCTGAGTCTGTCTCTGTCGCACTCACGGCGGCCCGTACCGGCCGGCGGCGGTGCGAGAGAGACAGAGCGATGGCTGGGCGGTCGGACAATAAGGTCCACTTTCTCGCGCCGCCTCGCGGCCTTTACGAGCTGCGCCGATTGCGGCACGCTCAAAAGAGGAAAAATACAAACTTAAAACCCTGAAAAATTACTAACAGATTTTTAGAAAAATTTTGTACTTCTTGAAAGTAAAAAGCGTGACTTGAGAGGCTGATTTTAATTTTTTTCGCGGTGTAGTCGAACGGCCGATGAGCTCGGAGAACGCGTTTTGTTGACACTCCACGCGGTAGCCGCCCCCGCCGCCGCGGCCACGCGCATGGCGGTCCGTTGAACCACACCGTCAAAAACACAACACAAACTTGACGGGGAATTTTTTTCGACGCCTGGCAAACGGTAGAAGTCTTCGGTGAAAAACAGGCAAAAGTTGAATTTGTGCGATCCCGAGAATCGTTTCCGTCGCTCTGTCTCTCTCGCTCCCTTAGGGGACGCCCCATGAGTGCGAGAGAGACAGAGGGATGAGAGCAGTCTGGAGTTGGCTGGAGGCGCGGGGACGTAGTACGGGCGTAGTGTAGTGGTCGGTTAGTCGGCCCGGGGGAAAGGGGGGGGGAGGTGCCGGGCGTTGGCTTGGATTGCACTAAATCGGCATGCGTCCGCACGGCTCCAACCCATTCAGCAGTGGAGCGGCGGAGCGGCGCGGACGGCTTGGAGGCACTCGGGCGTGAGGCGAGGTGAGCTGTCCTGCCGGGGAAGCCGCCCCCCTCCTCTCTCTCTCTCTCCGCGGCGGCGCGGGCCTGTGGGCGTCCACGGTCCCGTCTGGGGCGCGGCGCGCGGCGGGGGAGTACGCGGAGCGGGACGGTGCGGCGCGGGCGCGTCACGGCGGCGGCTGAGCCGCGCCGGTGTGTCTGTGTGTGTGAGTGTCTGTGTGTGTGTGTTTGCACGCCGTTCAGTCTTCCGTCGACCTGCGCGGCGCGCGCCGCGGCTTCGCGCGCAGAGAGAGCCTTCCGGCGGCCGCCGCGGACCATAAGGCCTGGCCGGCCACACACGTGTGTGCGCTCGCTGCCCGTGTGTGTGTGTGCGTTTCGGTGTGGGTGAGTGCGTGTGTGTGAGTGTGTTTGTGTGGGAGTGGCGCTGCGCGCGGTGACTGCCAAATGCGGCGTCCAGGGCGGTGCCTCGCCGGCGACGACAACGCCGTCATTGTGTTCGCCCCGAAATGGTTTTCGCATGAGCCCCCCTTTTTGCCGTCGGCGCCATCAAGTGCTCGTTAGCCGGGGAATTAATCCGAAAGCTCGGCTCGACGAGGAGCGAAGCGTAGCGGCGGAGCAGCGAGGCGGCCCACAGTGGGGCAGAAGACCGGCGGGGGCGTTTCCAAACTCTGGACGCGTTTTGAGCTCCAGAGTCGCTAAGCGGGACTCGAACCGAACGTGTGACCCCAACAATGGATTGCCCTCCGATCGAGGAATCCATCGGTGGGGTCACACGTTCGCTTCGAGTCCTGTTTATGGAGCTCTAAACGCGTCCAGTGCTTCGGCCGCCTCCACCGGCCTTCTGGCCCACTGTGCGTTGCCTCGCTCCAGCGAGACGATTCGGCCGATTGGGAATGGCAACGGCTACGTGTTCAAAGGGCAGTGTCTGCTCCACTGGAAACGGGCACCGGGGTGGCGCGCGGTGGGCTCGAGCCAAAATAGCAGCGCCAGTCGTCGCCACCACACTGCCAAAGAGTGACGAGGATGGTTAACGCGACGAGACGAGGCCGTTTGAAAGAGTGACAAAGGCGCGTCGAGTCGGCGCTGTCCGCGGCACGCCACTGCCTGCGTGATTCACGGCCCGACTCGCTTGTAATCTACACGCCGGAGATTAACCGGCCCGCCTGCATTCCCAGTGTCGTCGCTCTGTCTCCCTCGCACCCACACGGGACCCCTTACGATAGGCGACTCGAGCGCGCGGTCCTTTTAAACCCGAGCCGCGCCGCCGGGGCCGTCCGCGAAAGCCTTCTGCGGTGAGAATGCTTCCCTGTCTAAAACGGGAGCGCGGGAGCGCTTGGCGCGCTTTGCGTGGTGGTGGTGACGTCACCGCTGGCCAACCGCAGGCCTCGCTCGGCCGCGCGACACGGTCAACGCGGAAGTACGGCCTTCCCCCTCCAACACTGACCGTCGCAAAGTCGCAAACGCGATGCCGGTTTGTCGTATTCGCCAAGTGTAGTGATATCGCTACAGCTGGGCCTGTGTTGTTGTTGTTGCGTGCGAGGTCCAGCTTGGCCGTTTGCTGCTCTCGCTTCTTTCGCAGTGTAGTCCCCCGGCCGGCCGCGCGGACTTGCCGCTCAGCCGGCCGCGAGATAAGCACTGTACGCGCGCGGTGACTCATCTTCTCGCGTGCGGTCGCGCCTCCGTGTGCGTGTGTGTGTATTGTGAGTGTGTGTGAGAGTATGTGTGACGTAGTGCCGGAACCTGACACTGGCGGCGCGGTGCCGATACCTGCTGATCGCGTGTTGACGACGCGTGTTGACATGTGCGCCGCGACGCCCTCCATTGAGGAGTGGCGCGTGGCGTGTCAACCTTCCAGTGGGGCGGCGGCCGGCAGGCGGGGGGCATCGTCACCTGCTGCCTCACCTTGCCGACTGATTCCAGAGTCGTTTTCGTCGCTCGCACCATGAGTGCGAGAGAGCAATATGACCGGCTCCAGAGTCGCTAAACAGGACTCGAACCGGCCGTGTGACCCCACCAATGGATTCCTCGTTCGGAGAGCAATCCATTGGTGGGGTCACACGTTCGGTTCCAGTCCCATTTAGCGACTCTGGAGCTCAAAACGCGTCCGGGATTTTGACCGCCTCCGTGTCCTGTGGGTGTCCTGTGGGTTCCCTGTGGGCAGACGCGCTTGCACTCGCTGGACACAATGCGCGAGTCCTCCGAGTCCTGCGGCGAGGAGCCAAGGCCAAGAGTCGTTGCACACCTCGGCCTCTCCTCTTCTCTCCGTCCCCGCGAACCTCTCCCCCCGTCTCTCTCGCTCCCACCTCTGCGTCTCCTCACCTCTTTCTCTCTCTCCAATCCGTCCATCATCTGCTCGTGACGCAACACCGGCTAGCGGCTCACCACCTCACGGCTATTGCTGGACGGTCATCGCCGCTGTGGTTGAGTTGTTATTGAACAAGGCTGTGTGTGTGTCTGTGCCGATGAATGTAAATGTGAATAATCAAGTGCGGTGCTGCTGTGACGTTCGGGCCTGTCGTTCGACTTTGACATTTCTCATACCGGGCTGTTGCTTGATGCCAATCAACCCCCTCCCCCTTTCATCCCTCTGCCCGTTCGCCGCTGCCCCGCCCCTCCCCCTGCCTTGTAACCCAATTGCGATTGACAATCCACTTAATAAATACGCGAGGGGCACCAGCGCGAGGTTGAGAGCGCCATGTAGTTCCTGGATGCACTCACGAAGCTAGTCGCGCTCGCCCGGCCAGCCAGACGACCCCGTTGTCTTGGTCGGCTCGCTCCAGTGTATGTGGGCCGCGCACTACTGGTCACTGAGAGGAGCGCGCGTCCGCAGAAGTAATCAAATGGACACGGGGAGCCGCGCCGCGCGGCGGTGCTGGATCGTCTGGAACACGCGGATTGTTGCTAACTCCGCGATGGCTGGCTGCCTGGCTGGCCGGCTGAGGCAACGCGGAGCCGTTCCCAGCGGTTCCCAGGCCTTGCAGCCTTGCCGCCTTGCCGCCTTGCCGCGCAAGACCGGCCTGTGGGACTCGGGCCGCGGCTCGCAATGCTGAATAATTTCCTCCGCAGGGCTGCCGGCTGCAGCTCTGCAACGCGCCGCCATCGCCGTCGTCGCCATGCCCGCGGTGGCCGTGCCGGGGCGGCCGTGCCGGGGCGGCCGTGCCGGGGGCGGCGCGGCCCGCGGACGGCGGCTGCGAACTGCCGGTGCCGTCGACGCCGGCCGGCTCCCCGCTGCAGGCGCCCATCACGCCGCCCCCACAGTTCCGGGACATCCCGCCGCCGCCGCCCGGCTTCGAGGCCGAGGACGCCGACGACGCCGCCAGCGCCAACGCCCCGCTGCTGCAGCCCAAGCCGGCCGCCGACGCCGTGGTGCCCAGCCCGGGCTACGTGCGGCGCTCCATCGCGGCCTTCAACGCGGGCATCACGGCCGTGGAGGACCTGGTTCGCCACCCGCCGTCGCCGCTGCCCGTCGTCCTGGTGGACGGCCAGCACGGCGAGGAGGGCCACCAAGGCCAGCCGGGCTGCAGGGCCACGTGGCCCATCGACGACCGCGGCTTCGCCGTCGACCAGTTCGGCTTCATCAAGTTCGACGCGCGGCGCGTCGTGTGCCCGGGGACGCCGTCGCCGCGACTGTCGCCCTCCAGGTCGCTGTCGGTCAAGTGCGCGTCGCCCGTGCCCGTCGTGTCCGTGACGCCCGTGGACGGCGAGGAGATGGTGATCCCGGCGGACTTCCAGGAGGGCGTGGTGGTGGTGCAGGATTCGCCGGGCACGCCGGGCCGCTTCCTGGCGCCCACGGACGAAATCAGCTACGTGCTGCCGTCGCCCAAGCGACGCCGCCGGCCGTCCAGCGCGCCGCCCGTGCCCGTGTCGCCCGCCGCCGAGGACGACGACGAGGACGTGGCGCGCACCGTGCGCCTGGCCATGCGCCGGCCCTCGGACCTCGGCATCATCCCCATCAGCCCGCCGGGCACCGTGGGCTCCAGCCCGGGCGACGGCGACGCGGACCACAGCGACGGCATGGACGAGCGCTTCAACAACCTCCGCAACGAACTGGTGGAGGTGCTGCAGCGCTCCATCGACAGCGTGAAGACGCCCCACGGCTCGCTCGGCACGCCCACGCCACTGCAGACGCCTCAAGAGAAGCCTCCCCCCGCCGTGCCGCCCCCCGCCGCGCCCCCCGCCATGCCGCCCGGGGAGCCGGAGGCCGTGAGGAGGACGTTGAACGTCCCCGAGGCCAGCCCCCGGGACTGGACGCCCTCCCCGATGACGCCCCAGGCGCCCCGGGGGCTCAAGAGCCTGCTGCTGCAGTGTGCCTGCGCCCCCAACCTGTCGCTGCGCAGGAAGAGCCAGCCGCAGCAGAAGCCCGCCGCCACCTGGTATGTCAAGGTAAATCAAAAACCGCCACAACAACACAAAGCCATGTCTGAAACACGTATCCAGGGTTGAAATAACTTGTTTTGTCCAGAAAGTGCAGCGGGCCAGGCCCGCCCTGCCCGTAATGGTTTCCCTCTTTCCAGAGCCACGCGCGGCGCAGCAGCGCACTGCTCCGATGCGGCGCCGGTAATCCGAGTCTGTGCAGCAGCGTCGCTTTTGTGTGACAGTGTCGTTTTGTCCAGTGTGTCTGCTTGTTTTTCGATGAGCTCGCTATGTCGGTGGTGGCGCTGTTGTTGTCCTATGTTCCTGTTCCTTCTGTGTGTTTGTCTGCATTGCTTCTGTTGCTTTTCGATGCGTCTCGGGGCCCTCATGTCTAACGGCTGTCGTTTCTTTTTCTGTTTGCAGGTTAGTATCTACCGCAGCCTCTGCCCTTGGACCTGTTGGGACGTATGTATGGAGGATGCATGTGTGAAGGGAATCGCGGGCCAATTAAAAGATTCGTCCCACTATGAAGTAAAGAAGTGCGTGCATGCATGCATGTAGTTAACCCTTATCCTAGTCGCCGCAAAAAAAGGAACAAAATTCGCTAAAATCATTTTACCGTGGCTGATTTTTGCCGCGTCCCTGCCGCGGCTGCCACGCTTTCGCCACGTCGAAGCCAGCCTCCGCGAGGCTCCAGATTTAGCCGCCCCCCACCCCGTTTTTCCGTCCTGTGAACCTCCGGTGAATTTACCAACAATCGATAATGTTTACAAGGCGTGTGGCATGGGCGCTCGTGGCGCGGGGCGGCGCGGGGTCGAAGGGTAGGCCGCCTAGGCCGGGGGGGGGGGGGGGGGACACATCTCCGATTCGGTATAAATAGACGACCTGGAACCCACGTCGGCCGATTTTCCGCTTGAACCGCGCGAACGCGACACGCTCACGTAAGACGCCTGCTGGCCCAGGACAGTCACTTTTTGGCACAAACAAGCATGCGTAGATTAAATTAACACTGCCCGAAGCGTCGTGACTGTCGGCGCCCTTTGGGTGGTTTTTACTTTCGGTTTGCCGATCGGACTAACCCTGCTTCCGGTTGCAGCCCACCTGGAGACTGTGGGGCGAGGAGCGAGCGGAGGGCGCCATCTACACTGTGTACCTCAAGAAGGTCCGGTACCACCGACCCACGCGCACTATCGCCTCCGTGAGTACACTACCAAAACTTCCAAATGTTTAAAAGTGTACTTGCCGCAACTGACGGGTTCCTGTCCCCCCAGGACGCCGACGATGGAATCTCTCACCTGGAGTGGGAGACGGTGCGGGTGCGCTTCGTCAAGGCGGCCACGCTCGAGAAGCTGGTCGAGAGCCTGGCGACGGACGACGGCGAGCTCGAGTCCACGTACATCAACGTCTTCCTCGCCACCTACCGCACCTTCGCCACCACCGAGACCGTCCTCAACCTGCTGCTCGACCGGTAAGAGACCGCGCGCCTCTCCGGCCGGTCCACGCCGATGCACTACACGGCGTGGGTGCGGCACGGGGCGCACTAACGTGCCAACGGCGACACCCCTGCTGCAGCAGGCCCCCGCCAAGGCCCCCGCCCCCACGCCGTCCACCCACTGACCTGCTGCCCGCGGTGCACTGCGTGTCTTGTCTCCCTTGCACGGGAGAGAAGGGTGCCTCTCTCCCTCTCATGCTTGCACTAGAGCGGTTCTCACGCCGCTGGGTTGCTGTGTAGATCAGGGGAAGCTGTGCGCTTGTAGAACGCTCGAAGAAAGTTGCAACGTTATGCTACAGTTTTACCTGCGCAGTTGTTCGAACCATGAAACGGCTTCTCTTGGTGCAGGTACGACACCCTGTCGAGCTCGGCGGACGACCAGGATGACGTCATCCTGGAGCAGCACCGCAAGACGCTGGTGCTGGCGCTGCACGTGTGGCTCGACTCGTTCCCGGAGGACTTCCGCGACCCGCCGCAGCACCCCGTCCTGCAGCAGCTCCTCATGTTCTGCAAGCAGCACCTCCCCGACTCGGAGCTGCACGTCAAAGTGCGCTTCCGGTTCGACAAGTTTCACCGCGACGACCAGATAATGGGTAAAAATGAAACACAAACAGTCCATTCAATATCGGTTTTTAATTTCATATTTTTAATGGCGGGAATTTTTTTTCGGTTCTGCAGACCCTTGCCATCTGTTCGCGGGGGACTCGATGTGCCTGTCGAACAACAAAAACACTGCTCTAGTCAACGGCGGCCTGGCTCCGAGGCTGCCGTACAACTTCCCCGACGTCCCCGAGGCCCACTTCGCGGAGCAGCTCACGCGCATGGACATGGTGAGGGCAGGGCCGTTCTGGCTGTGGCCAGGAGGGGGGGGGAGGAGCCCCTGCGAAGCGCAGCGTAGGCCGTACAGGAGGACACGGCTGTTCGGCGGGCCTGCCTACCCTACCGTTCGCAGGGGCCCCTCCGCCCGAAAGTAAACAACCAGCAAAAACAAAAACCTTTCTGGACCCGACACTGCACTAGAAACAACAACAACATCGCTCGCTTCCCTCCCCAGGAGCTGTTCCGCAAGCTGGTGCCCCACCAGTGCCTGGGCGCGGTGTGGTCGCGGCGGGACAAGAGTCGCAGCCAGGAGGCCGCCACCGTCCTGGCCACCGTGAACCAGTTCAACGCCGTGTCCTTCCGCGTCATCAGCACCGTGCTCACCGACTCCGACCTCAAGCCCGGCGAGAGGGGCAAGATCATCGCCACCTGGATCGACATAGCTCAGGTGGGACTACCTAAAGGGCCAGCCCTCAATGACTCAAGGATTAAAAAATAACGTAATGTGCAAGTTTTTATGGGATTCTCTTATTTTTATTTTCAGGAGTTGCGATTCCTCAAAAACTTTTCCTCTCTCAAAGCAATTATTTCTGGACTCCAGTCTAATCCTGTATATCGATTACAACGAACATGGCAGACAATTAACAAAGAAAAGGTAAGGAAGGGAGATTGCCATTGTCGTACATTGTCTCTCACCCACTGTTGGCCGCTGTTGCAGTAATTTTTTTGGTTTGCTGCTCCACCCCAGGTTGCTGTTTATGAAGAGTTGGCTCGGATTTTTAGCGAAGAGAACAACCAATGGGCTCAAAGGGAGCTCCTGATGCGAGAGGGGACGGCCAAATTCGCGGACACAGTGGGCGAGCACGACAAGCAGCTACAGAAAGTCTTTCAAAAACAGCAAAATAATAGTGGGGTGAGACTCATTGATGCAACAAGATGTGAATTGATTTTCCGTACGTTGTGCACTGGGTTGTCTATTTTATTTTAATATTGTTACAGAATATAAGTCACGGCACCATACCTTACTTGGGCACGTTTTTAACTGACCTGACAATGATAGACACTGCCATCCCAGACATGGTCGGAGAGGGAATGATTAACTTTGACAAGCGTCGGAAGGAATTCGAAGTGTTGGCACAGGTAGTGCATCAGAGTCCATTCTAAACTATGCTATGATCTGGTTTTCTATTTAACTCAATTTTATTTTATTTCTTTCTTGCAGATCAAGCTTCTTCAAGGGGCTGCGAACGCCTACAATATTCCCCACGACCCTCTGTTTGACCGCTGGTTCGACTCGGTGCTGGTCCTGGACGATCGTGAGGCGTATCACCTGTCCTGCCAGATCGAACCGTCCACCAACAACGGCAACGCCGCCTCCAGCCAAGGCACTGCGTCCAGAGACGTGCGCCACAAGAGGAAACCTGGGTGAGTGCTCCAGCTGCTCCAGCTGCTTCAGCCCCTAGTTCGAACAAGTCAGTGCCGGATCCAGAGCCGGGGAGCCGAGAGGGACAAAGCAGCACTTTTTGCCTACTTACAGGGGCAACGTGTGGCTTTTCGTCTTCCTCTCAGGCGGCTTTCTAGTGTCCATGGGAGGGTCAGTTATCCGTTTGCCCGCCACTGGATCCGCGCCTGAAACAAGTTGTGTCTAACTGGATGCTAACATCTGGGTGTGTCCTCTTCAGGCTCGGACACCGCAAGAATGACTCCATAGCCAGCACGTCCAGTAGTTCTAGCAGCCAATTCTACTGTGACTTAGACAGCGTGCCCTCTTCGCCACACGACTCATTAGACCGCAAGGTGAGTCTGAAGTCAAAACTTGAAAAAGAAAAATAAGGAGAACGAACTTTGGTCGGTACATGACCCTGCTCCTGCACTGGCTCCACAGGCGTCGCCATCGCAGATGTCGTCTTCCTCCAGCAGCTCTTCACTGCGTTCCTTGGATGTGTCAGTCAGCAGCAGCAACCACAGCAACAACCAGACGAGTCGCTCGCACCACCCCCACCCCCCGCACCTGAACGCACAGCTCAACCTGTCGGCCCCCCTGGACACCCCGATGGACTTCTACATCATTAGGGTGACGGTGGAGCCTGAGGGGCCAGAGACGGAAGGTAATTCTTTAGGAACCTCCTGAGTTTAGTGCACAACTCCGTTCTCTTTGTAGAGATGTTTATTTATAGTATTTTATTTATATTTTTCTTTTTTTTAACGTTGTCTTAAATCTTGTTTTGGTTTGCAGGAGTCATCATGTACAAAAGCATTATGCTCAGCAACAATGAGAGAACTCCTCAGGTTATTAGGAATGCCATGCTTAAACTGGGAATTGAGGGTAACCCAGATAGCTACAGTTTATCCCAAATATTGCCAGACAAAGGTATAGTATAACTCTGTTTTTTTAATATTTTTCCTTGTCTACTATCAATTTTTGGATTGCTTTTATTTGTTTTTGTTTTCATTACAGAAATGCTTCTTCCTCCAAATGCAAATGTTTATTATGCAGTAAATACACAATTCAATCTTAACTTCATTCTCCGCAACAAGAAGATGAAGAAGGAACCTGCTCCAGTGCCACCATGCAGAACAAAATCTTCCAAAAAGCTGCTCCCAGGGACATGATGAGCATCTGTTTAGATAGTTCTGTTAATTGAGTGTTAGTAAAGTTCCCTGGTGGAACGTAAAGTCACATTAAAAATAGAGTGATAGTAAATGTACTATGTCCCCCCCCTTTCACTATTTATACAGCAATGACAACATAGTGCCAAGAGATTTAAGTTTAAGAAAAGGATATGACTGTAGTTTTCAAGAAAAGTATTCAAAGTAATGTTACCAGTACCTGTGTAGTTTTGGTATTAACTTAAATAAGTTTGATTTGAAAAATTGCCGAATGAATTGAATTGCTGGTTGCCAAAAGTTGTGTTTAAATGCAGGAAAACAGATCCAGCTATCTCTTTTCTGCTGAGAAAATGGCAAAAATGTGTTTTTATAAAGCTGATCACTGTGGATAAACTCAAGTATAATATGCTATCTCTGGAGCGCTGCAGCACTTTCTCAGGCTTGTTTCCTGAGTGTAACCTAGTCACGTCATAACATTTATTTTTATTCCCCCCTTTTAAAAAGTGCAATGTTGTAGTTTAAGCTTTAGACTAAGACAAAGACTAAAACTATTTGTTCTGTGAACGTGGTGGGCCATCATGGACTTCATAATAATTTATAAGCAAGGAATCTTTGAAATGTTAAACAAAGGCTCTTCAAAATAAAAATAAAGTATGGGTGATGGCACTGATGTCAAACAAACCACTACAAGAAATTTATGTGATAATTTCTTCCTTGAAGATATGTTGACCATTTTGTTATCATTTAAATGACAAAAGAATTTCTAGGCACTAATGTTGATCCTTCATATAATAAAGTGTATTATTTTGATAGGTAGGTCTTATTGAAGGAGTTTTCTTTTTTTAATTTAATGTTTATTGTTATCATGTTTTGTTTATAATTCTGTTGGAAGGCTAAAAGTCTTATTGTTTTGTTACTTATGTTGCAATTTAGTGTAAGCCTAAAACTTGTTACAATATGTAAAAGTGAATGATCTGCTCTTACTTTGTATGGTTACTATCTATTTTTAATTATAAATATCATTGTAATGTGTATCTCTCATTCCTCATCTGTCTCTCACAAATAAACTCCAATGGAAAAGAAAACCCTGATGTTGTTGTTGTTTTCTTTTTCAAACATACTTGTGGTGAAAGGAGGTCATGACATGATTAAAATATTTCTTTTTTACTTCATTTTGACTTTCTTCAAAACATTTCGGACGAGACTGATCAAAGATGTCTATCACATCAAGCACCATAGGAGGGATTAAAGCTCTAAGACACTTTTAAACTTGCCTCTCACAGGGAAGTCACCGTGCTAGCCTCGGTCAGACCGAATATAACCGAAACTGAGGGGCAAACTCGAAAACTTGCAATCAGCAGGTGGGGGTTGGTTAATGGACGTACTGCAGTCATGGCATTACCATAGGCCTATGGCATCACCTTTCCCCGATGATGTCCTAATCCACCCTCACCGGAATCAACCGGTAGATTTCTTTTAAAACGAAAGTACCGAGCGTAGGTTAGTTGCAAGAGAGAAGAACAAAAACTGGGGAGGGGAGGGGAGAAGGGGGCTGTAGCGGTGGTGGTGGTAGTCTTCTGCTTCTACTGCTTCTGCTGCTGCTCCCATGACAGTTGACAGTTTCGTTCGGTGGTGGAGAACGAAAGAAATTGTAGTTGACATTGATCCCCACAAACTTGAGATGTGTTGAATTTAGTTAAATTTTCGTGCATATATTTAAATTAGTCCGAATGAAGCAAATTTGTGTTCAAGAAAATAATCTTAATGTATGTGCCTTGGTTACTACTTTGTACATTATGTTTACCTTTAGAGGTTATGTGACTTAGATCCTTGTTTTTCAGATGTACTCTTATTGTATTAACTATTTCATGAACCATCAAGAGTCACAAAAAATAATCGTATGATAACAATTTTTTTGCAGGTAGAAGTCTTCCCTTGAGAAAATGCCTCAGTATGATGTGATCAGTGGCTCAAGTGGGAAGCCATCAAAAAGCAAAAGAATCGGTTCCTTTCCACGGGCTTCTGCAGACTCAGAATCTTCTGCATTTGGGGGTAGATTGAAATATGACTTTGACTGTGATTCCACCATGCCCCCAATGCTACGGTTAGTGTGGTATTTCTGATCTAGTCTGATAGATGGTTGTCTTTCATATTGTTGACGAAGAGTTTCTGTTTTCAGTGCCCGGTTACGAGAATTGTTTTCACAGATTGAAAGAGAATTTGAGTCATTATACACTGAGAACGCGCAATGTAAGCAAAAATTCAATACTTTTGGTTTGGCTTCTTTAGAGTAGAAACATCTTTCCATCCCTCTCTTTTGCCTTGTTTGTTTCTTTAGTGCAAGAAAAAGTGGACAGCTTGAATGAAAGGCTAGAAAGGGAAGCAGTATCTTATGAGAAGCCTGGGGTGGACTGTCCAGACTTCGACCACATCACAAAATCAGCCTCCAAACTGAAAAGTAAGATGAAGTAAAATGAAGTCAGGTTTTGTTTTGTCAACATTTTAATCTCATTCCCTTTGTATTAATGAAAACTGTGTTTCATTCTCTGACTTACCTTGTCAGGTATTGGTTCATCTCAGAAACTAAAAACAGCTCACAAGCTGAAAGCTCAGACAAGCAAGATTGTATCCAGTTTCAAGGGACCCACAATAGGCTGCTCGTTAGTCCGACAGTTCTCAGGACATCGTGATGGCGTATGGGATGTATCTGTTGCTAGGCCAGGACAACCTCTTATCGGAACTGCATCTGCAGGTACATGATCAATTACCTTCCGCCACAAATTTTAAATGTAAGAAAGTACAACCTTGGTGACTAATTTTCATATGACGACAGACCACAGCGCCTGCATATGGAGTGTGGAAAAAGGACGATGCTTACTTCAGTATTTGGGACACCAGGGTTCTGTGAACTCCATCAAATTTCACCCATCTCGAGACCTGGTTCTCACAGCCAGTGGCGATCAAACTGCCCACATTTGGCAAGCTGCAGTGACATGGGAGCATGTTGTTAGTAACTTATTCCATTTCCCATATTTTACAATTCTTAATTTTAATAGGACATATGCAGTTTATAATGTGTCATCTTTTTTCCATGTAGAAGAAACCGTCATCAATGGATGAAGATGAAGTAGGCTGTGATAAAGACGACTATGGAGCTGATGATTATGAAGCTGAGTTGATGGACGGGTCACCCTGTCTACGCACACCCGTGCGAGAGCTGGTTGGGCACACAAATGCTGTCATGGCAGCAGATTGGCTTCCTAATGCAGACCAGATAATAACAGCTTCATGGGACCGAACTGCATCCCTTTATGATGTAGAGACTGGAGAGCTCTTGCATTCCCTAACAGGTATGTGCTTTATTCCTTTGTTTTTCTATACATGTTGCAAACATGACTTGAAACTTTCTCCTATGGTACTTTCGCTGATTACAGGCCACGACCAAGAGCTTACTTATGCATCTTCGCACCACTCTCAGCGTTTAGTTGTCACCTCTTCAATTGATACCACTTTTAGGCTGTGGGACTTCAGAGAACCTATCCACTCTGTTTCTGTCTTCCAAGGGCATACTGAGTAAGTATATATATATATTGAGTGTTTGGAGTTTTTGGCTTGTTTCACAGTTTTTTTGTGTTTTTTTACTCATTAACAATAAGCTAATTTGTACATCTTGTTTTCTTTCCTTTTTTTAAAGGACTGTAACATGTGCAGTTTTCACAAGAGAGGATAAAGTTGTCTCAGGGTCTGATGATAGGAGTGTTAAAGTGTGGGACCTCAGAAATATGCGGTCACCCCTTGCTACCATTCGGTCAGATTCATCTGCTAATAAGCTAGCTGTTTCCCCTTCTGGAGTGATTGCAATTCCTTACGACAACAGACAAGTACGCCTGTTTGATCTTAATGGCAATCGTTTGGCAAGATTACCTCGTTCCAGTAGACAGGTAAGGTGTTTTTTTTCCCATTTTCTTTGGGTGTTTATTGTTTTTAATCCTTCATCTCTCTCATCTTGATTTTGTTTCTTTCAGGGCCATCGACGAATGGTGTGCTGTGTGGCATGGGGTGATGAAAAGGCAGACTACCCAACTAACTTTTATTCATGTGGTTTTGATAGATTGGTTCTTGGTTGGTCAATACAACCTTGTAAAGAAAATTAATAATAATGCTTTTAACTCTGTTTCTTTTAATATGGTCAATGTGGCTACAGGAATTACTATTGTGACTTGCTTTTATTCTATTTTATTTTTCTGCTTGTCTTCAAAGCTGCATTAGACATTCCCCATGTATTACTGCTGTTCTTATTTTGGTTTTGTTTCAAGCTTTTTTACAGTAAGGTAGAGGGAAGGGGTGTGAAATCCCATTTCGGCTTTTGCCGATTGGATCATTTTATCCTGGTTTTGTCTTCAGTTAAGTGTATCTATTCGCTTTGTGTCCCCTGCATACCGAGGTGCTTTGTGATGGCATGGAGAAGAATTCTCCGTGGTGATGGTTTCAATTATTTTCTTGATATATTTGGAAGGTTATGCTGACAAGTATAACTGCCTTTGATGCAACATAAAGGTCCCTTCTGATCAGAAAATTGAATTGTACATACATCATAGTTAAAGGTACCATTTTTAAAGTAAAATGTATGTTCATAGCAAGACTCATTCATTTTATTTCATACATTTGCATTTGGTATTTTTCCTGAGTTGAACGTTGAAATTATTCGAGACTGAAAGCTAATGTTTACATCTTTTTAAAGATACTGTCATTCATCCAAATAAACTATCAATAAAGCAACTCTTTTTTTTTTTTCAAAGGGAGTTGCAAGTCTTGCACGATTGACTGATTGCCTTCATCAAGCATTCTCTATCTGCTGTTAAGTTTGTTATTTACAACTTTAGGACATTGATAAATTTATATTGTAATAAAATTGAGCATAGTTACCGTACACTGATTTTGAGTTTGTCAAGTCAGTTTATCATAAAAGTCATCGTCATAAATTAAGGTCCTGCTTCTTGCAAGGAGGTGTTACCATAAAATGATTATTTTAATTATGTTCTCCTGTATTATTTTAGTCTTTCTAGTTTCCTCCTCTGTGATTTGGTGTGGTGCTTGCACCATTTTTTTTTTTTTTAAGAAATAAATCTTAGTCATGAACAATATTTGATGTCTTTGTTGTTTTTTCTTTGGCAAGAGGAAGAGTGCCAATAAGATGCCCTGCCAATAGTGATTCTTCCTGTCACTAGACACTCCTCCTTATTTCCAGAGCCATCACAACATGACCTTTGCCCGAACCGGCTGCTAGCTGTTGCTGTCAGCTGATTGTGATAATCCAACATTGATACTGAGCTCTGTCAGTTGACTCAGTGACTGTGCCTTTGTTCCAGTTAGACTGAAGCGTCCAGGTTTTCATTGCAGTGAGAAAAGAACTCCAAAGTCTTGGCCATAGCATTCTCTTTATTTTCGACATACTTTCTTGATAGATCTGTGAAAACAAAGGCACAATGGTTACAAGGCGAATCTTGTTACTCTCAAATTCCACTTTACATAATGGAAAATATCTGGAATGGGCGAAATCTGAAATTTTGGATTTTCTAGGAAGGTAATCCACTGAATTTAATGGTTTTGCCTTGATTGAAATTTTTACTAATGATTGGTTAAATTTTGCAGGAAGAACGTGAAACGCATTTTATTCGTTCCCTATGCATCTTCTAAACATGATGACTACACTAACACTGTGAAGAATGCTCTGGAGCCCTGGGGTTTTCAAGTAGAAGGAGTGCATGCTGTGCCTGACCCAGTACGGGCTGTAGAAAATGCAGAATCTATATTTGTAGGGGGTGGAAACACATTCTTGCTCCTGAAATCTCTTTATGAAAATGGACTAATTCCAGCAATCCAGAAGCAAGTTTTGGAGGTTAGCAACTGAGTTATGTCATTCTTCTCTGAACAAACTTAATTTGCTACAGTTTAGAAGCCCTACCAAACTCTCTTGAAATGTAATTATTACAGAATGGAATGCCTTACATAGGTTCGAGTGCTGGAACAAATGTAGCCACTACCAGTATCAACACTACGAATGATATGCCAATTGTCTACCCTCCTTCTTTTGATGCTTTGAAATTGGTTCCATTCAACATCAATCCTCACTATATTGACCCTGATGTGAACTCGACGCATATGGGTGTAAGTATTTATTTTGATTGAATTGAGGATTTTACATTTTATTTGGATTTATTGCTTGTAGAGAAGTCATAATTTTCTTTAATTTTAGGAAACAAGAGAGAAGCGAATCAGTGAGTACCACGAAATTGAAGGATCACCACCAGTGCTCGGTTTGCGTGAGGGCAGTCTACTCTTCCTGGAAGGAGAAGAGGTCGTTCTTAAAGGGTATCACAAGGCTCGTTTGTTTGTCAGGTAAGTCATAAATTTCTTTTTGTCATTCTTTTTATGTCTACTGATTCCGGTAATAATTTAAATTAATGAATCTTTCATCAGGGGCAAGGAGCCAGTGGAATATAATGTTGGATCTGACCTAAGCTTCCTCCTTTCTTCAAAGTAGAAGCTGACAGAACTTCTCAGTTACTACAGAGCCATGCTGGGTGTCAGTTTTCTATTCCTGTGTTTGTTTATGTTATCGTTGAAAAATAAATTATCGCCAAGTGGGGTCTAACTCTATGCCTTTTAATATTCTCTTTTTGTTTTGGGGCTAAAAGCCTTCATGCTCTGGAAGGTAGGCAACCACAGAGGACGACTCTAAACTCAGGGTAATACCATTTACACAACAAGCAGACTGTTGTTACACAGCGCCGAGAAGGTAGGCCACCCCTTTGGCACGTCACAGGGAAGTCGTGTCAAACAAGACATCAAAGAATTGTCACGCCTGGGAGTCGAACCCAGGTCCGTGGGTTCGTGGTCCTTCCCCGAGCGTGAGTGGCGCGGTGTTGTGAAGTTGCCGTTTCAAAAACAAGGTGAACTCGATTTTGCTGCTCTTGGCACCATAGTTCTTAGTCACATTTCTGTTTATTTTCATTTATTTAATCCTACAACAATGCATAATCATAGAAATGACTACGGACAGAAACGAATCTAGCGCTCTCTTAGACGGGGCTCATTACAGTGTTGTTTAAAGTGAATATCTAGAGAATAGACATTCACCTCAAGCAAAACTGTATTCTTCCCCGCCTAAGCTTTATCACTCCTAAGAAGTCGAAATGTTTCTTCTTAACGTGTAATTATCTTAATGTATAATGGTCATTTACAAACATGCAGTTGAAGAGTACTTCATAATTTAACCCTATGCCTCGGCAAGGGAAAGCTGTCAAACTTGAAAGACTCAAGTTAATAATAATTAAAATTGATCTTTTTTTTTCATCACAAGGAAAGGAAAATGTCTTAAGCTGCGGTAACAAAAATTTCGGTTCATTTTCTAACAAGCCCTCCGTTGTGAAACACGAAAGCTCGCTCTCACAACCAGTTGTTGATCACCAAAGAGAAAATTCGGTCACTTATCTCCAAATAAACCCAAACTTTGGATAGCACATCAAAGATCTATTTTGTGCATGGTTGGCGGTGAGGGCGTTCCAAGGGGTGAGGTTTCCGCCAATGACGTGTTGAGTATTGATCACAAAGGTCAAGAAGAAGCCCCCGGGCCTCCAGTGCGTCACCACCGCCGCGCTCTAGTTGGCCTTGGCGAAGAGGAAGACGGCGATGATGAGGCCGTACAGACCCAGCACCTCGGCGAAAATGAGGATCAGGATCATGCCCACGAAGAGTCGCGGCTGCTGGGCCGTGCCTCGGACGCCAGAGTCGCCGACGATGCCGATGGCGAAGCCTGCCGCCAGACCGGAGAAGCCGACGGCCAGGCCGGCACCCAGGTGCATGAAGCCCCTGCGAACAGAAAGGGGCAGTCAGGGACCATTCCAGGGGGTGTTTTCTTGTCTTGAGGCGCGGTTCCCAATATGCAAGAGCTGAGCTTGGCCATGGTTTTGGCCATCCGTGCTTGACCATGGGCTTGCTTGACGAAGCGGTTTTGACCATGATCCGTGGGCTTGACCATTCACGCTTGACTGGGCTCGAACATGGGCATGGGCCATTGACTGCTGGCCTCCTCCATCGCAGGTGCGGCCCCAGAGAGTAAAATTGTGCCTTTTTGACTAGGGGCAAAGCAGTGCGTTTTGCGTACCTTCCAGGCGGCCTATCCAGTACCCTCCCCCTGGAGTCTCTGGCACCACTTACTTGAACAGCGTGTAGCTGTCCCTGTCGAGGGTGGTGGCGATGAGCACCGCCACGACCAGGCCGTAGATGGCCACGATACCCGCCATGACGACGGGGATGATGCACTTCATGATCTGCTCGGGCCGCATCACGGCCATGGCCGCGATACCCGTACCGGACTTGGCCGTGCCGTACGCCGCGCCCAGGGCTGCAACACAGAGCATGAGCGGCATTAGTGGCGTGAAGCTTGTCCTTGTAGTCCTTCAAGGAGGCGACTAAAAACAATTACGAAAGAGGGCAGTCGTCAAAAATTTTTGCCCTCATTCCTTTTATCTAGAGGTGCAGGTGAAACGCCGATGAAGAGACACGAAAGAAAGGACAATGCAGACACGCCACTTTCTGGTGGACGGGACGGAGGCCTTCAGGCTTTCAGACAGTGGTGGCGTAGGTCAAGGTGAGAAAACCCAGTAAGGCTACAGGTAGGGGCTGAAAGAACTGCATTTTGCGTTCGGCTTTCTTGGAGCGAGAGAGAGAGAGCGCGCATGTGACGCGAGCTGCGATTTTCTACATCGTACGCGCGCATCACAAGATCGCGTCATGTGACGGCGGCCATCTTGGATCACGCACCGCCGCGCCGCCCCAGCGGCCGGAGCCGGGCGGTCGCCTCCCCCGCACCCGTCTCGCCGCCGACGCCAAGAAGGGGAGCGGGGCGCATCCCCCGGCCTTCGGAAAGCCTTCGGAAAGCCCTCGGGAAGCCCTTGGCCGCGTCCCGCACCCCGAGAGTCGTTCCGACCGCCACCCGGGACCACGACGTCGAGGCCGCCGCCGTCGGCGACCTCGGCGACGCGACGCACGACGGGGACCGCGACTCTGGACAACGCACGCGTGTCACGGGGAGCAGGGCACGCCGCCCGCACCGCCCCGCGGCCGCGTGACCGCCACCTGGCCGTCACCAGGCCGTCACCAGGCCGTCACCGTCACGCGCAGACGCGTCACATGCCGCGCACGTGACGTCTCGCAGTCCGGCCGCTCCCTCGCCCTCGCCGCGGGGCGGCCACCCCTGCCGACGCACGCGTGCTGGGCGCGGCACGGCCGTGCGCGACACGCGCGTGACCAGGACTCAAGGTACGACTCACCGCTGAACACGACGGCGGAGGCGGCGCCGATGACGCCGAAGAAGGGCGCGTACATCGGCTCGGTGTTGGTGGACGACATGGTGGCGGCTGTGAGGGTGCTGGTGGCGGAGTTAGAAAGGGAGATCCAGCTGACACGATCGCGCCCGTTGAACCGAACACCTCAGTTTCCTTCGTTCATGTGACGGAGGACGTGAAGATCTAGAGTGTCCCGCTGATAACGGCCAAATCGATAAGTTGGCGGCATTAAGCCAGATACAGAGATAACGAGAGGGAAGGGGGAATGCCTGCCGTGCGCCGTGCCTGCCGTGACAGTGGGCCAGTTACGCAAACGGGGGTTAATGGTTAGCCGTCGTTCCATTAACGTAATTTGGGATTGATTTCCATGTCATTGTTGCTAATGAAAACGACGTAAGGCGGAAAGGCCCAGCTGCGGACGACACTAAAATCCGCCAGACCGCGCCACCTCCATCTGTAGTGGAGGGAGGGACACAGCTCGCTGTGGTGGTGGTGGTACGTGATGTGCCTCTATGGAAATGCGAAATGACACGCTGTGGTGTTTAGTGCACTTACAAGGCCAACTTCTCCCTTTCAAATAAATGTTGTAAGTTCAGTCTCTCATTTCATTATGTACCATCGAAAGGCGGTACTATTCCGACCCTTTACCATGGCGATAATTTTGTATTGGCGGCGTCCAGGTTGTACCGCCAATAGACAGGCGAACACGGATTTTCCCGCGCCTTTACGACACCACGTGAACCGCCAATGGATTTGTAGTGGGGGTCCAAATGATGTACTGGAGCCTTATCATCACAACCTCAACAAAGAAACAGAAATAATGCTTCCGCTACGACTGTGCGCCAGTAAGCAGTGCCGTCCCCACTGTCTCCCTCCCCTCCTCCTCCTCGTCGTCGTCCTCCTCCTCCTCGGCCTCCTCGCCCCGTCGGCACGGTGTCCGGCCGTCCCCGCTTGGCGCGCTTCGCCCGCTTCGCGCTTGCCCCTTCCTCGCCCATCGAGTCATCGGGTTGCAATCGAGTCAATCGCCTACAGCGCTCGGCCGGTGCACCACGGGGCACCACGGAGCGCGCTCCTCCGCGGCCGTCTGACCCCTCGTCGAACTTCGGCCAGAACGACAACACATCGCACCGGCAGCGAGCGGAACCGTGCGACACAGCGATGTGGACTGTGAGTGAGCTGCAACATGTGGGCTGGAAGTGTGAATTCGCTGCACCACTGTGAAAAATTGTTCAAACGCAAGTGATACGTTGTAGATGTTCAAACGAAAGTGATACGATGTAGATTTTCAAACGAAAGTGACAGAGACGTTCGAACGAAAGTGACATAGATGTTCAAACTAAAGTGACATGATGTTCAAACGAAAGACTCGTGTTGAAACACATTGCTGGACTGGTGGGCCTAACGTGTGCGACGTTGCAGGAGCCGGCGCGCAGCTCGGCGGTGGGGCCCGACTCTCCGGACGGCGACCTGGACGACGGCGCACGTAAGCCACCCCCTGGGCGGATGGGAGGCCCTGGTTTCATTCACTCGTACGCTGTTGAAATTTTTGCTCTCACTTTATGACAAAATCGTGGACGTCATCACTTGATAAATAGTGGCAATTTCATCACAAACTATTGAAATTTTCATGAATTTTCATCAAAACTCCTCAACACACAATGCCCGGCGACATTCTTGCGAGGAAAAATTAGTCTTTATAGCGGTCATAAAGTGGCAACAAAACTTGGCGCAGTGTGGCGTCAAATGATGGAAAAGTTCGAGGACCGATACCGCTGGAGTCCCTGGAGTGAGACGCTTTGACGGCCGTCGTGGTTCCAGGGCCGCTGGTTCGAATCGAGACGGGCGCGCTGCGGGGGCGCAGGAAGAGGACCGCGAAGGGAGCGGTCTACTTCAGCTTCAGGGGCATCCCCTACGCCACGCCGCCCCTGGGGGACCTGCGGTTCAGGGTGCGTACCGAAACCGAGGGGCACCTTTGCCCCATTCCTAGCACCCCACTTTTCATGAGATTTTCAATCCAATCAAAGTGAAAATTCGGTCTAGTGACCAGTCAGTGTTAACCTATTTTCGCCTCCAGTGAGATAAAATTGTGCTTCATTTTCCTTCGAGTCGACATTGTGAATATGTTGAGAAAGGTCGGTAATTTCTTCGGGTTTTTTCTGGCATGAAAATTGCAGGCGCCCCGGCCCGCCCAGCCGTGGTCAGGCGTCCGTGACGCGGGCAGCTTCGGGCCGCAGGCCATGCAGTCGCTGATGATTATCCCCCTGGGGCCGGTGAGCGCACTGAACGACCTTCAAGAACGCCTTTCAAGGGCGTAATAAGGTAATGCCCGAGCGGTCCTGTCCGTTCTCTAGCGCCGCGATCTTTGCAGAGGTCGTGGACACCGGGCGGTGTGGCGGCGCACGCCAAGACCGTGCCCGCCTTGCTGCGCGCGGGCTGGAGGGGACTGCGCGCCAAGGAGGACTGCCTCTACGCCAACGTGTACACGCCGCAGGTAGGATGCCGACGCCGACCGAGCGACGCGCCGATGGTGCGTTCAGGAACACGCCTCGAGTGTCTTGCTGGTCCTGTGTGGGCTTTCCGGGCTTTCCGGGCAGGGCCCCTGCAGGGCGCAGGGTAGGCAGCCCGGTGGTCACGCTGTTGTAACGGGACGGCCTACCGGCCAGGCGCTCCCAGGGCCTCCAAAAAGCAGACAAAATCTCTGTCTCTATCTCCATCTCTCTCTCTCTCTCTCTCTCTCTAACGAGTGTGTTCCTTACCTGCCGGCAGCTGCCCCGGCTGGCGTCGCACCCCGGCCTGCCCGTGCTGGTGTTCATCCACGGCGGGGGCTTCCGCCACAGCGACGGCAGCGACACGCTGCTGGGCCCCGAGTACGTCATGGAGGCGGGCGGCATCGTCCTCGTCACCTTCAACTACCGGCTGGGGCCTTTCGGTACTAACAAACAAAAACATGTTTAACAGCATTGAGCTGACGTTGCACTTTTTACTTTACACTGCGACAAAAATTGAAGGCTGTGGCTTTTTTTCTTTTTTTTTTTGCCACCTGAAAGAATGTTTCTGCCGTACCCGGAGATACTGCCTTGTACGATTTGTAGTCTGTACAGTGTCTGAGCAGTGCAGTGGATTCGAGTTCCCATTATGCGCAGTGAATTCCGTTTCCTGAGATGCGCTTGAAACCTGTTTTCAGGGTACAGTGGACAGAGGCATCAAAATTAACAGCTTAATTTTTTTTTCTCGCAGTGTGTGGGCACCTGCGCTTCTTGGGGTCAGGAACGAATTGTAAAAACAATTTTCAAAGACCAAAGGATCTGGCGCGGTTTGAGAGGGGGGCAGCCAGTGTGTAGCAGGGCCCCTCCCCCCCACCAAGAAAAACAGGATGCCCTAAACGCCTGATAGTAGGCAACCCGCACCACATGACCCGAAGGCAGGCAAAATTCCCTCCATCTCCCCCCCCCCCTCCTACCAAGGACGCCCCACGTCGCCCTGTCCAGACGACCTGTGTGGTTTCCCTCCTTCACTGGCGCTGTCTATCTATAATTCAAGCGGGACGGCACGCTGTCGTTTTCGCTCGCCCCAATTTCCAATTTGGCCGCATCCCCTTGTCCTCCTTCGTGCGGGATGATTGGGCCGGCGACTCCCTTGCGATGGCGCTCCGAGCCCCCTGAACCATACCCTAGTCAAATATTTTAGGCAATTTAGTTCCGCATCTTTAATGCGCCACAAACAGGGGAAGAGTTGTTTTATTCAGAAAGCATTTGGGGAACGTAATGACGGCTTTTCCGTGGCGAGCTCTCTAATTTCCCTCTCACCAAAGGAGCCGTTAGTGCCATAGCGTGACCAGGAACTACCCTCGCGGCCCTCTCGCAGTCGTCGAGCGTCCACGCTCGATTCGAGTCCCATTTAGCGACTCTGGAGCTCAAAACGCGTCTAGAGTTTTGGCCGCTGGCGCCGGTCTGGCAAATCCGCTGTGCGTCCCCGCGGTGTGGAGGACCTCGAGGTGAGTCGACGGGTCGAGCAGGTGTACGGCGATGCGTGTGGCGGCGGTCACGCGCCACGCCACTGTAACTTACGCCACGCCGGCGCGGTGCAGCTGCCCCGCGGGTCAAGGTAGCCGTGCAGCTGACTGAGGTTCGCGACAGAGTTCACGCGATGCCTTGCAAAACCAAGTCCGTGCGCGGTGCGGTCCGAGGCAAGGTCCGAGGCAGCCGTCCGGCGACGCGGGAGGAGGCTCGCTCGCGCGGACGGTGTAGGTTGGCGCCCCGGAGTATATAGGCGTCATCTTTCTCGAGCGGCAGCAAGGGAGTCCGCCGCGTCCGCCTCGGGCAGGCTCTCTCGATTCAATTCTGAGACGCCTTGGACTGGCCGCTGCGTGCCCTCACGGGCCCTTCTGTGCCGGAAAATGAGTGACCTTTCTTGAACACCGAGAAGCTTGCCCTCCAAGCCACCAAGAGTGTGGACGCAACCCTAGACTCTCGTTTTGTTCGGGCATTTTGCTTGAACTGCGCGCGTTGCGGTTTTCACGGAGAATGTCGTACGATAAGACGGACGTGTGGTCGCGGGGGACTGACGGTGCAGCGGCCTGGGGGAACGGACCATAGCAGACTGACTCCGAGAGTCGTTTTCGTCGCTCCGTCTCTCTCGCACTCATGGGACGTCCCGTATGGGTGCGAGAGAGACGGAGCGACGAAAACGACTCTCGGAATCAGTCTGCAGCGGACCACCCTAATGAGAATGTCGCCCGCCGCCAAGTGACGGCAGTGGCGGTAAAAACATTGAAAGAAATGCATTCGCCCGGAGACCAGTCGCACTTTCCCAATCCACCTGCCGCCGAACAAAATGAGGGTCAAGAGTCGCGTCCGCTTTTAGGGGGGGACAGGGACATGGGTAGAGCTCCTCCGTGTTCAGAACAACGGGTAAACTAGCTGGCACAGCCCGGCCCCTGTAGGGCACGGGCGGCCACGCCCAAACGCCAGGAAGTTAAGTCAGAGAGAGAGGATACCCGAAGCGGACGCCGCGGACCCCATTCGACTTTCAAAAAGATGACACCTATATGCTCCGGGCGACCAACCTACACCGCCCGCGCGAGCGAACCTTCCCCCGCGTCCTGGAACAGCAGTCCTGGGCCAGCCCCGAACAAAAACTAGATCGCGTAAACTCTGTGGTGATCCTCTGTCGGCTGCACCGACAGTGGCGTGGAGCGTGGAGTTACAAAGAGATCAAATAACGGAATGTCATGTGGCTTCGTGGAGCGTGATAGTCTTTCGGCATTGGCATAGGCGGAGGGGTGGGGGGCGTAGAAAGTGTTGCCTACTTACAGGGGGACGGTGCCTCCCAGGGTCGTTGGCACACACACACACACACACGCACACACGCACACACACAAAAAGGCTGATTGTTGCGTTCCGCAGGCTTCCTGGCGGTGGGCACCGCGGAGGCGCCGGGCAATGCGGGCCTCAAGGACCAGGCGCTGCTGCTGCACTGGCTGCGCGACAACATCGCCTCGTTTGGCGGCGACCCCGGCAACGTGACCCTGGCCGGCGAGAGCGCCGGCGGCGTGGCGGCGCACCTGCACTGCCTGTCGCCGCTGTCGCGAGGTGCGTCTCGCTGGCGTCTCGCGTCTCGCTGGCGTCTCGCGTCTCTCATCTCTCTCGCACTCAAGGGGCGCGAGCAGCAGCGGTGCGAGAGAGACAGCGCGCCATCGCACAGTGGGCCAGAAGACCGGCGGCGGCGGCGGCCAAAACTGTAGACGCGTTTTGACCTCCAGAGTGGTTAAATGGGACTCGAATCGAATGTGTGAGCCCACCAATGGATTCCTCGTTCGGAGAGCAATCCACTGGCGGGGTCGCACGTTAGGTTCGAGTCCCATTTAGCGACTCGGGAGCTCAAAACGCGTCCGGGATTTCCGCAGGGCTGTTCCACCGCGTGATCGCCTCCTCCAGCCTGGCGTCCTCCGACTGGGCCATGGAGGAGCAGCCGCTGCAGCACGCGCGCGCCCTGGCCAAGGCCCTGGGCGTGGCCGAGCGCGACCTGGCCGACCCCGACGCCCTGGTGCGTCGCCTGCGCGCCGTGCCCGCCTCCGCGCTGCAGCGACAATTTCAACGCATGCACCCCATCTTCGTGAGTGCCTTCAAGGACAGGGCATGCCTTCATGTGCTCTTCGGGCACCCGGAGCATGCCTACCGAGTACTCTCCAGTCTGCAGACGGATGTCGCTCTGTCTCCCTCGCACTCATGGGGCGTCCCGTACAGGTGCGAGAGAGACAGAGCGACGGAAACGACTCTCGAAACCAGTCCGCTGATGATGCGCCTCTCTTGTCCGCAGACGCCGCGCCTCACGCTGGGCATGTTGTTCGTGCCCGTGGTGGAGCCCGCGCTCGACGGCGCGTTCCTGGCCGAGGACCCCGTGACCGTGCTGGCCGAGGGCAGGCAGGCCGACGTGGCCCTCATGACGGGCAGCAACGACATGGAGGGCCTCGTCATCTTCTTGGGTACGAACGACCGAGAGTCCACGCGGAAGAGGAGTGGAACGGAGAACCGCGCTTGACGTGAAACTGGTCTGGCAGGCATCGGCGACGGGGTGTTCGGCCCCAAGGGCAAGGCCAGGGAGAGGGCCTTCATGGAGGAGTGCATGCGGCACAGCCCGGCGCGCCTCCTGCCCGTCGACCTGCACCGCGCCCTGGACGGCCGGGAGCGGGCCGCCCTGGCCGGCGACGTCCTGCAGCACTACTTCGGGGACGGCGGCCTCGGCGCCGGCAAGTTCCACCAGTTCATGGAGGTGCGCGAATTGGCCTGGCCTCGCCTGGCCTGGGACGAGGCGACGCACAGTGGGCCAGAAGACTGGCGGAGGCGGTCAAAATCACGGACGCCTTTTGAGCTCTCAAGTCGCTAAATGGGACTCGAACCGAACGTGGATTGCTCTGCGAATGAGGAATCCGTTGGTGGGGTCACACGTTCGGTTCGAGTCCCATTTAGCGACTCTGGAGCTCTAAACGCGCTTTTCAGTGGTGCGCCCTGCAGCGCGATTCGGATTACTTTTCTGTCCGTTTTTGAACTTGTCTCTCCGTACTGCGTGCACCCAGCTGTTCGGCGACACGCTGTTCGTGCTGCCCGTCCTGAGAGACAGCCGCCTGCACGCGGCCACCGGCACCGCCCCGGTCTACCACTACTTCTTCAACCACGACGGCCAGCTCAACCTCTTCAAGCAGATGATGAAGCTCACGTCGTACCGAGGTGCTCGACCAAAATGAAGTTAAAATCACGTGAATGTCCCCAGTTTGCGCATGCTATGAAAGAGACTCGCGACTTGCAGGACACAACGCCCTGTACTCTGATTCCGGGATTCGTCGCTCTGTCTCTCTCGCACCTGCACGGGGCGCCCCGTGAGTGCGAGAGAGACAGAGCAACGAGAATGCCTGCGGTTCCAGGCGCGTCCCACGCCGACGAGCTGGGCTTCGTCTTCAGGCCGGCAATCATAGCGCCGTCGTACCGGGAGTCGAGTCCGCGCGACGCCGCCTGCAAGGCCAACGTGCTCACCCTGTGGAGCAACTTCGTCAAAACTGGGTCAGTTGCATGCGTCACCCGCCAGCATTCCGAGAGTCGTTTTCGTCGCTCTGTCTCTATCGCACTCGTTGGGCGTCCTGTGCACGTGCGAGAGAGACAGAGCGACGAAAACGACTCTCGGAATCGGTCGACAGGAACGTGTCTCGGTCGCACTCTCAAGTTCAAGGCGGAGTGCTTGTGCCGCCCGCGAGGTAGGCCATGGGCCGGTCCCGCTGCACGCCGGTGTCGAGACGGTGGCCTACCTCGCCCCTTGCATAGACAGGGGCAGCGTAGGCCACCGTCTCCACACCGGTGTGTAGCGGGACGGGACGGTGGCCTACCTCGCAGGCGCTAACGGGTGCACAGTGCGCTCGACGGGCGGCCCCTATAACCGCGGTGAAACCATGGTTTGACCATAGTTTGAGTAATGTTTCTTTCAGTCACCTGGTAATGTAATCTTCGGGAATAAAACCCCCCATTGAACACCTTCACACTCCTCCTGTTTTTCTGCGGTTACGACGCCCTCCCAATTGGATCTCATGCCAATGCCTGGTTTTCATGGGAAAGTAATAACGTATTCGTAACTTGGCAGGAATCCAACCCCTCCTGCGCCGCCTGGGTCGAGTGCAGACTTGGGCCTGGCCTGGACGCCGCGGACGGAGGAGTGCCTCCACTTCCTGGAAATCAACCACAGTCTCACCATGAGGAGTGGGGCGCTCTACGATCGGTTAAAATTCTGGAACGATGTCTACAAAAAGTACCTCAACGTGCCGCTGTTTTGACGATGGATAGAAGGCTGTGAACGTATTGTAAACAAAAAAAATGTTCAAAATATTTTTTAAGTTGAATTTAAAGTGGTGATTACTATTTATCAATGTTGTTACAAGACTGGGATGACGGAGGATAAAATAAACAAGGTAAATGAAGCATCTTTAATGTGCTTAAATAATCTGAACACAAATGATAACTAATTTATCACATGACTAGGAAACATAAGCCAGTAAATCATCCCCACAGTTTCCCTATGTCCACAGATGACAATAGCAGTCTATTATGTATGATTCGATCATCATAACTAGAAAAGTAAGAAGAAAACAGTTAACAAATATTACATATCCTAATGATCACAATAAGCTTTTTCAATTGTTAGGCTTTATACACTCAAAATCCACAAACAACTTATAGCCCAATACACAGAAAGGGCATATATCACATGATGTTATATCTAACAATTGAACCTCATTTTCAAAAAGAGTACACTAGAAGGTAAATACATTTATACATTTGTGTTGAGTGGGCATTCAACTGTATTTACATATTAGTTTTGATCAGTTTAAAACAAACAACAATTTGGTTTTTGGTTAAATTGAAGACACTGGTTTATGAGGTAGTTACAGGAAAATGATTCATTTTGAATGACATTTCCATTCTAGAAACCTTGTATGTACCAATTGCACAATTACAACAAAACCAACAAACACGAACATTGTGTTTGTTATTTTTCTGTGAGAACCAAATCACATGACACTCATGTGTCAAAATTACTACAGCCAATCATTGAATGGTCCTGCAGCAGATTTATGGATCCACAAAATTAAAAAAGGACATAGAAGAATTTCATTTTATAACATACCTTTAAAAGAAAACACTTTCACATAAATAAGTTAGAAATTTTTTGAACATGTTCAGAATCACATTCCATTTGTACAAAATAAGAACAGATAGATAGATCCATTCATTTTAAATTCAGTAAACTCATTGATTTTTACATGTTTACCCAACACTCTACCTACAGCTGCAAAAATACAAAATGATGGAATGCTCTGGTACCACATGGTGCAAGGCACAAATGAGGCAATCATTTTTCTTTTCTTCATATACTTAAAATATTTTTAATTAACTCTGTCATGATCTTTTTACATAATAGAACATAGGAGGATCATTTTTTCTAAAACTTTCTGCTCGCTGATGCCTGAATGGGTTGCTAAACAAACACCCTACAGTTGACATTCATTCATTCACTCCATACCAGAATTTCTATGCAATCACCAGAAAGGACACCTAAAAAGCGAAACATGTGTCAAAATTAACAGCACTGTTAACATTAATGCCAATAATAATAATAATAAAATCAGATAGAAGATAGCTTACCATCCAATGTAGCACTGACAAAGGTTTTCATTTGAAGTTGCCTGCTTAATCAAAAGTTCTACTTGTCGTTGAACAGAGACAGTTTCCTCTTCGTGTGAAAAGTCCCGCCCTGTTAGTTTCTCTCGGACGCGGGTAATAATAGCAAGAGCCTTCTTATTGAGCGCTTCGGGTTGATTTGTCTCAGCAGCTGAAATTAAGGAAACACATTTAAGAGTAGCAGAAATGCAAGAAAAATTACTTCTTTGCAGTTGTGTGAAAAATTAAAATATGTAATAAAGTACCATTAATGTCCGCATTGGTCAGAGCCTGCAGGCCTCTCTTTGGCAGGGTAGTGCTAAGAGATGTGGGGGCTGCTCCAATACTTTCTGCAAGATCACCATGCTCCTGAGATGATGTCGAAGAGGGCACAGAGTCAACATTTGGTCCTCCTTTTATTTTCCTTGTTGTTTGAGTGGTTTGCCCATCCATCAATCTCCAGTTCAAAAGTGGATCGTAGACAAAGGCTTCAAGCACTGCCATGAGGCTGTCCTTGTTGCGATGAAGTACTGACATCACTGATTCACATGTTCTACGATATGTGCCCTCAATTCCAGTCACTTCCATAGCATTGATAAGCATTCGAGTGAGGCGGAAGGGAATCTTCTCGGGGAACTTTTCTCTTGTCATTGCAACTTCGAAACAATCACCAAAATCAATGTGCAATATTTTCCCACTCAATCGATCAAGCATAAGATTTGATGGATGCCTGTCTCCAAGTCCAAGAATGTAGCCAACCATTGACATGACAGCCAGGGATCTTGTATAGTTTGTTCGTCGATCAAACCAAACTTCTGATGATGGTGATTTGAGCCATAACAATCGGGCAAGATCATCTCCTTGAGTATGTTCCAGCGCATGCTCAAACACTTCAACTTTCTGCATAAGAGTCAAATGCTCATAATCTTGAGCCATTCTCAGCATTATTCGGTGTTCTATATTCAATAAGCATTTCTTCTTCTCACGGTAATCCCGAATCAGTGTGTGAAGAGTGTCACAGTGAGGCACCCATCCAATCAGCCCTGAGTTTGTTGATAAAGGAATAACAGCATAACGTTGTATGGTTAAATTTCTTCTGTAGGTTTCTGGATCATTGATGAGAATTGTATTCACCAGTCCAAAGAGTTGCATGACACGCTCATCTTGTCGTAAGTCTTCATGTCCTTTCAGGAGGAACATGTAATCACTACCATTGCTACCCCTTATGCACAACTTGCGAGGGCGCTGCTTAGATGTAATTACATGTAGAGAACTTTGGATATGTGCAATACGGACGACAGGTTGCCCTGGAACATAGCTGCCTGGCACAGCAAGTTCTAGATCACGGCTGATCAGCAGCTTGGGACTTACATACTGCAATTCTAAACTAGTGAGTTGAGGAAGCTGTCTAGATATCCGCTTGAACACATGATAGTAAAGATCCCAAGCCTGATTCAAGTCACGCATATTTCCTGACACTTTGTAGCGCTGGCACCAGTCTTGAGCTTCCATAAGATCTCTGGAGTATGCTTGATTGAATGATGTTTCCTTCAAAGTTTGTGGGCCACGCTCCAGCATAGCATGAAGAGGATCTAACGCTTCAAACATTCCTTTCACATTGCGCTCTCCAAAGAAGAGGCGGCTGGCCTCCTCAAGGCCTTCATGCCACAGCTCATGCCATAGAATGGCCACTCGGATGAGTTCGTCACTGACCATAACTGCCTGCTGCACTAAAGCCTGGCTGTGCTCACACATACTCTTCAGAATTTTGTTCGCAGCACTACGGCGTGGAGTACTTGCAGACTTACTTGCGACAGTTAATGGGTACACAAGGGCTTGAGGATGATGCTTTCCAATATCCATGAGCAAATGGTGAATTAGTCGACCTACAAGCACTCGTGGTGTGTCAATGCGAGCAATCAGCTGAGGAATCACTTGAAGCCAAGTGTTTATTTGTACTGTGCGCAGGCCTTCAAAAATGGCATCATATACTTCAGGCCACTGCCCATAATCAAACCAGAGAGTCAGGAGGCGCAAAGTATCCTGAAGAGAACTGCCATGGGACAGAGAGATAGATCGAAAGAATCCAACAACAGCAGGCACGGTGAATTGTGATATGTAACTGTTGGCAGAGGTGCTTCCACTTTCATTGGGCTTGTAGAACAAGACAGTCTCAAAATTGACATAAGCCCATGCATGCCAGGCTTTGTACCAGTTAGGGTCATGCTCTCGAGCAGCTTGGTAGTAGTGTAAGACGGCTGGAATGGAATGTTCGCTTAGGCCCTGTAGAGTTTCTTGCCACTGTCCCAGCTTCAGGTAGCATCTTGCCAAAAGGCGACAGTGTTGGTCACGTTTGTCACCAGCACTTTCAATTGCTGGCTGTAAAGAGGTTTGAACAAAGTGATGCAGTTTGCTGTATGCCTCTACTTGCTTCCCTGACATCCACATGTGCTTGGCAAAGGCAAAGCTCACTTGGGGACAAGCAGTTGGTAGGGGTTGATCTGGGCAGTCATCAGGGTCAGTGCCAAGTAACATCACCAAAGTCTTCTTAGACAACATGAACCGAGAAGACTTGCGACACAATGATGCATACTTTAACCATGTGTGCATGTCTTCTTCAGGTGACACAACCAATGAATGAACCTGAATGATCCGCTGCCAATCTTCTACAACTCTCTGACATCCTTGCAGTCTTTCCCACCACATTTTGCGAATGGTTTCTCGTCTATCACTGTTGAGTTTGTATTGAATTACTTCCTCCAATTCGGCCAACATTTGCACAGAGACCATGGCACCATACGCACGTTGGTAACTCTCACCAGCCATAGCTGTGAGCTCTGTATCAACAAGATCACGAGCTGAGTCAATGAGTTGCAAAGCAGTGTCATATTGCTCTCGATGAACAGCAAGAACAGCTCTGTAAAAAGCACCATCTTGGGTGTCTCGAGGAACACAGTTCACATATCGGTCCATGCTTTCCCAGTTGTGCAAGCCCCAAGCAGCAGCACAGGCCATGCGAGACATTCGCTGGCGGGCATCTTCGGTCATTTTAGTCCAATGACTCTCAGCCAGATCTTGCAGCTGCCCCCATTCACCTAGGGCCTCCATGCAGCGCATCTGTCCCAGAACTAAGTCCAAATCATTCGAGTTTTCAACAAACCGCTCTTTATAGGAATCAAGAGCTTTTTCCCAGTTGTGCAACTTTTCATACCATCGTTCCTGAACTTTAAACTCTTTTCCATGATGGCTCATAACGTACTCTAGAAGGCCTGCAGCTGCTTCTTTCTGCTGCAGCTTATTGTTGATTGAGATGAGAGACTCGATGACTTGTGCATTTGGCCCTTGATGAAATTCTTCCTCTTTATAGTGAAGGGCTTTGGCATATGCACGGCAGTGCATGGCCCTTTCACCAAGACGAGGCGGGTCGAGTGGCAACGGACCCTTGTCACAATGTTCCATAAATTCTGCCAAATTCAAAATTGTTTGAGTAATCTCTGGCAAATCAGGCACCATGAGCGCTTGCTGAAGGGCTTGAATTAGTTCCCTTTGGAAGCTTTCATCAAGCTCTGACCAGCACGACACAAATGCCGCATTGAACAAATCACGAGGTAGCTGTGAATATGTCTGGGCAAGAGCTAAACAAGAGCGTAGAGCTGGTGACGGAGACTCTTTGAGCAATCCAATACTAAGTCTTCTGAGCCACTCCAGCCAATCATCTTTGGAAACTCGACGAGTGGCAGTCCATGCTTGCTGAAGGTTGGGAGCAGAAACATGAAGGCGCTTGATGGTTGTAGTATCAGAAGAAGTCAAAGCAAGATCTCTATTTTTGTTTCTTGCCTGCCTTCGCTTGGAAAGCACACTTTCTTCATCAGCTAGAGGCTGCCCAGCTAGTAATTTTGATGTTAATGTTTCATATCGCTGACAACTTATTTTATGTTTGGACACCGTTTTGTTTACAAGGGGAATGAAAATAGTAAATTTACGCTCAAGCTGTAGGACTAGAGCACAAAGCGTATCCATGGCAGTTTGACGCAATTCAGGATGAGTGTCAAGAGTTCTAACTAATGGATGGACTATCCTTGAGGCAGAATCAGTAAAATCTAATGATTCTGCCAAATGCTCAATTGACTCCATTGCAGCTTTACATACCTATAAAAGATGTAATACAACAAGCTATTAGCTTTTTTTGTATGTGTTTTTCTTAATTTTTTAAGTTAAAAGCTTTTAATAGACTTCAATGGAAATGGGATTAATTCTTACAGGAAAAGAATTACTTCAGGTAACTTACCGGAATGGGACAATCAGTAGCATCAAATAGTCTCACCATGGGAGGAAGTACCAAATGCAAGTATTCATCTAGACTGTTGCCAAACTTTTGAAGGGCGACTAGAAGCTAAAGGGGAACAGACAATAAATATTTTTTTAGAATAAAACAATATACTGTACCAAAGAGAATGTCACTGATTAGGGATCAATTTTTTAGAGTGAAAAAGTCTTACTACCTTGTTTGTCACAGTTCTATCCTTGCTGTTGTCATGGGACAAAACTCTCATAATTTGAGGCATCAATTGAGGTATATAGACTTTGAACTCCGCACCTAGGGCGACAGCGATGTGTTCCACTAACAGAATCAATGTAGCTTGGATAGGGCTATTAGTAGTCCAGAATTCCTGCACAAAACCAATTTGTATGACAGAGGAGAAACAAATAGGAAAAAAAAAGACTATGGGAAGAAAATAAAATATCATTGATTATAAATTAAAGACGAGAGTTATTACTTACTCTTATCAACACAAAAATGTCATCAAGGTAATTTCTGATGTGCTGTTTCACAATAGCAATTAGGACTGCCAATTGCTGGAACAGGAACTCTTTGAAGGGAACTTCTGCGGTACGAATAACATTTAGAAAACTAGGCATGACTTGAGCAATGTATGGCACACATTTAATTCCTAAGGACTTGAAGATAAATGTTACAGCCTGAAAAGAAATATGTTTTTTAAAAAAGGCGGGACAATACAAAAAATTTCAAATAGAGTAAAAATAAATTGAACAGACCTGAACCACCATTGTATGGTGTTGAGACAAGGTTGGATCTCTTATGATTCTCATAAGTGTGGCAATGGCAACTGCAGGATAATATTCCTCAAGGGTGGTTGCTGAACTCATGTTTACTAACATTTCACTAGTTGTCAATTCTTTTAATTGAGCGAAAAGAAGTTAAAAGTTAGTTACGTTGAGAACAGCATATACAGCTAACAAAAAAAAGGAACTTACCAAGGCTGGAATCTACTTCTCCCTTCACATCAGTCATTGCAAGTAAAGCAGTGGAATCAATCTGAGAATCAATTTGACCAAGGTTCATTTTGTGTTTGTAAGGATCCAGAGCACCCAACAAACCAAGAACTCGGATAGTTTCTCGCCTGAGGGATGAACAAGACAAGACAATGGCCAATTGAAACATACTTTACACCTACCAGCTAAATCATTATGTATCAGATTGGAATGTTTCAATATACCTATTAGTTGACTGTTGCTCTGTCTTCAAGAAATTTGTAAGCACTTCAAGAAGTTGAGGGTATTTGTTATATGGTCGTACAACAAAACCAGTTGAGCTGACTAGTCGTCCCAGGACCCACAACGCAATACCTCTTTTCTCAGGTGATGAACTGTCTCCCAGCATCTCAAGAAGAATTGCAAGCAATTCATCCATCCATGGCAACATATCGCTTCCACTTACCTAAGAAAAAAATCAAAATTAGCTTAGGCTAAAAAGCTGTTAGAAGGCATTCTGCAACGGATTTTACCTCAGCTAAATCACCGATGCATCTCAATATGCTAACAACGACTCCAGGGTTAAGATCGAGTTCTCGCAGTTTGGGAACAAGGACTTTGAGCACAGGCTCCATGTAGGGCTCCAGGAGGCGAGGGGCACTGACCACAAGGTGGTCCAGCATGCGAGCACTTTGCTCCTTGTTCCTGCCCATCCCAGAGTACTCTAGCTCAGTGAGGAACTGCCGATAAAAATGAAAAGGATTGGTAAACACTCATTAAAGGAACAACCATCACAACTTTCAGAACTAGTCTTACCTGCATCAAGGTCTTACGTAGAGCAGGCATTGCATAGGCTGGGTTTAGACTACACAAACGACCAATGGTGCATATTGCTATTTCTCTAATTTCAAATACTTCATCATTCATAGATACAAATAAAGCACTCAAATTCTCAGCCTGAGCTAAGTGAATGTCAAAACTAGAGTCAAGAGAAGCCAAAACCCAATTACGCACATCAGCATCTGAAAAATAAGAAGAAAGAAATATTGCAATATTTAGTCCTGTAATGGTCTTTTAAAGTTTTCTCACAAGAGTAGCATTATGTATTGCTCTCACCCGTGTCTGTTATACCAACAATGAGAAGTTTTCTAATTACTTCAGCAACAGTCTCTCTCAGTGTGTCTGTTGGCCGTTTACCACAAGATTCAAGAGCAAGTTTCAAAAGCCGGCTGCATGTGCGTACAGTCTCCAGCCGTATTTCTTGCTGTTCACTGGTAAGAAAGTGGTCAGCACATCGACATACAAATTGCAGCAATGAGTATCCTTCAGACATGATCAAATGAAAATTCAGTTAGAAATGCAACAAGAACAAAAGACTAACAACCCTTTTAAAAGTGAAGCAGGAAAAGTGCAGATTTGGATAGAGCATACCATCAAAATTGAAGCTGCCAAGTGTACGCAGAGCAAGAACAATACTTTGGGTGTCATAGCCCTCTGGAGAATTAAGGTTGTAAGGCACAGAAGTGCTGCTTCCTATACCACCACTACCAGATAGATGACGAGGCATTCCAGGATGTCGGATCTGCTTGTGCATGAGAACTTGGGACAACATGCGTAGTAAACCTGCACATAAATTAGTAAATTATATCACAAACCATAACAGTTATAAAAAAAAGAAAAAGAACTCAATAAAATTCAAATATTTGTTACCTTCTGAAATTTCTCTTTTTAACTGAGGAACGCTGACAGCAAGTGTCCGCAGACAGGTATCAAGAGTTGCACTCAAACCAGTTGACCACAGAGGTTCTAAAAGATCGCGTATTTCATTGTGCAAATCTGGTCCAACAGCCTCTCCCATTAATGATATGCATACCAACACAGCTGGTTCAAGTGGGGCATATCTTTTCTTGCTTGGAGTGTCCTAAATTACAAATTGAAGTCAACTATAGATGACAGAAGAGAAAAAATGTAAGGGAAGCACATGGAAACATGTTATGCTTACTTTGGTTGGAAGGGAGGCCCGTATAACTTCCATTATTTTGGGTATGTATTCTTTGATATCGTCCTCAACTGCTACAGCTAATAATCCAACAGTTGTGAAAGCAGTGGCACGGTCTTTTTCTCGACTACGCAGACTACTTAAGATGTATGTTATGGCTGAACGCAAATGGCTGTAACATGAGAGCTGTATTAGAACTGCTTGAAGTAATGAGCACACCAAGAGAGGTGTTTACAAAATTAAAATGTCTGGGTTCATCAATAGGCTGCTCACAACTTTAAGTCTCCAATAACTTACAAATGTGTGAATTTTTCACGGTTGAATGCAGCAAGCCTGGGTAAGATGGTAAGAAGTGTGTGCTGAAGGTGAGAGTTGCGCACAATTCGCTGAGCCAAAACATCCATGCATATGTCATCAAAGCGCTCCATTATCAACTGGCGACAAGCAGCACTTTCATAAATAATAGTGACAGAGGGAGCACTTTCACGATGATGCCCATTGTGAGATTTAGATCCCACAGGTGGCTTTCGATGCAATGCAACTATATCCATACATTCCTAAAAAAAATTTAAAAAAGACAAAAATTAAAAGTTTAACTTGGAACTTAAAATGACTGGCTTGGCAGAAAAATTGAATAACTTACATCAGTTTTGGTTTCAGGTTCAACTTGCAGCTTATCCATGAGCCCTACATATTTCCTTTCCCAATTGGCATTGGAGCAACGGAACAATTCAATCAAAACCAAGAGAGATCCATGCACACGGTCTTCCCTGTTTGTGCCTCTCTCTTTAAATACAGACTCTTCAAAACCTTTCACTACTTCATCAAAACATTGCTTGTACCTTCCCAAAAGAAATGACAAAAAAAAATTATTATTATGCACTCTAATGGTAGAGCATTACATAATTCAATGCAGTACTTGCACAATTGTAAAAAAGTCATTACCAGGTGGGCTTTTGAGCCTGTTTGGCCATTTCTCTCTGACTTGTAGCAATCAGAGCAGCACGAATTGCTTCCACTGCTCCCTCACGGATAGCAGGCTTGGGATCACGGACTGCATTAAAAATTAGGTCAAAGAAGGTCTGAACTTGTTGATAAAAATATGTGGGAACAAAGAGGGCCAGCTTCCGGAGGACCAAAACCTGTAGGAGATCATTGTCAAATAAGTGACCAAACATCAAACCAGAAAATGAACAAGGTTTGAGATAACGGAGTCAATAGATCCTTACTGCTGCCAGTCGTTTGCCTTCATTTCTGTCACCACCCAGCCACTCAAAGGCCCTTTTCACTTCAAATTCAAAATATTCTGCAGCATAGGTACCAGAGACCAGAGCAAGCATACCAACAGTGTGGGCTGCCAGCTCCATCACCCCAGTATCATTTGATGGGAGCAAATTACGCAAATAGTTGGCAAAACGACCTATTCTGGTATTTATATTTCCGACATCAGCTTCAATTAAACAAACTGTAAACAGGGAGATAAGACAAAGTTCAATGTATAGCAGAAAATGTATGAGAAAAAAATATGACTCAGGAGAAAAAGAATAAAAGAACTTACCAATGGCAAGAATACCACCCTTTTTCTCATTCACATCAGAACCGGATACCATTTCAAATATATGGTCATTAAACTCGTCCATAAAAGCAGCTTGCTCTTCTAGAGACACTTCTCGTAATTCTGTGGTCAACTGCAAGGAAAACAAAACACTCTCATTTCATCCCTCTTTAGTAAATCTACTACATCCCACTCAAAATCAATCTTTAATTACGTATTGAAGTAGATCTCTGGCTGCTTTCTTGCGGGTGTCGTCATTTCGGGACTTCAAGCCCTTGACATATTGCTGCATCAATGTGTTCGACATTTTGAAAGAAAAGTAGGCTGGAAAAACAGTATATATTGCAATATTAATTTATAAGAAAGAAAGAAAGGGAAATGTGTTAAAAACAATTCAGGAGAGAAACGGGGGTTCACCTTGATGTTGTAAAATGGTTTTAAACAAATGTCAGTAGAATCACAGTGTGATTCCACGAATCTTCTACTCAGCGCTTCTAGAGCACCGAGCTGCAGGCCATCGGGTCGAAGTGAAAATTCGTTCAACAAACATGCGGGAGCAGCTTAACCTCACTAATGGTACTGGAATACATTGCGCTACCGCTGACGGCACTGTGAATGGCTGCGAGGCACACTGCGAGATTGACTGTCTGATTCAAGGGTAAAAACGGCTGTTTCTGCCGGGCGGTTCGAGGAGAAAACGCCATCAGGAAGTCATTATTCTAGCATACGAGGAACAGTCCACTAAGCGGTTTTAGGGAATATCGACGAGCTGCGGGCCACTCTCACCGGTGACATCTAGTCCCGACAGTGTACCAGTTCGATCCCTTCAAAAATTAAGATTGCTTCAGCATAAAATGGACAACAAACAGCAAAATTACTCAAAGTTGTACCAATGAAAACATAAGACCTAAACCAAAGGTAAACACGAATGTTCTGCGCATAAGCAGAGCTAACCAGCTGCAACAACAAAAACAACAACAAGGCCGGCTTCTGGTATTATTCGCACTCTCCCTGCGTACATCGTACCTCACCCCACCTTTGCAACCGTGAGTTAAAAAACCGGTCAAAAAACAGATCGTACTTGTTTTTGTCATCCTGTCAGGTGCTAGGAAATTTACACCGACTGAAACGAAAGATAGCCACCAGTTCATTTTCTTCATCCATTGGAACTCGAACCGTGACTCCAAGGACTCTCGCATCGACTGACAGTTCAAAGTGCACTTCATCTGTCACCTGTTGTATTACGTTTTTGCTTGCTTTTCAGGTGTTGAAAATGTTCCAGCTTGCATCACGCTTAGCCCGTTCCACTGGCGGTAAGTTCAAGTTTCTTATCAAAAATATCAATTATTGGGCTCTGAAACTGAATGAGTCTAGCATAACTGTATTTGTTCGTTAACAGGTATGTCACTATTGAAGCGCAACTGTTCTAGCAGTACGATTCCTCAGTATGAGACCCTAGCTGTGACCGTGCACTCTCCCTTTGTGTATCATGTTGAACTGAACCGACCGGACCGACTAAATGCAATGAATGGAACTATGTGGAGGTATTCATAGCATGTTCTTGTGTCTAAGTCTTGAACATCATATGTTCTTTGTAGTATTACACGTGCTTCATTTCAGGGAAGTTGGAGAAGCATTTCGAGTATTGGCTGATGACAAGGACTGCAGGGTTGTGGTCCTGTCTGGTGCAGGACGTGCCTTCACAGCAGGTGTGTTCTCCCAACCAGACCTGCAACCAACTTCAACAGAGTATTGTATGGTTTGAACAGTTTGGTTTTCTGCCTTTTGTAGGTCTTGACTTGTCAGACCCTTCAGTATTGATGCCATCTGTAGAAGATGATGACGATATTGCTCGTCGGTGCCAGGCAATGCATAGACTGATTCGGAGGTATCAAGATAGTGTGACATCTCTTGAAAAGGTAAGGAAATGATTGTAACCACTCATTTAATTGATGGGCATAACTAACAGTTTCTTCTCTTTCTTTTTTATTTCAGTGCCTCAAACCAGTTATTTGTGCCATGAATGGTCCATGTGTTGGTGCTGGGGTTGACATCGCTTCCACTGCTGATATCCGTTTGTGCTCTTCTGACTCGTGGTTTCAAATTAAGGAGGTAGCTATTGGTCTTGCAGCTGATGTGGGCACTCTGCAACGGCTCCCCAAAGCCATTGGAAGTCGGAGCCTGGTCAACGAACTTGCTCTCACTGCTCGCAAATTTCTGTCTGCTGAAGCCAAGGAATGTGGATTTGTGAGTGGTGTTTTCCCAGATAAAGAAAGGTCTGTTAACCTATTAATGCTATTTTTTCTTCATTGCCATTGTCAGCAGGCAGTGTCTATAGTTTACTTTGCTTTCTATTTTAAAGTTTGATGAAGGCTGCCTTTGAAATGGCAGCATCGATTGCTGCCATGAGTCCTGTTGCTGTTCAGATGACAAAGAGGAGTCTTGTTTTCTCACGTGACCACACTGTAGACGAGAGTTTGGAGCACATTGTAAGTGTCCCTAATCTACCTGTAAAAATATTAGAGGAAACCAAACATTAGTGCAAATTTCAAGGGTGTCCCTCTAATGCTTTAATTTTATTTTCCTCTCTAGGCTTCATGGAATCAGGCTCTGCTGCAGAGCGATGACCTTATGAAATCGGCCATGGCTGCTGCTACCAAGAGCCCTCCACCAACATTTTCTAAACTGTGATAATCTTTACCCAACCTTCAATTACATTATGGTGTAATCACTATAATTTTTACAATTTTTATTTTCTAAATAATAAAAATTTATTTCAACCTTAAGTTCATGGGAGTTTTGGTTTTGACCTTAAATAACTTATTTGAATACTTTGGGACTGGGACAGGAATGGAGGCTCAGGTTGTTGCGTCTGCAACTCCCAGCATGCTGCCTCCCAGCTTTCTGCGTTTCACTTGCTTCTTTTTGGGGATTAAAGAATATATATTTGGTTCCACCTTTACCTATGTGGGTGACATCAGTGACATATGAGGTTTGCTGCCCATTCCTATTGCAGTTAAAAACCAACTCACCATAATCTGGTTAATGTAATATTCGTAGGGGACAGTGCCCGTTTCTGGGTCCACTGCCACTGTAAGCATTTCCTCTAGCTCATCCTGGGTGAAAGGTTCGCCAAGCTCAAGCATGTTTCGCACCAGCACATCCTTTGCCACAAAACCTTTCCTTTCCGGATCCATGACCTGAAATGCCTTCAGTAGTGCCTCTGCTGATGCTGGCTGCATTCTGTAGAAATGAAATGCAAATGAAATTTTAAAATTTGGCTACTTGGAAACTTAAAAGAAGTGGTGATTGTGATAACTCAACATACTGATACTCCGTGATGACATTGACCATGTATGGGAGGAATTTGTCCAAGGACACACTTCCGGTATCTGGATCCTCCACCTCCATGAGTACCTCCTGTAGCTGTGCTTCTGTGGGGCAGCACCCTGAAAATCCAGAATTTAAGGGACAAGTGACAAAGTGTTTCTGAAGTTCTAGCCTTCATTTTTTCTCATGATCAAAGGAATGTACTATAAATGCTCACCCAAGGATCTAATTACAGCTCCTACTTCTCGTACATCTATGTTTTTGTTTTGAGCATGGTCGAAAATCTCAAATGCTTCATTAATCCTCCTCTCAAGATCATTTGCAGGCCCCTCTGTTGTGAAAGTAAAAATGAATTTTTAGAAAAAGTGTTTCAGTTCTGTAAATTTTGCTTTTACTATCAACAAGCCAATAATTTCAGCATAATGTTACAAATGCAGTAATAAATTGTGCAAAATTAGAAATGCACTCAACAAAATCTTACGTTCTTGATCCTCCATCACTCTGAGATTTAGAAATGTTTCCGGAAAAATTATGGTTGCCAGGCAACTCTCTCATGCACTTCCCTATGTCGGGGTGTGGGGGAAGTGGGGAAAGTACTGAAGTACCGAATGGGACCTTATTCAGCAAAATAAAATTTGCTGTCATCAATCCTAATGTTTTATGCATTTTTATTTTTTTGATAGGAGTAACATAGTTACCACATTGTACAGAACACTTCAGAAAGTGCCACGCAAGTGTGACTTGCTCTTCAGTTCGGACGCAGCCCTCCTCACCCACATTCCAGACTGTCTCTCTCTGTTGACTGGAAAAAGAGAGAGACCGCGCACCTGAGGAAAATCCCGTTAGTCTTCCCCCGCCCCCTGTCCCCCCCTCACCCCTGCCCCGGCCCGGCTCGGCTGTGTTTGTGTCAGTTTCATGCCAACATGGAACTTGTAAATAGTAAAGAAAAGGAAAAACTCGTGGTAAGTTTTGAATTGCATTTAATTTTAGTTTTCTAGTGGATCCGATTTGTGTGTTTTGCGGTTGTTGATGTCTGAAAAGTCTTATTTTCCTTCTCTTCATCGGAATTTTAAGGTTAGTATGACTACTGTCAAGCACTACCTCAATTTTGTATTGTTTTACAGAAAAATGGGCTTCACAATGATGAAAAGGAAATTGAAGAACAAAAGCAATGTCACAAGAGTCTTAAGGTCCATATCGAGCTAGACTGCATTGCTGTCACCCTATTTTTAGTTGGTTTATGTATGAGGCTTTATCATTTGGAAGAGCCTAAAAGTATTGTGTAAGTTTGAGTTTTGTTTGCATTTAATGTCTCTGGCTGGCTTACCTGAATTAGTCTTATGTGCTGTTTTTTTATTGTTTCAGATTCGATGAACTTCACTATGGGAAGTTTGTTGGCATGTACATGAAGCGGATATTTTTTTTCGATCAGCATCCTCCTTTTGGGAAGCAACTTGTTGCTGCAGTAGCTTATCTCGCTGGTTTTGATGGTGAGTTATTTTGTCCAGAAAGGTTTTCCAGAATCTGAGATTTTGTTTTTTGACTGGTAAAATAATTATCTTTGATTTCTTGTCCATAGGTGAATTTAAATTTGACAGCATTGGAAGTCCCTACCCTGCAAGTGTTCCTATATTTGCCTTGCGGCTGGTGCCTGCTATCAGTGGAGCTCTGCTATTGCCTGTTGCGTATCATGTTGTCCTTGAGCTCGGCTTCAGCCAGTGGACTGGAGCACTTGCTGGCTTCTTCCTTCTGTGTGGTATGTTTTCTATCCGTTGTTGATAGAAACCTTTAACATTTTGAGAATGTCTTTGACTGGACTTGTCTTGTTGCAGATAATGCTCTTTTAACACAGTCAAGATTCATTTTGATGGAACCAATGTTGTTATTGTTGTCTCTTTTGGGATTGCTTTGCGTGCTGAAATTCAGGAAATTACGTGAACAGCCTTACAGTGTCAAGTGGTGGCTTTGGCTTTCTCTTGCAGCTACCTTCTTGACCCTTGCAGTTTGGTGAGTTGCCTTAATTTTGTGTTCAAAGTTGTTCATTGTTTCGTGCTTGTCCACACAAATTTATTGTGTCTTTTTATTTCAGTGTGAAGTACATTGGAGGGTTGACGTACTCATTGTGTATGGCAATTCTGCTACGGGACTATTGGCATCTCCTTGGCAACCGAAGCCTTCCTAGTGGTGCTTTGCTACGCCAGTTCGCTGGCAGACTATGCGTGCTCATTGCCATTCCGTCTGCAGTTTACCTCGCTGTGTTCTATGTCCACCTCAGTGTCTTGAACCATGCTGGGCCCCATGATACTATAATGACAAGTGCTTTTCAAGCAAGCCTCGAGGTGGGTTTTTAAATGTTCTTTTAGTAGTGGCAGCTATTGAAACTAACCAGTAAGGCTTATTGTGTTAATATTCCCACAGGGAGGCTTGGCTTCTATCACACATGGACAGCCTCTGCAAGTGGCGCATGGGTCCCAGATCACGCTGCGACACACGCATGGCCGGCCGTGTTGGCTTCACTCTCATGATGCAGTCTATCCAATCCGGTACAGTGATGCGCGAGGGTCGTCCCACCAACAGCAGGTCACATGTTATACTTTCAAGGTACTCATGAATGCCGTAAATGTAAATTAGGTCAACTGCCTAAACCCAATCTTGTTGTTTGCAATTGTCTGTATTTCAACTTTGTCGCCAGGATGTTAATAATTGGTGGATAGTAAAGCGTCCAGATCGCAATGATATGGTGGTATCAGAACCAGTTGATGCAATTCAGCATGGGGATGTCATTCAGCTTGTTCATGGCATTACAAGCCGAGCTCTGAACTCTCATGATGTAGCAGCAGCAATGTCTCCACATAATCAGGTATAATACATTCCAGTGCAAAAATTATCGAAGCTGAAGCTGAGTTCATCTATAACAATCCTATTTGTCAATATTCAGGAGGTCAGCTGTTACATTGACTATAATGTGTCAATGTCTGCTCAGAATCTTTGGCGAGTTGAAATTATAAATGAAGACCAGACTGGCAAAGTGTGGCATGCTATTCGCTCTATGGTAAAAAATTATTTTTTCAAAATATAAAAGAACGTCTCTTTTGCAGCATGCATATAATACATGCATCTTGTAACCTCAACCCTTGTTTTTTAAAAAAAATCTAAATCCTGCTTTAGGTACGTCTAGTTCATGTAAACACATCACAAGCTCTAAAATTCAGTGGAAGGCAGTTACCAGATTGGGGCTTTCATCAACATGAAGTGGTAACAGACAAGCATTTAGTGCAAGATGACACTGTATGGAATGTTGAAGAACATCGATACACTAAAGGTAGTTGCATGAGCAATAAGCATGTTTTGTTTCATTCTTAATTGTGCTATACTGCAAGGAAAATTTTTGTTTTTTCTCAGCTGAAGACCAAAAGGAACGGGAGAGAGAGCTTGTTAATGCAGAAATGATTCCAATGTCTGCTACCAAGCTTACCTTTTGGGACAAATTTTTAGAACTTCAATATAAAATGTTGTTTTCGAACACTGAAAGTGTGCAAAACCATATGTACAGCAGTGACCCTTTGGAATGGCCTCTGCTGACAAGAGGAGTGGCATATTGGGTTAGCAGGGACAGCAATGTAAGTGCTCTGCCTGGCCCATTTTTATACAGAGAATACTTTGCTCGAGACACTAATTTATTGATTCTTTTCTAAGGCCCAAGTCCACCTTCTCGGAAATATTATTGTCTGGTGGTCAGCATCCATGGGAGTTGTGGTGTATTCCATGCTTTTGGTGTGGTACACCCTCCGGCGCAGGCGTGCGTGCTATGACCTACCTGATTATCTTTGGACACAGTTTGTGTCCATTGGAGAGGTGCTGCTGCCCGGGTACCTTATTCACTACCTACCATTTTTCCTAATGGATCGCACTCTATTCTTACATCACTACCTGCCGGCTTGCGTTTTCAAAGTTCTACTTTTGGCAGCAACTGTTGAACATATTTATCTGCTGTTGAGGTTTGTGCAATCTGTCTCTAATTCTTTTTCTTTATCTTTCAATCACTATAACTCACATTTTTCTGTTTCAGAAACCACATTAAGTTTAAAATGGTCTCCGTTGTTTTCCAAATGGTGATCTTTGTGTGGCTATTAATCATTTTGTGGGTTTTCCGCAAGTTCTGTGTTCTAAGTTATGGCACAACTGCCTTATCTGTGAATGATGTTCTCTCACTGCGTTGGAGGTGGTCATGGCATCTTATATTGCATCGGAATGTACATCTGTGAACTGACCACCAAAAGAATCTTTCCTTGATCTGATAAAATTTAGAAAACCTACAAATCAATTTTTATTTTTAGCGGTTTTGGGCTGTTTTTCTTTGTGTTTGCATGTCTCAATGTCTGAATTTGTTATATTTTAACAACATTCAAAAAGACTGATAGGATATTACCCTTTAAATATCATGGACCGCATGCTTTTAAAATCTTGTTAAGGATTGACTTTTATACTACTGTACAAATTCAATGCTTCTTAATGTTCCATAATTAAATAGACATGTTGGAGTTGGACGTCCTAGCAGTAGATAAGATTGTTAATAATAGTTAAAATTGATTTTTATATCTTTGTTTTTTGGCACCTTTCTTGGGCCTAATATTTATAGCTGTTGAACGAAATGATGTTTTATGACTTGTAATGTAGTTAAGAACCACAATGTGATTATTGTGTATTGACCTTGTAAATATTTATCTTATTTATTATTTTTGTATTTATTTTACTTGCTCAAAATCATTGTCTTCTTACATCACAATCTAAGTAATCAAACTGTTTTCAGTTATCTGCTGTGTGGTATTTTGATTCTGAAGAGCAGCCATTTCAAAAATGTATGATCAAAGTGCCTTCTCTTATGGTATCCATTACTTTGAAAATGAGAAAATGACTTGATACTGTTTTTTATTATGTTGTATACCTCTCTAATGAAGTGTTATGAACAAATACTCTGTAATTGAAAATATTTATTATCTGATGCATAGGATGTTGTATACTTATGTTGTGGCATGGCAGCTGAACTGTGCTATATTGGTGTTATGCTCTGAACATTTTTCTGAGACTTTATTCATGATCGTTCCTTGACAGAAAGTTGTCATTGGGCTCAAGAACTTATCTTAGTTTGGTTGTGTGTGTTTGTATCCCTTATCAGTCATGCTAAGTACCAAATTTAATCAGGAAAAAATGTTTATTCAAGTTACTTATCAACAAAATTTATCTACAATAGTGACCATCTTTTTGTCTAATGGATGATAATACATTTAACATAAAACTTGCGAATACAGTAATAACACATTCACATTTAGTCTCATTGTAAAACCTGAAAACACCCCAAAACATGCCTGCAGACACTCATTTTATACAATAATTTTACAAATCCCAAAGATGAAAACTACATTTACGAAGATCAACTCTGGTGCCTTGGATTCACTAGACAAGATAAGTAGGACCTTGATAAAAACACCCAAATGTTCTCTCTCAAACCGGTCAAGAAGTCAAAGGAAAACCAAGGGATGAAACACTTGGGTGCTGATATCAATTGTCTTTGGAGGGTTGACAGATAAGTTAACACGAAAATTACAAAATTGGACAAGTAACATCTAAATACGAAATTTTGATCATGGTAGTAATGTATAAAATTACGTGTATCAATTACTCAATAAAAAGGCATCCCCCAGAGACAAGTTTCTGCAAAGAATTGGCCTCTGTGGATATGTACAAAGGTTACAGTCTTCAAGTAGTTGAAAGCAATGATTCTTGCCAAGTTGGACAATCCAACTGTGCAGATCAGAAGAGTACAAGGACAAAGGCCTTATCAATCATTAGGTTGAAGAGAAATTAGTGAAAATTGGTCTGCAAGCAACACATCAAAGGAAGCACATCCTTTACACATCCCAACAAACTCTTATGCAGACCAGCTATATTATCTAAAGGAATGTGTAGATAGAGTTTTCTTAAATAAAAAAAGAACAAGATCGGTTTTATAGAAAGACCAATACTAAGTATAAGAATTATTTTTTTAGTCCTTTATTTATATATTTTTTTAAATATTTGATCTTGCTATGCAATGACAAGCATATAACTCGAGTGAGTAATAAAGCATCTGAATGAAGTCAATCTGACACATGCACAAAGCGCAGTCTAACTATTATGCATCGTTTACCTCAGACAGCTACAGTCAGACTTGTTAGTAAAGCTTTGGCCTCATACATTGCAATATAACATGAGAGAACATTATGAAAAAGTAAAAAACGAAGCGAACTTAGACAACTTTAAGATCTTTTGCTTTAAATAAGTGATGTGTCATGTTACCTGAGGGGTGGCAGACAACTTCATCAAAGATTCATGACTAGGTTCAGTTGAATGGACATAATTATTGCATTCAAATTGAATTCTGATGAAGCAACAGAAAAATGAACTTGTGATAACATGGGAACAAAATGAAACCAATTTTACCCTCAAAGTAAGAAACAAACAGGGGGCACTAGGCTACTGTAAAGGAACCTTTCAATAAAATAAAGCAAGAAACCCCTCATCCGAGCAAAATTAAACTAAGACAAAGGCAAACCTTTCCATCCTGAACTGTAAGGGTGACTTTGCACAAGGAACACAGTCATGTCTTCTCAAAACCACATTTAAGTCAAACAATCATAACACAGAAAGAATACAAGTTTTGTGAACAAGAAAACAGAAAGATAAATGCCTAACTTTAAGAAAAAGAACGTAAACAGCTTGTAAAATGTGCAAGAAGTACATCACACCTGACGAGACATATCACAGCAGCCGCAATCACATAATTATGTTGCCAGCCCCATCTCTTCACTCAAGGTTAACTCGAGGAATGAAAAGTCCCCTCCGGCTCAGCCACAGTCTACAGACAGATGGAAAAAAATCAATTTAACATCTCTATGATAAAATTTAAAAAAAAATACAATATTTGCTTAACTTACCCAACTCCAGTGCCTAGCAGAAGTGTCATCACATTGGTTATGAAGAGCGTGTAGAGCACTTCTTTGGAAAACAAGGAATTATTTCCTATCTTGGCCTGGCGGATGCTGAAGGTTTTCTTTTTTGGGTGCTTGAATTTCCAGTCCCTTCAAAAGAGAAAATAAAAATGAAAAGATGCAAACCAGATGAAGGCAGATAAACCCGACAAGCAGAGCTGCGACACGACACACTTACTTGGGAGGAGCTTGATCAGGCCGGCTACTCCAGTCCCAGATCCAATCAGAAGTAACCGAACGATCCACACTGGTCATGTCACCATCCTACAGCAGACATTGGCATGAATATGAATTCCAACAGGCAGGCTAACATGAACATACGTAACCATGGGCAGCAGCAAAGATACCTTGATGTTGATGTACACTCCACGAAGATCATCTTCTGAGGAAAGTTCCGTGTTTGGACTGTTGGGGGGAGACTTTGGGCTGCAACAACATAAAAACAATCAGTTAGTTATAAAATTGAAACCACGGTGACCGTTGGAGATAATTGAAGGCAAGGTCTCACCTGCTACGTGGGGAAACCCTAGCAGAACTCTGGTTGCTTTCTCGCTGAGCTTCCCTCAGCAAGCGGATGTATTCATCGGCTGATGCAGACCCGCAAAGGGGCAGCTGAAGTTGGAGCGGCTGGGTCCTCTCTGGACTGGGACTGGAGCATCCACTTGTTCCAAGCTCCACCCAGGATTCTGCAACATCATTTGCCGCAAGGGACATAATCAGAGCGAGAAGTAAGCACCAAGTGAAATGAACCCAGCAGCACAGCGTGAAGAGGACCAGACAGACTCCACAGAGAGAACTGTCATCCGCCACCCCACCTTCGCTGTCCCACGCGCTAGCAGCCACGTCGAGAAAAGTGACGGCAGTGTCCGCCTGGGACACGGCGCGGGAATTCCCTGCAGGCAACCCGCGAAACATTGCAACCGCTCTATTAGCACTGTAGCACTGGCCCAAGTAAACACAAAGTGTTAATTCAGACACACACGCGCGCGGCAGTCGCGGCACAGGGCGGGCAACAACTATCAGCCGCGGAGTGCTTCATCTTATCGCCCTCGACGTACAGCCCCGCGTACAGCCCCGTCCCGCGGCCGTGCCCCCTCCCCCCTCCCCCGGCGGCGGCGAGGGTCAAAGCCCCCCCGAACCTCCCCCTCCCCCTCTCAAATGGCTCCTCTCGCATCCCACACCCCCCGATCCGCCATCCGCCCCTCCTCTCCTCTCGCCTTCCCTCCGCGAGGTTCACGGTGATCCTTTGTCCGCCGTTCGGCCCTTGCCTTCGCCGGCGCGGCGCTGCGCGGTGCGCGGTGGCGGTGCCGCGTCGCGGCGGCCAGCGTCGGCGTGGTCGCGTCGTGGGGTCGGGCACGAGGGCCACGGCACGGGCCCCGAGGTCGGCGCCGAGCCAACGAACCCGTCAGCCCCCTGTGCATCCGCACGTCGCCCTGTCCATCTCGAAAATGAATCACCCCGGGCCGGGCCGCGGCACTCGAGACTCGAGAGCCTGCTTGTTTTTGTTTTTGTTTACAGGAAAAGTGACCGCGACGGCGGCGCACTACGCATCCGCGTCCGAAAATAAACACCGTCCTGTTGCTGTCTCTCGCCGGCCGCGCCGCCGAGCTTGCGGTGCAGGCAGAGCGGCTCGATATCCGCATCGCGCCGCGGCCGTGGCCATGCCCCCCCTGGCTGCCCCTGGCACTCTCGGACGCACCCCGGGCGCTCCCTCCTGGTTCCTGCCTGCAGAGTCTCCCTGCGCCGCGGCACGTAGTCACTTTACGCCGTACCGCCGTACGCACGCGCAAAGGCTTCACGGCCTCACACGTCCCGCACCACGACAAGCGCGTAAGCGCGTCCCCCAGCCCAACCCAGTTGGCGGTGCGAAAAGCAAAGCAGGCCGTCGAGGCCTCGAACCCCTTTCACTTCCTGGGGAGCCTGGGCGAGCCAGGCAGGCGACACGGCAACAGGGCAGGCCGGAGCAGGGGCGATTAAAATGCAAGGGGGAGAGAGAGGGAGGAGGGGCCTCTAGGCCTGGCATTGGGCGGAAGCGAGAGAGAGATAGTGCGCAGCGCAACCGCAACGCAACCACCACACTGTCGGACGGCCCGTCCCGTCGGCCCCCGCGACAAAGAGGCCGTCCAACAATGCAAAGCGAACCGAGCGCCTTGGCGGTGCGCTCTCCGCCAAACTGCGTCGCGGTGCCGCGGCCCGCGCATCATGCCAATGACACATGCCCAGCGAATGACGAGATAAAGAGACAGACGGCCGCCCCGGACGCTGAAAAGCAGCCAGAACAAAGACCATACGGCGCTTACGCGCTGCGCGCCACCTACCTCCCAGAGCTTCCTCGCAGCTGGAGATCATTCTTCGTCCTCTTGGCTCACACTCGCGCGTCAAACTAGATTCACAGAGCGGCCGCGCCACGAGCCAGCGCGCCACGCAGTATTTTCAAGATAGTACACACACTGGGGAACTGGGAGCACTGCTCGCAGGCGTCGCGCCACCGCTGACGCGCAAACGCTTCACGGGCCTTGTTTTGGTAAAAATGTCAACATGTGACGTCACGGCTCAGCTACAGTCTGCTCCTGTCTGCTCACTGCAGGACTCGGGGATTCGCGTGGCGTTGGCTTGGCCCGTACCCTTCCCCTCTCGCTGGCCGCCTCGGCTCGTGTTTCAGTCACCTAGGCTCGGTCCGGCACAACAAAATAACGCCAGGGCCTAAAGGGAGAAGGGAAGGGAGCCGCCCGAGTAGCAGCCGAAAGCCGAAGCAGCGAAGCAGCGCTGCACAACAACAAAGCCAGACCCAAACAAAAACATTACACCTCGAGTCAAGCGGCACACTGGGCCAACTCGTTTCCCTCGGTACCGCTCGTTTTAAACGGCCCGAAATATTTTCCTGTGAGACGTAAGAATTTTCCGATGTTTCAAAGTTACTAGAGCTAGAAGCCTGTCACTAATTTTCTCGCTGAAGGGGTCTTCGCGAGGTCCTCCAGTCAGTCGCTTGACTAAACCTGCAGTTCGTCTGCTCGCCGCGAGGCGCGGAGCAGCACCATCGAAAACAACTGAACAGCTGAGCTGATATTGCTTTTGCTCCGGACTCCATTCATTCAACGACGCAGTTACGTTGTCCCGAGCCATAGTGTCTCCCATAGTTGTGTGATTCGCCGTGCTCTGTCCCAGGAAATCGCTACCGCGGGCAGGATTTCACCCCGATTGACGTGAGTATTGGTTGCGGGCCGCTGGCGTGCCGTACGCGGCCCGTTTGTTGATCTCCGCCTCGGCCTGCGTGCGTTGGCTCGAGGCCGTCCGTCCAAGATGGAGGCGATCGTGGCTCGAGGAGTGGACGGGCTTCGCGTCCCACATTGAGCACTTTCTTTCGGCGCCCCTCGCGCCGCCCCGCCGCGGAATCACCCCGCCGCCCCTCACTGAGGTGCTAACTGGGCCCCTTGGCTGTTTTTCGTTTCTGGTGTGGGCACGACGTCGCAACACCCGCGGCTCCGCGGCCAGTCCAGCCTGCCCCCCGTCTTTGTTCGCTGCTTGCTGCTTAGCCGCGGGGGTGCTGGCGGGGTGCTAATCGCGACAAGGTGCCCGGCGGGGGCAAGCCCAAAGTGGGGCCCCGCTCCCCGCTGGCGCTCTCGCCTCGATTCGGCTCCATTTCCAGCCTTGGAATCCACGGAGACATCTGCGGGGGAGGGGGGGCGTTTGGGGCCTCATTTCTCAATTGTCCCCAATGAGAGCCAGAAGCGTGTCAGCCCTTGAGATTTGACTTCCCTGTTACAGGTTCTGATCACTATGAAGCTACCTACTTCTGAGACAAGCGCACCGTCTCTTAACGCTGGTTCGGGAAACGGGTATTACGGTCAGAATAACCACACAGTCATGGTCATCCTCGCCCCACCAAGTCCAGACCCAGCTCAGAATGGAGATTTCTCTGAATATTTCTGGATGGAAAATGAAGAAGAATTCGACCGACAGGTAAAGACAGAGTACCATTGTAATGCATTTTCTATTTCGACGAAGCACTGAATCTTTTGTTTATGCTGTACTTGCTCGTACTGTCTTTGTAGGTGCTGAAGGAACTGGAGGAGGAAGCCTTGATGGAGCAATGCATGCAGGCAATGATCGATGACAATTCAGCAATGGACAGCCCACCTGCACAGTGGCAACAGGAAGATGTCAATCCTGAAGTGCAGTAAGTTTTGTTTGAATTTTGTCATGTTGATCATGGGTGGCTTTTTAGTGTTTCTTACAGATGTGTTTTTGTGTGCCAGGAATGGACCCAGTTCAGAGCTGATAATGGCAATGAGAGGTCTGCAAGTAAATGGTGAGGCTGCTCAGGATCAACCAAAGTCAGAGGCAAAGGGAAACCATGAGGTAAATTTTCAAATCACTCTTTGAGTGTGAATCCTAATTTATTTCATCAATATTATAATGATGTCTTTCTCTTGTCTTGTTTTAGTTCAAGTTCAATCCCATGGCAAAGGAGTTCATCCCAGGCATGCCCTTCTTTCGTCCCAGTGGCCAGACATCCGACAGGAGTCCCCAATTCTCAGAATTAGTTGATAATCAACCAGATGCATAATTATTTTGTGTTCATGTATGAGTCTAACCGTACGGAATTAGAGTGATTTATGCTCTTCTGCAATGTGCGGTAGAGCTGTGTATAAAAGAGAATGGTTGTGTGAAAACTTTGTGAAATAACAGTATTTTTTCTTTTATTTTATGGAAGAAACTATTTAAGCATTTAATGCTTTGATTTCACATCCATGTTGGATATTATGTTTCCTACATACTTTTTTTTGTTTTTGTTTTCTTTGTTAAACTTCTTTCATCTGTATATGACTACAAATGGATCTGTTGCAATTGTATTTGTACACCTTGGTGGATTTCAACAGATAGGCTATCTTTGCAAAGTTGATCAATAAGTCTGCCGTTTCATGATTTTTATGATTATTTGTTTTTATTTGTTTTGGAGGTACGAGTATTGGTACTGTACTATTTCTAATCAATTTCTCAGATGTTTGCCATTGTATATGTTTTTTTTTTCCCTTTTATGTTGTTTATCATGCAACTTCATTGAATCTGTCATATGAATTCCTTCTCTTCTTGTCATTATAAGACTTGAAAATGATTGTGATGAATTATTTGTCTACTGCTGTGATTATCTTTGTGCTCAGCCATGGAATGAAATCGTCCAAGCTGTACAGTTGGTTTTCATGTAGGATTTTATGATCCTAGCATGTGCTTCTTAGGGTCTAAACTCATCACTGTGTGATCATCTTTCTTTTGTATATTTGTGTGTGTGACTGCTGGTGACTGCAAGTGAGAGTATGTGTGTGTGTGATGTACAGAGTGAATGTGACTTTGCTGATATGTTATTGCCCTGTGCAAATGTGAGAGAATGTGATAGTCCGTCATATGTTGGATTAGTGTGTTGGGTGCTGCATGAGGTACTGTCCTTCTGTATTCTGTATGGCTTGACTCATAATTTGGGATTATCAAACAATGATGAAAATGTATCCATGACAAGATTCAGGTGTCTGTCAGAAAAAATTGTAGTTGTTTTAGTTTTAGCTGTCCTCAAATATTTTAAATGTCAGTTTGTGGTTTGAATCTCTGCTTTTTTGTAACTTTTATGTGTTTTCAAAGATCCTTTAACTTACTTCACTTAAGTTTGTATTTTGGTGGTCATGATGGAAAGTAAATTGGAATGTGGTTATTATGCTGGGCGCCCATAGTGCCAAGTTGCTGTGCTGTTTGGAAAGCTTAAAGTTTTGATTACAAATCACGTTTGACCGACTTTTCTCTTGTAGCCGCTTTACCTTAATGTTTGGACAACGATTTATGGATTATTGCATGTGCAGTTTAAACAGTATATTATTAATTAACTTCTGAAATATAACAACTGAGGATGGTCAAGAAGTAATGACAATTTGCAGACTGATCTATCGTAATTAAAGGAACAAGTTAATTTTTGCAAGTGGCTTAAACTATTTGCATTGATACCTGTAATCTACTTAATATGTTCAATACTTATTGTGTGATTTAATAATATTATCAAATGTCTATCAGTGTACTTGTTATAAGGCAAATGATGCCATGTTAAATTGTGTTTCAAAGTTGCAAATTCATGTTTGAAACTACTTGACCATCCCCTTTGATTTAGCTGTAAGACTAAAGTCAAAATAAAAAAAAGATAAACAATGTTAAATTAATAAAGAATAGGTGTTGAACTGGAGCACTTTGGATAGTGTTGAGTCAACATTGCTCTAAATGTGTTGTTGGCCTGTTCATTTTCTTATTTGAAAAAATTAAAAACAATTAGTAGATCCTAAGTCTATCATTGCTACTAGCTTTAATCTTTTAAGTAAATGTGAAATGCTTCAATTAAATTGCTGTACTTCCTGTGCCTGTAGAGTGCATTTAGTTGCAAAAAAAAGAAGAGGGATATGGTCGAGTTGCCTTTGCGAGGGGTGCTGGGAAGAGTGCCTTTGTGGCGGAAATTCTGTTACATTAAGAAACCTTTGGGCTATGTTGTTTGTATAATAGCACGAATGTGTTGACTAGATTTACTTAGAAGCATCAATATTTTTTTTAATGAGAATGTGGGGATGGATCAAGTTAATGATAAATTAATGTTAGGCAAAGGTTTAAGACATAAAAAAATTTGTATGTCTGGTTGTTAGAGAATCTTTATTTGTTACCAGTTACAAAGAAAAAAAAACAACAGTCTATCTATATTTTACTATGTTATGTGAAAATATTTATGACGGATGGAGAACTTGTGTCCTAGATGGTGATCAATGGGCTTTGTGTGGTGTGGAGGTCCTTTGCAATCATTTGAGATTTTCTTGATAATATCACACCACTTTGCAGCCAGTGTTCCCCTCCTTAGCAAATCAGATTACCATCTAGGACACAGTGTGTTGTGCTGTCTGTTGAATTTTAAGATTTATCACTATCAGAGTTTACATGATTTGTGCAGGGCATGTGGCACATTTGCTGGAACATCACTTAGAATCCTTAAATAGAGACGTGCGAATGTTTCGAATCGACTTGGCCCTGATTCAATTAGTTTCTTTTTGAAATGGGAAAAGTCCCCATGTGTCACTGAAAGGTTTAAAAATTTTGAATCTGACAGGTTTAATGTTGAACTTTTAGTCTTAAAAGAACTATGATTCAATGTCTAATATTTTTTGTACTATACGATTCAATTAGAAAATTTAGATTCTATATGATTTGGCAGATTCGATTTGACCAGAAAATCCTTGATTCGCACATCTCTATCCCTAAGTTAGTGGTTTAGTTTCCTATCATATTAAAGACTTAAAATTTTATTTGCTGAAAATTTACTGCCCCTTTCTTGCTGTTTTTCATTGCAAGGTGGCAGATAGGATGGGGGCTTGATGCGCACACGGGCGTGAGGTAAATGAGATTATTTAACATTGCCACAAGTGTTCCAAGCTGAAGGAGCCAGCAAATTTTCTGTAAATTTGATCTCTATGCCTGCTCATTTTGCGAGATGTCTTCCTGTTGCACTGATGTAAACATCTAAGGGGTAGACAGACAGCAGCCAGGATTCCTTTGGAGTTGACATCTTGTGCAAATGTTCTGAGGCATCCTGAAGTGTTGGCCGCCATACCAACATACTCTTTAGTTAGTCAACACTAGTAAACCAGTCTTCTATTCAATCTGATTAGTTTTTGTGTACTTATAAAAGTGTTTACTTTTCAAATCCATTACTATCAAAATTACCAGTAGTTGAAATAATGTGTAAGTACAAAAACCAAAAAAAGGATATAAGGTTAGAGGGTGAAAACTATAAAAATAAGAAGAAAAGTATTGGTTGGTAATTTTCTCTGTTCTGAATCATGAATATTTCTCCTGTTGGTCGTTGTGCATTTGGTATGAAACTGAAAAAATATGGCATTTGCTGTTTGTGAATCTAGCCAATATTTGATGAAAGCAGAGCAGAGAAGTAAAAATCGCTTAATGATCGTCTTGAAACTTGTTAAATGCAAGGAAGCGTCTGATTGCGGAGTCCCATGAAAATGACATGTCATGTGGTGGCAAGACTTTGAGAGTTGAGTCGTGTGATTGTTTTGTAAAGTGGTGATTATTTGCATCTTGCTAGTCTTGACAAAGGAGAGACCTGATTTATGTGGATCGAGTGAAGATTAAAGAAAGTGGAAAAGTATTTTTGCAACTTTGGTATTTTATCATCCCCTTTTTTCTCCCCTGGTGTTCTCCCTCACTGAACAAAACAACATACCTAACATTTGACTGAGTAGACAATGGGCGGCCTGAGGACCTTGCGACACTTAACACATAAACACCAGTCAAAACTAGCTCAGGACAGCGGCAGCTTGGACGCAGCGCGCAACGCCCCTTAAATGGGGAGCCAGTCACGGGCCACCTAGCTGTATCTGTGCCGGGCCGGGCCGGGCGCAGGAACAGAGCTCGGAAACTATAGACAAGTACAGTGGTCAGTCTAGCGGGCAGCGCGGTGCGCGCCAGGGGCGGTCCCGCCCGCCCGAGCCGCCCCGTCCGAGTCCGACGCGACGGGGAACGAAAGGGGCCGACCGCGCCGCGGACACGCGCGGTTCGTCGCGGTGCCAGTCCGTGACCAGTGCCGTGGCATTCCCCCGGTGCTCACTGCTTCTCGATAGTAATTACCTCTAGTCACTTGCGGCTGACTTATCACTGGCGCGGGTGTTCTCGCGGTGAACCAGGTGAACCAGCACTTCGCCGCGTGGTTCGCGCGCCGCGTCCCCGGCCAGGACGCAGCGGGGACGATACTGAACCGGTTGGCGTGGCGTGGCGTGGCGGGGGGTTGGACGGAATGGGGCACCTGGAGGCAGTAGGTCGGCTAGCGCTGCTTCGCGGAGCACGGCGAGTAGCACCAGCAGGGCGAGCAGGACACCAGTAGGGTCGCGCACGTCCCCGTCGCGTCTCGTGCTCCTCACCATGACGGCGACCTGGCCTTCCTGGCCCATGTGGTGCGCCGTGGCCGCCATGGTGGCCGCCCTCAGCCTCGCCGTCGACGCCCTCCCCGCGCAGGGGAGTCCGCGCGACGGCAACTGGACCCTGTCCGTCATCCACCTCAACGACTTCCACGCCAGATTCGAGCCCGTGTCGCCGGAGTTCACCTCGTGCGATCCGAGCCTGGTAGGTGGGGTGGCTGCGGCTCGGGGAGACCCCTCGCAAGCGCGGATTTAGATTTCTTTGCCCTACCCCCCCTCCTCAGGCCGGCTCCAGATCCGCCCCTGGATTGAGGCTATACCAAAGTGAACTAGTAGTGCCAATGAGTAACAGCCCGCGCTCAAAAATAGGCACCCCGACTTTGGGTGACTTTTCCCTCACGTCGTTTTTGGGCGTAACTTTCTTTCCTTTATGGCTCTGATAATATGGCAGCAAGTCTCGGCTACCGATTCCGAGCGGCGCTTTCGTTGTCGCCCTGTCTCTCTCGCACGCATGGGGCATCCCGTGCTGGTGCGAGAGAGACAGGGCAGGCAAAACATTGCTCAGGAGGCGGATGACGTTCCAGCAGTTTACGGCCGCAGATAGAGGGAGGAAGGAGCAAACCGAGACTTTCGAAAACGCTTCGACGTGTTCGACGACGTCGCCCGTTCGCGGTGCCGATAAGAACGGCGGGCTCCTCATTCCGAAAGGATCGTTTCGTCGCTCTGTCTCTCTCGCACTCATGGTGTGTCCCTTAGGGGTGCGAGAGAGACAGAGCGACGGGACGATCCTTCGAAATGAGGCGGCCGTGCACTGTGCAGCGTGCACAGCCCCCCGGACCCACCCCCGCATGCAAGTCTCTCTCTGGGCCGCCCGTTTGGACGCCCGCCCCCCGTGTTCTGAGCCCCAAGGTAACGGGCCCAGTGCGCCGTCGCTCTGTCTCTCTCGCACCCCCAGGGACGCCCAAGGCACGCGAGAGAGACAGAGCGACGAAAGCCTACCGTCCTTGCCTATCTCGGCCGCCGAGCGTCACGTAGTTAAGGGACGGTGGAATGGAATGCCGATAGCAAAACGGGCCCAGTCAGTCACTCAGCGCCCTTCAGACTGATTCCGAGAGTCGTTTCCGTCGCTCTGTCTCTCTCGCACCCATCGGGCGTCCCGTACGGGCGCGAGAGAGACAGAGTCTGCTGGGCCGTCCAATCCGGGACGCCGGATGGATGACAGGCCAAACCGGGCCTAACAGAGTGGGCAGCGACAGGCCGGCAGGGAAAGGGGCGTGCCGGAGCCCTTCCGCTGACTGTGGCCGTGGGGCCGTGGGGCCGTGGGGCTGCGGGGGCCCAGGGCTAATTGACTTCCGCGTGCTTCCGGGGCGGACCTCGGCGATAACGCGATGCCATCACACTGGAGGGGTTCCGACGAACAGTGGTTTCGCAGCCCTGTCTCTCTCGCACTCACGGGGCGTTCCATTGGGGTGCGAAAGAGGGGCACTGCCATTGCTGCCCTTGCTGGTCGTGCTACACTATTTCACACTGTGCCGAACTGTGCTGCAGGTCAACACGTGCGTGCCCTACCCGTGCCGCGGCGGCACCAACTGCGTGGGCGGCATCGCGCGCGTGGCCACGGCCATGGACAGGCTACGACGCCAGTTCCCGCACTCCCTCGTCCTCAACGCCGGTGACAACTTCCAGGCAAGCCATAGTGGGATCAAGTGTGCACAGTGGGCTAGAAGACCGGAGGAGGCGGCCAAAACTCTAGACGCGTTTTGAGCTCCAGAGTCGCTGAACAGGACTCGAACCGAACGTGTGTCCTCACCAATGGATTGCTCTCCGAACGAGGAATCCATTGATGGGGTCACACGTTCGGTTCGAGTCCCGTTTAGCGAAAAATCGTCTGGAGTTTTGGCCGCCTCCGCCTGTCTTCTGCGACCCGAGTGGTGCGCGAGGGGAGGAAGTGCCTGAAGGCGTCCTTGGTGTTGCAGGGCTCCTTGTACTACTACGTCCACCGCCACGCCATCATGTCCTTCTTCCTGAACCGGCTCCGCTTCGACGCCATGGTGGGGAGACCGTGAACCAGACCGCTGCGATTACTTCCTCGCCGTTTTCAAAAGCGAAAGCCTTGACGGCGAACCCCTTTCTCTCCCAGGCCCTCGGCAACCACGAGTTCGACCAGGGCGTCGCCAATGTCAAGGAGTTCCTGCGGCGCCTCGAATTCCCCGCCCTGGCCGCCAACATGGACGCCAGCAAGGACCCGCAGCTCGCCGCCCTCGTCAAGCCCTCCATCGTCCTGGAGCGCGAGGGCCACCGCATCGGCGTCATCGGCTACATGCTCAACAACACCCACGTATGCGTTCGATCGGACCCACACTGCTTTCTTGCTTTTCCCACCGAGACAGTTCCTGGCCAATAACGAAGCCGTGACTAAGGCCACTTAAAGCGCGGGGCTGCAGGTGTGCGAGACATGACTGCGTTCAACGAAGCCCCACTTAGACACGGCCAGGTTGTCGCCTGGAACTTGCCCGGCGCACTTGGCCGCGTGCTTCCCTGCCTCGCTTCGCTGTTCCAGAACATCTCGGCCACGGGGCAGGTGCGCTGGGGCGGCGAGCTGGAGGCCGTGGACCGCGAGGCGGCGCGCCTCAAGGCGGCGGGCGTGGACATCATCGTGTGCGTGTCGCACGACGGCCTGGCCGGCGACCTGCACGTGGCCAGGAACAGCAGGCACGTGGACCTCATCGTCGGCGGCCACTCGCACACGCTGCTCTACTCGGGTGAGTCCCGCTCTGTCTCTCTCGCACTCGTGGGGCGTTCCCTATGGGTGCGAGCGAGACAGAGCGACGAAGACGACTCTCGGAATCGGTCTGCGGGCGGCGCGGCGGCGAGCGCCCGGCGGGTAGGCCAGCCCGTCGCGCTGCCGGGTCGCGCGGCGAGGACGACCTCGCCCGCAGGCGTTCGCCTCAAGTACGCTGCAGTTTTGCCAGTCTCTCTCTCTCACTCACACACACACACACACACTCTCTCTCTCTCTCTCACTCACACACACACACACACACGTGGTGCGTAGGAACGCCCCCGACGGACGACCGCGTGTTCGGCCACTACCCGGTGGTGGTGGTGCGGCAGCCCCCCGGCGAGGGGCGCACCCGGGAGCGCAAGGTGCTCGTCGTGCAGGCCATGGCGGCGTCCAAGTACCTCGGCCACATCCTGGTCACGTTCGACAAGGACGGCGAGGTGGCGGACTGGGAGGGCCGCCCCCTGCTGCTCGACCAGAGCGTCCCCCAAGGTGAGTACGCCCACCGCCGAAGACTCGTTTCGTCGCTCTCTGTCTCTCTCGCACCAATACGTCACGCCGCATGAGTGCGAGAGAGACAGAGCGACGAGAAGGACTCTCGGAATCAGTCCGCTGACTGCGGTTCGGTTTGTCCCCCTGCAGACGCGCGCACGCGCACCATGCTGCGCGCGTGGCGGCCCGCCGTCCGGCAGCTGGGCGGCAAGCGCGTCGGCTTCCTGGACGAGCGGCTCTCGCAGGACGACTTCGAGTGCCTCACCGGCGAGTGCAGCATCGGCAACGTGGTGGCGGACGCATTCGTCGACGTAAGATGGCCGGTGGCGCCGCGGCGGAGATGGGAAAAGTGACCCGCTCTGACCCCCGCCGTCAAGGGCGGATCCAGAGACGGCTTAGGGGGTCGCAAAAGTTGCCTACCTTTTCACTTTTCTCATTCTCTGCGGTGTGGCGGTCCGTGTTGTCGCAGTTGCTCTCCAGTCCTAACGTGCTTGCCTTCTGTCTCTCGCAGCACTGGACCAAGAACGCCGTGGAGCCCCCCACGGTGGGCGCCGCCGTCGGCTGGTCCATGGTGGCCAACCTGGAGCAAGGTGGTAAGTGAGGGTAGGGGAGGTAAGTGAGGGTAGGCGAGGTAATTGATGGTAGCAGGCAAGTGAGGGTAGCAGGGGTAAGTGAGGGTAAGTGGAGGAAAGCAAAGTTTGCAGTCTAATGGTGGGCTCACGGCGCCGTCGTCTCCCCGTTCTAGACGTGACCTTCGAGGACGTGTTCAGCGTGCTGCCCTACGAGTACACCGTGGACACCTTCCGCATCACGGGGGCGGGGCTGCGCCAAGTCATCGAGTCCTCCGCGGCAGGCGAGGGCCTGTTCCAGTGGTCAGGTGCGTTCCCGTCCCGGACCCGGGTTCAAATACTGCCCCTTCGGTCCCCTTGAGCTTGGACTTGTTGTTTTTGCTGTTGTTGTTGTTGCACCTACCAGTGCCGCAGGGCTGTACGTGACGCTGGACCTGAGCAAGCCGCCGGGGCAGCGCGTCGTGGACGTCCGCGTGCGCACCAAGCTCAAGCAGAGCCCCAAGGAGTACCCGGAGCTGGACCCGGCCAGGGAGTACATCGTGGCGACGCAGTCCGTCACGCTGACGGGCGGCTACTCCAACCCCGACCTGTCGCGCCTGCACGGCAACCGAACCCGAGGCAAGAAGTGTTGTGTTGTGTGAGGCAGGCAGCGTAAACAGTAAACAGAGCTGACGTTCTGAGTGGCAGCGCTAACGCGGCGGATACAGCAAGCTGAATGCTTAACAGAATCGCGCGATGCACGGGGTATCGCAGACCCAAAACCCCATTGACATGGAGTAGTCCCTCCCACGGATACTACAGGGAACAACGGCGGAACCGGTACAGGAGGGAGGGGATGGGGAGGGATTGGGGTGTCGGAAAAGATGCCTACCTACACGGGTAAACTGCGACTTGTTTGCCTGCCTTTCATACGACGGCGAAGCCGCCGCCTCTCCCTAGAGGTCTATGGTTCAAATACTCACGCTTCCTACACGTTTTTATTAAAATTTGATTTTTTTTTTCAGGTCCGCCCGACCACAAGGTGCTGGCCATGTACCTGACGGAGCACTTGAACCTGGCGCGCGGCAAGCTGGAGGGCAGGGTGACGATGGTGGGCGGCCGGGCCCACCCCAAGCGGTTCTCCGGCCTGCCCAACAAGCTGTAGGCCGTAGGCTCATTCCGAGGGAGAGGTCTCTCTCTCTCTCTCTCTCTCTCTCTCTCTCTCTCTCTCTCTCTCTCTCGCACTCATGCCACCTAAGGGAGCGAGAGAGACAGACCGACGAAAGCACTGTTCGTAATCAGTCTGCAGCGCAGCGGCCCACCCCAAAGCCAAAGACTTTCACCCGTGCCGGAAGGGCTACGCACGCCTGCGCCGGGCTGCGCCTGGCCGAAGCGGCGATCAAAAAATGTATTTTTAGAAGAAAAATGTTTTCCTCGTCTTTTTGTGCGCACGCCTCGCGGAGAAAGCGTTGGGCAACCCTATCGATGTAGTACAGTGTGGTGGGGGATTCGAATCTCGCCACATGGTGACGCGAGCGCAGAAAAACAACCCAGGACCGCGCGGCGTCTACTCCTACACCGCGACTTTTCGACGGGGGTCACCTCGGCGACGAAGAAAGTTTGCCCCCGCGGCCCCCTCGTGCGTCCTCCTCGTCTCGTGGGCGATAACGTCCTGGCGATAACCGCCACCCCAGCCGAGAGAGTGTGCGAGACAGAGACAGGTTGCGTGAATTCGGACTCGAGTGATAAGGCTGACGGTTCGACCCGTTTTCTAGTACTTTATTTTCTTACAAGGTTTCTGGTTCTGTTTCGTAATACATCACGTTATGGTGAGATCAGGTTTTGCATAGTTTTTTTTTACAAGATGAGAAAGCAGCATCCTCGTGGTGGTCTCTATCCCCGCCTAGTACTCGATGCCGAAGGGCCAGTACTTGTGCTTCTTGCCGCTGCAAAGAGAGAGAAGAATGACGACGAGTCCGCTTTGTAAAATTAGCCAAACAGAGAAGGGAGAAGACTTACTCGTTGAGGGGGACCAGGCGGCCGTTGCAGTCGAAGGTGTCCATGACGGCGACGTCAGCGGGTGAGAGCTCGAAGTCGAAAACTTGGAAGTTGGAGACGATGCGGGACTTGGTGACGGACTTGGGGACCGGGACGGTGCCGTGCTGGATCTAAACCACGGGCAGAGGACCAAACGTGCATCAGTCAGGGCAGCGCACAGAAATTTGCGAGTGGCGTACCTCCAAGCTCATTAGCGCCAGACACTCACCAGGTACCGGAGGACGACCTGGGCGGTGGTCTTGCCGTACTTGTCAGCCATGGCCTTGATCTTGGGGTCCTCCAGGAGCATGGGGTCGCCGGGCTTGGCCCAGGGCCTGTCAGGGGAGCCGAGGGGGCTGTAGGCGGTGACGACGATGTCGCGCTCCTTGCAGAACTTGATGAGCTTGGCCTGGTTGAGGTGCGCGTGGCACTCCACCTGGTTCACCAGGGGCTTGATCTTGCAGACCTCGAGCACGCGGGTCACCTGCTGCGAGTTGAAGTTGGAGAGGCCGATGCCCTTGACCAGGCCCAGCTCCACGCACTTCTCCAACGCCTTCCAGGTGTCCACGTAGTCCACGTCGCTGTAGCGCACGGTGCCGTCGGCCTCGCGGGGGAACAGCTCACCACCCTCCTGCAAAGACCGGCAACATTACCACTATCTGCTCCAAGGTACAGTGGGCCAGAAGACCGGCGGAGGCGGCCCAAACAAGAGACGCGTTTTGAGCTCTAGAGTCGCCAAACAGGACCACTCACTTCGTAGCCGGTGGGCCAGTGGATAAGGTAGAGGTCCAGGTAGTCCAGGCCGAAGTTCTTCAGGGACTTCTTGCAGGCGTCGACGACGAGGTCCGGCCGGTGGAAGGTGTTCCACAGCTACAACGAGAGACACAATTTTAATCCACACACAATTTTATAAAAAATTAAATGAGGCTACTTCATGCCTAAAAAAAATAATTAAAAAGCCTGGCCTAGAGTGCCCACCTTGCTGGTGAGGAAGATGTCCTCCCTCTTGACCACGCCCTCGGCGATCTTGGCGCGGATGCCGTTGCCGACCTCCGCCTCGTTGCCGTAGATGAAGGCGCCATCGATGTGCCTGTAGCCGGCGTCGATGGCGTCCTTGACGGCCTGCTCGACTTCGCCGGGCTTGGACTGCAAACGTGACAAATATTCGGTGACCTCTCGTAACTAACGGAACCGACAGGCCTGGCGCCCTGCCCGACCGTCCCGCGCTCCAGTTTGAATCACGCGCCAAAGCAGGCACGCCCCGCCGCGGACGGACGGACAGGGACTGACACACTGACGTGACAGGTAGGCATCCTCGCACAACGCCCCGTCGCGCCATGACAGCATGTCGCGACGCAACACGCCCATGCCCGAGGAAAACTGCGGTTCTGGGAAACTGACGCTAGAAGTCAAACGCGCAAAGGACACTCTCGTCGGCACGGCGTGAGGTTAGGTCGCCCCTTGGTTGCACGAAGTTGGCGTTTCGAAATGAAGGAAGTTTGTCATGACGGTCACACTGGGCTTTGCCGGCGGCCCGGCTTCGCACTAGGGTTAATGTGCCTGCCATCGTCCGAGCCACGCGACATTGCTCGGTGGACACTGGCGAGTTGTCCTGAAAACACCGGTTGCCGCCGAAGGGCGTAGTGTACAGTGGCGCGGCGCGGCAGTGTACTACCCACCTTCCAGGTGCCCAGGCCAAGGATGGGGAAGTCTTGGCCGTTGTTGAGCTTGATGGTGGGTGCCAGCTTGACCATGGTGGATGAGTTGTTGAAGAGGACGGGGCTCGGTCAGACGCTCTGCTCAACTCCAAGTTCCGCGCCGAAGTCACTGGATTTATCAGAGCGTCTGCCTCCCACTCGTCCCCCTCCCACCGCATTCCCCCTCCCCCTCCAGCTCCCTCTCCCTCCCCCCCCTTCCCTCTCTCCTCGAGGCGCCCTCGCGTTTCTGGCGGTGATGCGATAATCAGTCTCGTCTCGTATCACCCCGATCCCATGACAAACAGATGAGGCGAGGAAGGGCACTCTTGGCTGGGCGCCTTTCTCCTCACGCCTGTCATTCCCTACTGTGCTGGTTCCGCCCCTGTGCCTGCATGTCCTTCGAGCCCTACATTACTTTTGGGGATGTAGACCTCTCGATGGATGTCCTGGACCTAGGTGTGGGTGGCCCGAGCCTGGGTGGCCTTAGAGTCCTTTCGCCCCCATGAGGATCCTTAGGACTCTTTGTGGCCTGGACAAGGCGACAGACAAGTTTTGCAAGTTTGTGAGAACCCTTGCGACCCTTGCAGAGTCATGGGTGAATAAGCAGGGAAGAAGGAATGAATGCATAGCAGCAACAAGGATTTTGTTATTGTGTGGGTCGGTCACTTTATTCAAACATAATTTGTTATGGAATGGAACATTACAAAGAGATAGAACTCACTTTGCAATTAAATATAAATTTTGGAATGGCTAATTTAAGTAAATAGTCTATCACCAATGCCATAAATGTATATACACTTCTTTGGAATACCCAATACAAAAGCCTACATAAAACGTAGTTCAACATAAATAAAACGTGTGTGTTCCCATATAACATAATGGAGATATTCGTTGTTATTAACATAACTATGTTTTTAAGAAGAAAAAAACATATTTCTTACAACAAAATTACTTAGAATAACATACCAAAGAAAGAAAAACAACAAGAGGAAAGAGATAGGCAGATTATTTTACTAAGCACTCCAGTGAAGCAGTTTGATACTTTTAAACAACTTCTTGAGTAAGCTGAGAGCAAGAGCCATTAAAGTGGTATTACATAACATGAAATGTAAAGAATTTAACCCACAGAAGGCCCAATTGTGCACATAAAATTAAAGTGGATGCAATCATGTCCATACAATACTCATATGGACCTGGTAACAGCCATTTGGTTGACAATATCTGTCTGGCAGGTGAGACAAGGGACACAGTCTGGGGGAAAACATTCTATGTTGATTGAAAAATGACTAATACTACAGTCAACCAAGGAATGTTTCAAATCACAGCCAAAACCTCCATCACAAAGCATCATAACAAAATGATGTTGGAAGTTTGTCAAAATTCAAAACAAATATAAAATGGTCTCTGACTGACATTTATTACAATAGCATCAATCCAAAAAAATAAAACCCCCACAAAATTACGATGTATGAAAAAAAAAAAGGTTCAAAAAGGTGTTAAAATTAACAGAAACAACTTAGCTAGAGAGCTGAATAATAACAATATGCACGATTGCATCAGACTTAAAACAAAAACAAAAAAATTGTTCAAAACAAATAAAAAGGAGGGAACAAAGCTGAGAAAAACACTAAGATAGACAAAAGTAAGCAAATCAGTAAGAAAAGAAAAGTGACGAGCAACAACTTAACAACATGTCATAAATTGTTTCACTAAAATGTACTTGGAATGTAAGCCTTTGCCCGTTTCAGAATCTTACGGTAAAATAGATAACATCCATCTTCAAGCGTAGATCCTTCATCACTTTTCAGGAATGTTACATAGACTTATGTACAAAAGCAATTGTATTATGAAATCTGCATTAAGTAGTGTTTACCTAAAACTGCAATGTACAAAATAGAACTTAACATTGTCAGCGAAATCCTTTTGAGGACATATAAAATTCACTCTATTTAAAAACAGGGGATCTTTCAGTGATCAGATTTTTGTAGAATATCAAAGGAATGCACAGAAGAAAGAGGAAATAACATACTAACAACAAAATACTCTTTCTAAAAACTAATAAGTCCAAGAGACATACATAACAGCACAATACATATGCAACAAACATGTTAATTTTGATATAACCACAAGGCAATAAATGTTAATCCAAGAAAGGTAGGCAACAAGAATGCAACAAATGCATTAAGGCACTACCATTTTGGATAGATCTATAAAAATCGTCAGGTTTGATTACAATATGCTGTTTGTTCACAAACATATAGAGTTCTTCCAGGAAGACAATTATTTTCAAGTTCTTTCACTTAGTCAACCAGTAACTCTTACCCATTTGACAATGAGTAGCATCCTAAAGAAATCAGCGAGTTTCTAGCAAACATCAATGAATATTCAACCGTGTAAAGATTGAAGATTCAAGAGAGGAATGAATAAACGGAATAAACCAAAAATTTGGTCATGCAGGATTTAAAAATCTGCATCACTTACAGGCTAAAACATCAAATTTTTCATTCACAAAGTATAGCCTCTTAAAAAAGATTTTTACTTATTTGCTTGCTACTATGTCACAGCCAAAGGACAGAATAGTTATTAAAAATTACAAACAAGAAAAAACAGTTCTATTCTCCAGTAAATTTAACATAAAATGAAATTTGTGGAGAAAATGAGTGACCATTGAACAATTACGAGAACTGCAAAGAATTTAAAACTTCTAAAGCATTTTTCTGATACAGAAATTGGCTAGAGAAAGAAAAAAATTCAACAGCTCAAGCCGCTAACTACCTTCAAAGATATTGGTCTTTTGGAACATGAACAAGTCATGAGTTTGACACTTTTTTGACAGTGGCAGACTACTGTTGTTTTTCTTTAAAACTAACCAACGCCATGCTTTTTCATCCTTGCATCTAGTGCAATTGATAATTGTAGCAGAGTGGTCCATTAAATAAATTACTAACATTGAAATTTATAAATAAGATTCAAGTCTTAATTTGAGATGCAACACTCACTCCATTCAAACTCTTGGAGCATGTCTTGTTCAACAATTTAGATCATAACGGTTATTACATGTAAACTCACCAATACAAAGAGAGAGAAGGAGTTTACAAAAATGGCACAGATCTTAGAAAAATTAGTTTTCTAGAAAGAAAAAGGACAGAGAAAATATTAGATATGAACATTTTACAAATAACAAGTGGAATTCTAAATACCCAAACAATATCCTGTAAAAGATTTCCTACAAACAATAATAACAAGACACTTCTTCAAGATGTAAGAAAATGTCAAACTGTGAGAAAGAAATCACAGCAAGGTATGCTTTGAGCATAATCAACTCTTGCGACTCATTCTTGACATACTCTTTGCAGGGCACAAAGGCATTCCCACCCCTAGTTTCTTGGCCAGCAAGAAAGTCCTACAACAAAAACAACAAAAATCTTATGCCTGATTTAGAATAAGGCTGCTCTTTCAATCACAATCGAGGTCAAACCATATCACAACAAAACACTTCCCTAAAATTTACAGACAAAATGCTTGCAAAATATTTTCATGACAACATGCGGCTTGCAAACACCTTCCAGCTCGAACAAGACGCCATGTTTCTAAGGGCGTCAAGCCACTCAACGCTTGGGCTCGGTCTGCAGGCTCAGGATGGCGGCGCAGATCTTCTGGGCGTCCACCTCGTCGGGGTAGAGGCTCATGGCGGTGGCGACCAGCTCCTCGGGGAAGATGGAGGCCAGGTGGTAGTGCATGCGGTGGCGCGCCTGCTGGGCCTGGTGGTGGTACAGCGCCTGGTTCCAGGCGGGGCTCTGCTGCAGCTGCATCTGCAGTTGCGGGTCGCTGCCGCCCGCGCCGCCCAGCCTGCGCTGCTGCTGCGCCCAGGTCCGGTACGACTCGGGCGCCGAGGCGATCCGCGAGACGCCGGCGTGCACGGGGAGGGCCTCGACGGGGGCGGCCGCGCTGGGCGGCTGCATCTGCGGCTGCAATGGAGGCTGCAGCTGCATCGGCGGCATGCCCATGGCCTTGCGCATCTGCGCCAGCCGCGCGTCGTAGGTCGGGTTGAGGCTGAGCTGGCGCTGCAGCGGCCGGTGCAGGTTGGCCGCGTTGACCGCCGCGTCGCTGGGGCTCGGCGTCGGCGCGGCGGCCGGGGACGCGCCGCCGGCCGCCAGCATGCTGTCCACGCTGTAGCTCTTGGCGACCGCGCTCGCCGCCGGCTTGGCGTGCTGCTGCAGCGGCGCGCCCAGGGCCGACGCCGCGGTCGGCATCATGCCCGTCATGCCCGTCCCCGGCACGGTGGAGTGCGACCGCGTCAACGGGTTCTTCCGCACCACGGGCTGCACGTCCGAGTCCAGCGGCAGGCTCAGGGACTTCCCCTTGAGCAGCTTGCCTGCAACAAACACAGTCCAGTCAGTGGCGGGTTTGGGCCATTCACCCCTTTCGTCGGCAGCAGAGCAGACTGGCTCTAACTTTCGTCGCTCTGTCTCTCTCGCACCTTTAGGGGGCGCCCCACGAGTGGGAGAGAGAGAGAGAGAGTGGCAGCCTCACCTGGCCCCGTGCGCGCCAGCCCCGCGGCCACCAGGTGCTTCTGGGCCTGCTCGGCCAGCCTCTCGGTGACGGACTTGTGCGGCAGCAGGCCGCGCTCCGGGTGGCTGAACTTGCACTTGTTGCCGTAGGTGCACTTCTTGGCGTAGGGGCAGGGCGGCGGCGCGTCGGTGCGGGCGGCGGGCAGACGGAGAAACTGGTCCAGTGACGGCCCCGACCGTCCCAGCGGGTCTTCCGGGGGCATGAACCTGCAGGAGGGACCAATGTGCACTAAACCATGCTGCAGCCGCTTGCTTCGACATCCTCAAAGTACTCCAGTGGACCCACACCCACCTGTCGTTGACGAACGAGAACATGAGGATGCGCTGCTCCACGACGCGCCGGAACTCGGCGTTCTCCTGCGCCAGGTCCCGGTAGTTGTCGTTGCTGACGACGACGCCGCCCGTGTCGGCGGCCAGCCGCAGCACGTAGCGGTCGTCGTAGCAGACGACGCGCTTGCCGCCCACCAGGCGCGACGGCGTGTACACCAGCAGCCGCTCGCGCTCCAGCTCGCCCAGGATGGCCTGCTCCGTGATCAGGTTGTCGGGGCGCGGCGCCTCCTTGCGCCACTTGGGCACGAACACGGTGATGTCGGTGTGGCCCCGCGCGCGGAACCAGTCCACGCACAGGCGCAGCCCCCGGCACGAGAACACCTCCTTGTTGCCGTGCCTGCAACACCCAGAATCAGAAGGCAGTCAGTACACTGGCAAACCTGCAGGGGGGCGTTCACTGAAACAAATGGTACCCCAAATCAAAGTTTGACCCCTGCAATGGATTCCTCGTCCTGAGAGCAATCCATTGGTGGGGTCACACGTTCGGTTCGAGTCACAGTTCGGGACTTCGACCGCCTCCACCGGTCTTCTGGCCCACTGTGCGCGGACTCGGGGTCCGCGGTGGCTTACCCCATGGCCACGTTGCTGCCATCGATGACGATGGGCCGGAGTCGCGGCCGCGGCTGCAGCGCGGCGTCGTCGTCGGCCGCCGTGGCCGCGCAGGCGCCGGCCGCCGCCGCCCCGACGCCGGCCTGCCTGCGGGGGTGCTGCGCGTGCTGCGGGTGCTGCGCGCTCGGGGCGTGCTGGGCGGGCTGCTGCGCGTTGGGCTGCGCGGACTGCGCCTGCCGGATCAGCTCGGCCAGCAGCTCATTCTGCGCGGGGTTGGGCCCCAGGCGCCGCAGCGCCGCGCGCACCAGCGGCTCCGTGTAGCCCAGCCTGATGCCGAACTCGAGCCGCGACACCGCCGCGTCCCTGCAAGGGTGCAAGCACAGCGATCAGTTCGGCGGCCCACTGTGTTCCGGCATCAACAGGCTAAAGCTTACCCCTGCTGAGTGATGTAGTCGGCGTACTCGGCGGCGAGGGTCTCGGAGGTGGTGCGGCTCACATCCTGGTGCCTCACGTCGTCCCCCTCGGCCTCCGCCTCCCCCTCGGCCTCGGCGTCGCTGTCGTAGCTCGAGTCGTCGCCATGGTCTCCCAGCCCGGAGCACAGCGAGTCCACGAAGCACTGCAGAAGAAGAGTCAGAGTTTGAAACCGAGAGAAAGGAGAGCCGAGCGCCTGATAGGTAGGCAACCGCGACGCAGGGGTGCGCTGCTCCACTGATGTTGCCTACCCGCCGGGCGCTAGAGCTGCGGACGGGCTGCCCATCCCGACGGAAAATCGGCCGTCTGCCCCGCGATTCCGAAGGGCCGTTCTGTCTCTCTCGCACCCCTACGGCACGCCCCACGAGTGCGACAGAGACAGCCTGCTTGCTCAGCGAGGGAGGCCCGCGCGCCTCGAAGCACACGACGCCATGCTACGCCATGCTACGCCATGCGACACGACACAGCCGAACCAGTCACTCAGTGAGAAAACCGGACGAAAACACGTCTCAGGGTCGACAGTCGACGCTACGGCCAGACCGCCAGCAGACCGATTCCGAGAGTCGTTTGCGTCGCCGTGTCTCTCTCGCACCCACGGGGCGTCCGGTACAGGTGCGAGAGAGACAGAGTGAGACTCTCGGAATGAGTCTGCAGGCCACGGCCCCTCGGCGGCGTCGCACGGTCTGCCGTGCCGTTGCCGTTGCCCTCCACGCCCAGCGGGCCGGCCATCCGGGTATCCGGGTCCACCATCATCGTAATCCAAATTGAAAACTAGTATCGGCGGCTGTCTTGATACTGTCTCCCGCGGTATGGTACGTAGACAGCCCCTGGAGGGTCTGTTCATGGCGCGGCACCCACACTGTCACCCCCCTCCCCGCCAGACCCTCGGGGCGGGCCTAAAGACCGGGCCGCGGCGAGCCAGCCACTATCACTGCGACTCATTAGCGGCCGATAAGGCGATCCGGCGATCCGGCGATCGGGGGAAGGCGCCGATACGCAGCAGACTCATTCCGAGAGTCTCGCTCTGTCTCTCTCGCACCGATACGGGACGCACCGCGAGTGCGAGAGAGACAGAGCGACTCTCCAGCAGGCAGCCTCCACCGTCGAGAGTCTTCGCGGCCAAATCAGGCGGCGGACAAAATTAAGTGGCCTTGGCGGCACGGCCCTCTGGGCGGGAAGAGCGACGACCGGCAGGGCCACTCTGTCTCTCTCGCACCCTTGCGGGGCCCGCGGGGCGCCCCAGGAGTGCGAGAGAGACCTCCCACTCAGTGTGCTGGCGGGAATGCACTCGGAGGGTATACCTTGGGACGAGAGAGTCGCGGACGGCCACGGGCTTCAAGACGCATAGGGGAGGACTCGGCGACACCGCGTCCGTGAGGGAAGACAGAGGGGCGTGGACGGACGGACGGGCAGGCAGACGAGACGGAGAAACAAGGAACTCTGCCGCCGTGTGGACGGCGCGGCGGGACGCGGCACGGCGGCACGGCTAGCTGGCGGGGCTTTAGCGCGGCGGCCAGGCGGCCAGGCGGCCAGGCGGCGCGGTGAGGCCAGCAGAGGCCAGGCGGCCAGGTAAACTGGTGTGCGGAGGAGGAGGAGAAGGGGAAAGGTGCGACGGAGAGGGAAGACGCGGCGGGGGCAGCGCGGGCCGCGCGAGCGAGAGAGAGCGCGCTAGGTCATAGAGACATCCGGCTCCCCATCCGCCAACCCACATCGGCCGGCCGTGCAGCGCGAGGCGGGGCGGGGCGGGGCGGGGCGGGGCGCGGCGGCGAGGTGAGGAGCGGTGACGTGAGGTGTGTTGATCCGGTTCAAGCCCCCCCGCTCGCCCCCCCCCCCTTAAGGCCCCCATTGTCACACATGTGGCAAAAGCGTACATGCCGTCACATGGAATATTGTGACGACAGTGACGACAGTCACAATGGAAAAGTGGATCCTGGTCAAAGGAAAGCAGAAGAGGAGGATTTCGCCTGGAAAGCCCCCCGGAAAGAACAATCATATAAGCTGTCCTGCAAAGCTTCGACACAGGCACCAGTACTTTGGCACAGGCTCACAATGCCTACCTGGTGCCTGGAGGATCAAAACTTTCCTCCTCAGCAATATAGATAAATTCCAAAGAGAATTAACCAAGAAACTTGAGCGGAGCATACAATATTCTTGTTACATTGCAGAAACGCGGCCAGTTTCATACAAGCACAGCACACAAATAAGGGTGTAATGGTAGATTAAAGCTCTTATTCCTATGTAAGAACTGGAGCTTTAATTTAATATGGTAGGGATGGGTTAAAATCCCGAGAAGCATCGTAAAGAAAAGTTAAAGAACAATGCTGATCCAAATAGAATCTAATCGTACAAAATAGTTGATCATGACAAAAGGAGGGAAAATAAGAAAGTATCGTAGCTTACATTCTGAGGGGAACGTAAAGCTTTATGGACCTTCCAATCAACTCAGGATCTCAAAAACAGAAACACGGAGGGCTCCCCTGACTTTCATGAAGGCCTCAAACTCATTCATTGGATGTCGAAGCCAAAAACTTACCTGGACTCGATTCGCCGTCTGAGATACTTCGATCTGGGATGCATCCCCGCTTTTCTCCACGGTAAAGAACAGGACACTCAAGCCCGCCGAATCCGCATCCGTACCACAATCTGGTTTTGCCTGGGGGGCAGGCACTTCGTGGAGACTCACACGGAACTTTTCGCGGATCTCTTTTAATTTCTCGCGGATGACACCAACGTGCTCAACTTTCACACAGACATACGAGTGACTTCTTGAAGTTTCTTCCATATCGCAGGGGGTGCGCGCATGGACAGATGTTAGAACGTAAACAAATTAACATTATCATCAACTTTCTCCCCTGGACCAACTGGACTGTAGGACTGGACCCCTCTTCTCTGTCTCTTTCATGTTTGGCCGGAGTCACCGCCGTGTGAAGAACGTTCCCGCTGGCCCGAGCAGCCGACGCTACGAAATCGCTCTATTCTCGCAAATGCAAAGTCCTTCGAACAAAACAAAACGTTTCCTAGAATCAGGTAATTTTTTACGTTCACACTGAGCACTCAAAAGATACTCTGGATCAGTTTTTAAAATTGAGTCTGACAGCGAAAAGCCGCGACAGTTCAAACGCAGACACGCGCAGCATCACGATTAAACTCTTTTATTCGCTCACGTGCGGAAATTCTATGGAAAGAGCTGCGGATAAATGCTGATCCAATTACAAGGAATGAACTGGCAATGGAAATCCTGAGGAAAACGCTGGCAATTCTTCGCTATGACCAGTTTAAAGCGTCTAGCAGGTGTCTTCTGCTGGACTTCCGCCACCAGGATTTGTCATACTCCGTACCGCCATATTTCGCATACAGTCGACTAGTCGATCTTTAGTTCCCACGTTCGCCGTCTGAGCGCGCCACTGCGCCGCAGATTAAAACCGTGCCGCTCACCCCCTGCCTCTTCACATTCAGACTTTGTGACGGTTGGTCGATATTTCGACGGGAAGTCGTTCTTGATTGCATCTTGGTTTCTGAACCCTATAGGTAAGTTACTCTACCTGGAGTGTTGCGTCATTTTCTCAGATCAGCGATCCATCGGCCTGTTCCTTCCTGCCTTCGTTTGCTAGTTGTGAATTAATCTCCGAGCCGTTACGTCCCGCGTGACTAGGCGTGTGCTGGCTTGGTCCTCGCTCTTTGTTCTGAGACCACGTTTTTTGCTTTCGGATTTTCACGGTTAGTGTTCCTCGTGTTTTATTCGTGTTGAACTGTTTCTGCTGCTTTTCGGCTCAGTTTCGGGCCTCGGAAATTGGTCTCGCCCAGGCCTTGGCTTCTCGGCCCGTCTCGGCGGTTTTGCCGTTAGGCGGCACCACGTGTGTGCGCGCCATCGTGCATGCAACTGCGCCTCGGCACCCGTCCCGTATTCCCCCTGCACTTAGCATCGGTCGCTAATCTAATCTGGTTGGTTCCGCGGTGGGAGCGGGCTGCCCGTGGCGTGGTCGGCGGCGAGGTTAGGGCGGCCAGGACCTTCTAGAAGCCCGATCGCGAACGCTCCGCGGGGCATGCTGGGACGGCGGGGGCGGGGGGACGAGGGGGTCGAGCTCATGGTCACCACGCCGCCGCGCCGTCGCTCGCCGCTTCGCGAAGCTTCTGCTGATTTTGTCGTGCTCTCGTGTTCCCGGTTGGGCGCGCCGGCCTGGTAGCTGAGCTCCGCGGTGCCGGTCTAGTACCTACACTGGTAGGCAGACGCAGTCAGCGCGTCGTTTGGTATTTTCGCTTTCCCGGGCTTTTTTTCCGACTCGCTGCCGTTGCACAATGTGGCCATGTATGGCGCGGCCGTGGGCGACGGAGCGGCTTCGCATTGCTTCCGCGTCGCGTCGCCTTGACCGTGACAGAACTCGCCTCATGGTGCCGGTTAGCCGTGCGAGAAGGTTCGCGCGATCAGGTCGGCTCTAGGTTATCTTATCGAAGGGATGTCTCGCGTTCGGCTTGTGGGCCAAGTCACCGGCCGGGCCGTTCGTGTGAATCTGCTCGCACGGCGTGAGTGGGCTGGAAGTGGTGGGGGTGATTGACTCGTGGTTCCGACTCAAGGTGCGTCAGGCCGGCCATGGCGTGACTCAGGTTTATCCGGGCCGGGTTTCTGATGCAAGGGCTCCGTTCCGTTCGTGCTCAGTTCACGTTCGTCGAGCCCAGCGGTTGGACGTGTGCTTTGTGTCGGTGTCCCGGTTTTGGCGCCAATTTTGGGTGTGAGGAATCTTCTGGACTCTGTTCTTATGTACTCTGGTTTTGTTTGTTTCAGACTGAAAAATGGCAGCCCCAGCTATTGGTATTGACTTGGGTACCACCTACTCCTGTGTTGGTGTCTTCCAGCACGGAAAGGTCGAAATTATTGCCAACGACCAGGGTAACCGAACCACTCCCAGTTATGTGGCGTTCACCGACACTGAACGTCTCATTGGAGATGCCGCCAAGACTCAAGTGGCCATGAACCCCAGTAACACCATCTTCGGTAAGATTTCTTCACTGCTATTTTTTGCCTTGCTGCTTTTTCCCAGTTTAGGGAGATAGGTTAGCTAGGGTTCCATTCTTTTGAACATCGAGCAAATTGTGCAATCATAGGATTTGTCTTGTTTATTGATAGAAGCTCAAGAGGTTGGCTAACAGGGAAACTAGTGGCCTCCTCGATGATCCTGGAGCTGCTTGATTTTGTGCAGTTAGTTCCTGATCATGGCTTCTGAAAATAGCTTTGCTCCTGCACTGCAGTGAGCGAGGGCTCGGCATATTCCATATTCTCTGAGGTGCTACATCATCTAGGAGACAAACCATGTTGTGTACACTCCTATACTACATCTAGGAAATCTTTTTCCTTCTAGTTTGTTGCACTTCTAACCGATCTGTTTGTCATGTTACAGATGCTAAGCGTCTTATTGGACGCAAGTTCGAAGATACCACTGTCCAGTCGGACATGAAGCACTGGCCCTTCACTGTCATCAGCGATGGTGGCAAGCCCAAGCTGAAGGTTGAGTTCAAAGGAGAGGCTAAGACTTTCTACCCCGAAGAAATCTCATCCATGGTCCTCACCAAGATGAAGGAAACAGCTGAGGCCTACCTTGGCAAGACTGTCACAAATGCTGTTGTCACCGTACCAGCTTATTTCAACGACTCCCAGCGTCAGGCCACCAAGGACGCGGGTACCATTGCTGCCTTGAATGTTCTGCGTATCATCAACGAGCCCACTGCTGCTGCCATTGCTTATGGTCTTGACAAGAAGGGCAGCAAGGAGAGCAACGTCCTGATCTTTGATCTGGGCGGTGGTACTTTTGATGTGTCCATCCTGTCCATTGAAGATGGTATTTTCGAGGTCAAGTCTACTGCTGGTGACACTCATCTTGGTGGAGAAGATTTCGACAACCGCATGGTCAACCACTTTGTCCTGGAGTTCAAGCGTAAATACAAGAAGGAGCTCACCTCCAACAAGCGTTCTCTCCGTCGTCTGAGGACCGCTTGCGAAAGGGCAAAGCGTATCCTGTCATCTTCCACCCAGGCCTCTGTTGAAATCGACTCCCTCTTCGAGGGTATTGACTTCTACACCTCAATCACCCGTGCCCGTTTCGAGGAGCTCTGCGCTGACTTGTTCCGTGCCACCCTGGACCCTGTGGAGAAGGCCCTCCGCGATGCCAAGATGGACAAGGGTGCCGTCCACGAGATTGTCCTTGTCGGAGGTTCCACCCGTATCCCCAAGGTCCAGAAGCTGCTGCAGGACTTCTTCAACGGCAAGGAGCTGAACAAGTCCATCAACCCTGATGAGGCTGTTGCCTACGGTGCGGCTGTCCAGGCTGCCATCCTGCACGGAGACAAGTCTGAGGCTGTCCAGGACTTGCTGCTGCTCGATGTTGCTCCCCTGTCCATGGGTATTGAGACCGCTGGAGGTGTGATGAGCGTTCTCATCAAGCGTAACACGACCATCCCCACCAAGCAGACCCAGACTTTCACCACCTACTCCGACAACCAGCCTGGAGTGTTGATCCAGGTAAGCATTTCAGCCAGCTTTTGTGTTGCATGTCTGTCTCCCATCTGCAGGGTCTAATTAAGTTTTCGTTTGTTTTCACAGGTCTATGAAGGAGAGCGTACCATGACCAAGGACAACCACCAGCTTGGCAAGTTCGAGCTCAGCGGAATTCCCCCTGCGCCCCGTGGTGTGCCCCAGATCGAGGTCACCTTCGACATTGACGCCAACGGTATCCTGAACGTCTCTGCCTGCGACAAGTCGACCGGCAAGGAGAGCAAGATCACCATCACCAACGACAAGGGCCGTCTGAGCAAGGAGGAGATCGAGCGCATGGTGAACGACGCCGAGAAGTTCCGCAGCGAGGACGAGCAGCAGAAGGAGCGCATCACCGCCAAGAACGCCCTCGAGTCCTACTGCTTCAACATGAAGAGCACTGTAAGTTGACAAGAACTGCTTGGTTGTGCAATTCCATGCAGTTTTTTTGTGCGAGGCGAGAAATTAATTTGTTTGCTTTCTTTCAGGTGGAGGACGACAAGATGAAGGACAAGATCTCTGACGCTGAGAAGACCCAGATCCTGGACAAGTGCAATGAGACTGTCAAGTGGCTCGACTCCAACCAGCTGGCTGAGAAGGAAGAGTACGAGCACAAGCAGAAGGAGGTTGAGGCCATCTGCAACCCCATCATCACCAAGCTGTACCAGGGCGCCGGTGGTGCTGGAGGCATGCCCGGCGGTATGCCCGGCGGCTTCCCTGGCGCCGGTGCTGGCGGCCCCGCCCCCGGAGCCGGAGGCGCCGGCCCCACCATCGAGGAGGTCGACTAAACCACAACCTGCTCAACTTGTACTAACTGCCTTCAAACGCCACATTCCGATTCACTCATTCGTAGCATTCATTTGATAAGTTGATCCAGTTTTGTTTTTTTTGTACTGAGTATTGAATGGCTGCTACGTATCACGACCTTATTTAACATGTACCAAAGATTGCGGTCTACTTTATTTTACGGTGATTTAATACCAATTCTTTGTGTCACTGCGTGTCACTTCAATAAACATGTCATCATTTGAAGTTGTTTTCTTCATTATCTACCTCTCCCTCCTTCGAAGCCAGTTTCAGCTTTGGCTGGTTCAGTAGCTTCTCAATGAATTAACATTTCAAATGATGTAGCTCTGTAAAGTCAGACCAGTTAAGATCTTGTAACTTAACTGTTTGTCCCAAAGGATTTGGGCGCTTTCTATGTATAGTCAAATCCAGGCCATATAAACTCTCACACCATTGCACTTCAATTCCTGTGGAAACACATTGCTTGTGACTCTGGTTCTCTTGATTTTGATATGAGGTGGTTCTAGTGAGGGACTCTTCTCAAAGAAAGAACTCAATTTGACATGCAAATGTACATTATTTAATTCCAACAAGTAAACATATATTCCCACAATATTCACAGTACTATATAATTTAAGGAACCGAATATTCCCTGTATCAGGTTGGATAGGGATAAGGTCCTACATTCTGTCTTAGACCAGCTAGGTATCACATCACATTTCATATTTAAACCCTTCAGTTTGCAGAGGAGGTTCTCCACAGAGTGGGAGTGAACAAGTATTAGTTTTCCTGCAACTGAATCTGAAGAGTTGAAAGTATACACATATGCTACAAAATTTATTTACAGTTCCCGAAAAAAAAAAATTGGGTAATACGTTTTATTTACAAGAACTATTGACCTCTGAGAATAAGATATCATTGACAGTTTGACATTGGGGGTAGGATAGCTTCAGTGCCTCTTAAGCTGCCTCATTCATTTTTTTAAAACAATGGTTACATGTTTCTCACAAAGCTTTTGCTTGAGTCAGGAAAGTCACTGCAAGTATTATCTGTTATCAAAATCACTGTCATATGTGGGCATCAACTAGAATTTGTTATCAACAACACTGTTATCTGTGGGTATAAACTAAAATCCGTTATCGACATCTCTGTTATCTGTGGGCGTAATCCAGAATCTGTTCAACATCTTGGATATCTATTGACTTGCTTTCTATATAAACTTTGCAAAACAGCAATAACAGATAGAGGGAATTCCAAGGGAATGTTAAGTGGGCTACATTGCTAAATGGACCGACCGACCCATTGTGGGATCACCTTTAGAAAACCATTAACATAGTAACTTTGCATTAATTTTTTTCAGAATTAAAACGATTTTAGCATGGAGATGATTTATTCCAGAGATTCTCGAAGCCAGTCCTGAAAGTTCTAACATACATACACACTCACAAATACACACACATGCATTCTCACAGTCATTGATAAACTTCATAGGAGGTTCGTATCGCAGCTTTGTCCTGTTCGGCACAAAGGCACACATCACATCCCTATTCTTCACAGTGATCAATATCCCTAAATTTACAACACCGTGGCTTCAGTAACAACTAAAATAAATTTTATCTGGTCAAAATAAATGTATTTATCTTGTGCAGAGAGCAGCTGCAGCCCAAGGGCCGTACATTTCGGACGCCGCGGCCCGAACGTGCTGTCGAGGGAGACTTGAGAGTGGAGGCGAGGCGCAACGCGAAGGCCGTTCGAAATCACGCCCGGGGAAGCCCCTGGCGCGCCGATTCCGATCAGTGTCGCTTGTCTCTCTCGCACTCATGCGGCGTTCCGTGCGGGTGCGAGCGAGACAGCGCGACGAAAACGACTTTCGGAATCAGTCTGCAGGCTGCAATCCGCGCCGCGTCCTCCGCACTGCATCTCGACGCCATCCCCGTGGTGTCCTCCGCGACGTGCTCCGCGACGTGCTCGTGCTCAGTCGTGTCCCCGAGAGGTCCTGGGGGCCGTGGGGGTCCTGGGCAGTCCTGGGTGGCCGTTCGGCCGGCTGGCTCCCGCTGGGTCCTCAGCAGGAGCCCAGGGCCAGGAAGGCGACGAGGACGGAGGCGCACAGCAGTCCGAGGCCTCGGTGAGGCTGGCTCGCGCCGGAGTAGCCCTCCGCCACGGTCACGTTGAGCACCACGCTGCCCTCGGAGGCGCCGCCCGCGGACCGCACCAGCAGCAGGTACTCGCCCTCGTCGGCCGGGCGCACGCGGCGCAGCGTCAGCGTGGCCACGCGGCAGTGAGGCGTGTCGCTGTCCTGGAAGCAGAATGCGTGCTTTAAGGAAACTGCGAGAATAGTAACCACCCCTGAAAAAAAAGTCGTACATTATTTTGGGAAATCATAAAAATTACATAAAGCACCCGCCGTACTGTACGAGATAGTCCTCTAGTCGACCTCTAGTATACTCGGTGAGTGCGCGTGGCTGCTGCAGCAGGCCCGTTGCCATGGGCAACCGGGACCTGAGGACCGATTCCGAAAGTCGTTTCTGTCTCTCTCGCACCTATACAGGGCGCCCCGTGAGTGCGAGAGAGACAGAGCGACGGGAAAGACTGTCGGAATGGGTCTCCAGGACGGCTTGGCGCCTCACTCGCGCAGCCTTCCCTGCTTCGCAGCCTCGCCACCCTTTATCCCATTTTCTAAAATAATCCCCGAGGAGAATGTCAAGCACGCCGGCAATGCGGCGACACACGGGGGAGTCCTCGGGGGCCTTGGGCCTTCCCCGCCAGGCACGCCGTCAGCCTCGCCGCCAGGCACGCCGTCAGCCTCGCCGTCGGCCTCGCCGTCATGCACGCCGTCAGCTTTGCCGTCAGCCTTGCCGTCAGCTTTGCCGTCAGCTTTGCCGTCAGCCTCGGCGTACAGGCACGGTGCCAGCGTGGCCGCCCGCCTGGCCGCCGACCTCGCCGACGGCGTCCTCGGCCTTCGGCCGCGGCGCCGCGCGGGGAGCTGGAAGCTGGAATTAGTAGTTGGGGTGCACGCCGGGGACTAGCAACAGGGGCCTGCGCCGTCCCCGCCGCCCCTACCCTCGCGGCGCACACGGCCCTGGGCAGAGTTTGGGGGCGGCGGGGGGCGGCGGGGGCGGCGGCGGCTTCCATATTTAATGAGATGGTTTGCATTCCGGGCAGTGCCGCGCCGCCCCCGCCTCAAGGCGATCTCCGCCTCGCCCGCGGCCTCGGCCCGCCTGGCCCGCCACACGGCCACGGCCGAATCTGGCCCGCGCTAAATCAAAGGCCTTGCCTGGGCCGCGGGTTCGAGTCCCCCTGGCAGCCGTTAGACTTCCCCATTTTTTCCCGCGTCTGGCGGCAGCGACCGCAATGAGGACACGGAGCCATCCGTCTCGACTCCGTTTTCAGCCGCGGCGTCGCGTCACGTCGTCATGGTGACGCTTGCTGCTTGCTGCCCGTCGTGGTGGCTTATCCTCCCACCAGTGTGCCGCCGTGCCGCCGTCGTCCGGTGACAATCACACGGAACGGGAGGGACGCTGCGTGCTGCGTTGGGCCAGGGGGCGCCTCACTCACCGCCCACCACGCCCCGCCCCGCCACGCCCCGCCCCTCCCCGCCCCACCCCGCCACGCCACGCCCCACCACGCCCCGGCGCACCCCATTTGTAAAGGCCGGCCGTGGAAATGTTGGAGGCAAGCCGTAAAAATAATCAAAACGGCCCCAGGGTGCGCAGCAGCAGGATGCCCCGCCCCGCCCCACCCCGCCCCGCCCCGCCCCGCCCCGCCCTGCGGTGTCCGTGGGCCTGGACAGGCAGCGGCTCTCCGCTCCCCAGGCAGGCGCAGCCAGGCCAGGCAGTTAACGGCCGCTACGCCGCGCTATGCGTTGGGGATTAAATGGCCTCATTTTATTAGGGCCCTGCCGGACAGCCCGCTGCCAGAAAAGCCAGGAAGGGGTGCGGCGGGGCGGGGTGGGGTCCCGCGGGGGTGGCTGCGCGGTTTAGGCCCCGCTGAGCCGGGCCGGCCTCGCTGGGTGCTGCCGGGCGCCGTCGCGGTGGCCGTGGTCGAGGTGGGACCAGGTAGGGACGACCGCGCGGGGGACGCGGTAACCGGCAGCACAGCGCGCTCAGAACCACGCGACTACACCCAGAGAAACCCCGAGAACCCAGAGCCCGGACTTGGCAAGGAACTTGTGCAGCCCAAACCCCGAGCCAACCGCCTGCAGAGCGCGCGACGCTGCACGCACTGCTCGGCTGCACGCCGCGTTGCCTAGCCACGGCGTCCACGGCGTCGCAGGCGCTCACCGGCAAACATTCCCACACTACACTCGCTACCAACTTCGGCCTAGGCAACACGTGGGCTTTTGCTTTGAGGTTGGCAACCTTTTGCTTTTGAATTTTCACCTACTTATACAGGGGTGGATCCAGGGGGAGGGAAGGGGTGTGGGCGCGTGTCAAAGGTGGCACTTCGCGGAGCTGTGCGGAGGCCACTTTGGCGGCAACGGGCCCACTGAACGCGTCTCTGGCTCCGCCGGCTCCGCCGGCTCCGCCGGCTCCGCCCCCGCACTCATGTGGCAACACAGCGCGGGTGCGCCAGAGTGCGCCAGCCTCGGAGTCCAGCTGGCTGCTCCTTTGCGGCTTTGCGGCGACCTGGAGGAGCCCTGGAGGAGCCCTGGAGGAGCCTGGAGGCCCTGGAGCGGGCCAAGCCAACTATGGACGGGGCGACCCCCATAACGACCACTCCATTGGCTTGCGTGGGTCCCTCTCGGCGACCGCGAAGGGAGGCGGGGCAAGTCAAACAGCGAAGCGCGCGGTGCAGTTTGCCCCGGCGAGGCGGCGGGACACTGAAAGGGCCTAGCGAGGGGAGGGGGGGTGGGGGGGGCACATGCCGCCTAATCGCAAGCAATCTTGTCCTTTGATGGGGTCAGCTTGAGGAGGCGTGCCGGAGGAGGAGGAGGAGGAGGAGGGGAATCAAGCAAAGAGAACGCAGACAGGCGTCGCCAGGGCAGGGCCGGAGGGGCCGGCGGCCCGGCGGGGCCCTTCGATGAAGATGCTGGCAAATCACTCGCATTCCTCTCACGCTCCGGACTGCCAGCCCCGTCTGCCCCGCCTGCCCCGCCGGCACTGCCATCTGGGACCTTTCCGCCACTCCGAAACGGACGCGCCGCTTTTTATTTCCAATTTTTCAAACTTTTTTTTGGGGGGCTCTCCTCGCCTCCGTCCTCTCAAACCGACCCCTCGCCCCCGCCAACGCCTTGTTTACGTCGTTATTTGGAACCGATAGAAAAATAACGGGATAAAAGTGCGCAGGCTCAAGACGACAACGCTGACTAACGCCGCGTGCATGGCGACGAAAAAAAAAAAAAGGAGAGTAACTTGACTTCAAGGTTTCCATTTTTGGCAAACTCGATCATGCGGGACAGCCTCTCCCCTTGCTTTCGGACCGCTGGGCGTTGGGGCCGCGCCGTGCCGCGCGCAACTTGCCAGTCATAATAATAATGTAATTCGGTAAATGGCGGCCGCGCCGTGCCTTGCCGCGCCGTGCCACTTGTGCCACTCCGGCCGACGATGTGGTTTGCGCGGGTGACGCGTCGCCTGCATTTCCAGCCAGACGCGTTGCGAAAAATAATGGTCCGGAAGCACTCCCCCTCCCCTCCCCCTTTGCATCCGAGTGGCGTTGGGGATTTGCCGAGGCCCGCGTGGAGCCCGACGTGCCGGCCTGTCCCGCCAGAGGCCCGCCGCGGGGAGGGGGGAGGAAAGCGGCAGAGAAATAATGAATCGGTGCTGTTGCTGCGTGCCGCTCCGCGAGTCCGGTGTGACAGGAAAAGCCGATAGAAATATCGATAGTGGATGGCTGGCGGCCCGGCCCCGGCCGGGGCAGCGCGGCCGGCACTGGTGTTGCTGCTGGTGACCGCGTCGCACCGCGTCGATCCGTCACACAGTGGGCCAGAAGACCGGTGGAGGCGGACAAAACACCAGACGCGTTTTGACTCCAGAGTCACTCAATGGGACTCGAACCGAACGTGTGACCCCACCAATGGATTGCTCTCCGAACGAGGACGGGCCAGGACGGCGACCAAAGGTCTCGCGGACGACTTACCGTGACAATGGCAGGTTTACTCCCCTCTCCCTCTCCCCCTGCCTAAAGCCGCCTGAGAGGCACTAGTCGCGTCGCTGCTTGGCCTGCTTTGCCTGCTTTTGCCAGTGCTGTGAACTCGACCCAAACTTGCACCCCGAGGCCGCCCTGGATCCGCACCTGCCAACTGGTTCCGCTTTGTCTCCGTCGCACTGATGGGGCGTCCGGAAGAGTGCGAGAGAGGCCGAGCCTTGGGCAGAGCGAGAAACGACTCTTGGGAACCGCTCTGAGAATCACATCAACGCCTCCCCCCCCCCCGCCCCGCCCTTCCAATCAAAAAGTCGTCCGTTTCCGATCGAAACCGATAAAAAGATTCCTTGCTTTTTTTCCCTCGCTCTCCGCCGCTCCCCCCATCGCGGCTGCGGGCGCCCTTCCTTGTTCCTAATTACCAAACTAAGTAAGTAGTAAGCCGTGGTGATGGCGTCGAGCGACGTCGCCGCCTCCAGATGTCGCCCCCCCCCCCCCCCCCCCCCCCCCCCCCCCGCCGCCCCCGCGCCGCCCCAGCAAGCCACGCCACCTTTCTGGTCGAACGGCGTTTGGCGGCGCGTTTGCCTGCAGCCTGCCTGGCGCCTCGTCGCTCTGTCTCTCTCGCACTGACGGGGCGCCCTGTGAGTGCGAGAGAGACAGCCTGCTGCTGGCCGCGACGTCCAGGCGGCAAGCGGGGCAAGTTTCGTCCGGAGGGGAAGCGGCACAGCCGCCTCAATCCGAGGGATCGCTTCCTCGCTCTGTCTCTCTCGCACTCCCACGGCGCGCCCCGTGAGTGCGAGAGAGACAGAGCGAGTTCTTCGGAATGAGTCTGCAGCAAAGCCGCGCCCCTCGCCGCTTTCGCTTGTTGCCGTTCATGGAAGAGAACTAACTTGTTGTTGAGAGGGATTGGCGGCGCGGCGGGGCGCGGCGCGCGAAGGGGCCGCCAGCACACTGAGAGGCGTTCTCGTCGCTCTGTCTCTCTCGCACTCATGGGGCGTCCCGTAGAGGTGCGAGAGGGACAGAGCGACGAACACGACTCTCGGAATCGGCGTGCGGTCGCGGTCGCGGTCGCGCCTCATTGGGTGCGAGACCCGCGACGTGGGGCCCTTGGGGGACGCTGGCAAAGGCCTGCGGTCTGTCTCTCTCGCACCCCGGCGGCACTGCGGCCTCGCCGTGCCGTGCTCCTCTTTCTTTCCACGTTTCGCGATGAAGGTATCAGAAAGCTGCACGCCCCGGACCGAATCTCTCTTGTCGGTCTTACCGTCAGGTTGTGGAAGTGGTGGCCGCGGTCGCGGTCCGCCGTGCCGGGCAGCAGCAGCAGCTTCTGCGTGACCCACATGACGCGCCGCGCCGGCGGGTTGGCGCAGAACTCGACGCTCAGCGTCACCGAGCTGCCCGCCGTGGCCGTCACCATCTGCATGGCGGGGTGCACCATCGGCCGCCCTGGAAAAAAGTGGAACACATTCAAGACTCGGCGCGAAACCACAAAGGCAGCCCTGGAAAAGGCATTAAACAAGGGCAGATTAGTACTGTGCATTTCGGCGTACAACGCGTAACAGTTGTCTTTGACTTGCCTGCCACCAACCTCTCTGAAGGTGTGGCACGGAGAAGCCCGTCGCCCCCAGCTCAAAGTTCAAGGCCTCTCTAAAATCGCCACTGATCCATTGGCACCATCGAGCTTTAGCTTCGTGCCCTTGTACGTAGTAGAGCTCAAAGCGTGTCTTTGATAGTTGTGTCGGCTGTACCCGTCGAGTCGTGGAGTTGACAGCGCACTTGCTCTGCTTGGCGGCGCGGAGGAAAGGAAGCCCCGCCCCGCCCCGCCCCGCCAACTTTCCGGCCGACCGGAGGCTGAATTTCACAGCCGATCCGATCCGCGACTGTTCGAAGGCAGCGACGCGCGACCCGCCCGTTCCGTTCACCCGCGCGGCCCCCGGCAGGCTGACTCCGGACTTTCGGCCCTCTGTCTCTCTCGCACTCATGGGGCGTCCCTGCAGGTGCGAGAGAGACAGCAGAGTTCGGAATGGCGCTGCAGCCCCAATTCCGTTCGATCACAGCGGCGAGGCGATGCGGAGCGAGGCGCGAAGCACGGCGGAGCGGAGCAGGGCGAGGCAGAGCGAGGCAAAGCGCACGTCTCGTTAACCAACTTTCCGACGGCGCGGCGGCAGCAGCGCGCTCTGCACGGCGTTCGCGACAAACAATAATTAATTCGTCGCCAAGGAACACTCCGTCGTCCCCGTCCCGTCCCGTCCCGCCCTCCCCGCTGCCGCCGACTTATCCCTGGCCTGACGACTCTCCCGGCCCGGAAGGAGGATGCCCTGCCCGCGGTGCGGCCGCCAGCCCGCCAGCAGACTGATTCCGAGAGTCGTTTTCGTCGCTCTGTCTCTCACGCACCCACTCGGGACGCCCCGTGAGTGCGAGAGAGACGGAGCGACGAAAGCGGAATCAGTCCGCGGCCCCGCCACCCCGCGCGTTCTGAATACACAGCTTAGCGGCAAATCCTTAACCATTTGCGCGGAGTTCCTTCCCGCCGCACCGCGCCCCCTTCTGCCCCTTGCGGCCCGACAGACTCGAAAGCTCCTATCGCCTCCCCCCGCCCCGCCCCGCCCCGCCCCGCCCCGCCCCGCCCCTGACGAGGGGGACGTCATGTCCGCCGCGGGGAAGTAGGCACAAGGCACAGTGCGGCGGTACGCACAGCCGGCTGATTCCAAACGGCGCCTCGTCGTCGCTCTGTCTGTCTCTCTCGCACCCGTGCGTCTAGGCGGGACGCGCCCCCTTGAGTGCGAGAGAGACAGACTGACCGCCGTTCGGCATCAGCCTACAGGGCATTTCCCGCCGTAAATTGCCTCCCGCGCTGCCTGCCTGCGAGTGCACGCCTCGCTGCGTGCGTGCGTGTGCGTGCGTGTGTAGGTGTGTAGGTGTGTGTGTGTGTGTGTGTGTGTGTGTGTGTGTGTGTGTGTGTGTGTGTGTGTGTGTGTGTGTGTGTGTGTGCTGGCGCGCGCACGTCCGTGTGAGTGAGCGCGGCTAGCGCGGCGTCGTCCCAGCTTCGCCGGCCAGACGCCAGAGGGCGCTGCCAGTCATCCGGGTCGCGTGGCTCGCGCTGCGCAGATACAGCGTCCACTCACGACAAGGCTTCAGCGCCCGCTCCTCGTCGCATCGCGTCGTCTCGTTACGACAATTTTTGAAGGAGTCAACCCTTCCCTTCTAGGGTGGCTCTAATAAGGCTCAACCGCACATGGCCAAAGAAGTTACCGCTGGCTGGCTGCTTGTATCGTGCAGGTAGCCTATCCATCATGGCCGACAGAGACAGAGAAAGGGTGATGGGCGCGCGGACGTGCGCAAGGGGCGGAACCGGCGAGTCGTTTTCGTCGCTCTGTCTCACTCTCATGGAGCGTCCCGTAGGTGCGACAGAGACCAGAGCGACGAAAGCGACTCTCGGAATCAGTCCGCAGGGCGGCGCAGAACACATACAGTGCAGCAGCGCCCCGTGGACTAATCTCGACCGGAAGTGCCCTCCGCGGTGCATCTTCGCCCCTACGCCTACTTCCGCTTCTGTCCCTATCTCTCTCCCTCCGCTTGATACGCACGGCCGGCTGGTGAGAGAGAGAGAGAGAGAGAGCCACGCACGGCGATGACGACGCTAGTTACGGCCTGACCAGCCAGTGTGGGGCCGCCCTGAGGGCGTTGCTGCACTCCATCATGAGCCGGCCCAGGCATGGCCCCTCCCCTCCCCTCCCCTCCAGCCCCGTATAAACTTGGCCAATGAAGTAAGCGGTGCACCCCCGCGGCGTGTGCGGCCCTGCCGGCCCAGCAGGCCGCTTCCGCGATGCGCCTCGTCGCGCTGTCTCTCTCGCACCCACGCGGGACGCCCTGTGAGTGCGAGAGAGAGAGAGAGAGAGAGAGAGAGAGAGAGAGAGAGAGAGAGAGAGAGAGAGAGAGAGAGAGAGAGAGAGAGAGAGAGAGAGAGAGAGAGAGAGAGAGAGAGACTGCCGCGCCCCACGTGGGGCCGCGAGGTATTTGCATGCGGTTTAATAGCTGGTGGTTGCCCCCATCACGACGGCGCGACCCTCTCTGTGCAGCGGCAGCAGCGGCCTATGCAAATGAGGCATCCGGCCGCGCGGTCCAAGGTTCGACTACCGCCGGCGGCGGCAGCGTTTGACATTATTTCCTTTTTGCGAGAGGAGCTCTGGGTCGCTCTGTGAGCAGGGCGGACGCGTTGCCGCCAGCGCCGCGCGCGACCACACTGGACTACACCACACATCAAGGGCGGGTCCAGAGACGGATTCAGGGGGGATGCCGCCAAAGTTGCCTACTCACAGTGGCACGTTGCCTACCTCTGGCGCGGTGCGCTCGCGCGTGCGGCGTGCGACACTTGAGGCCCAGCAGGCCGAACAGCGTGATCCCCGTGACGGCCGTGACGGCCGTGACGCGTCACAATAATAAATTAACTGGAGAGCCCTCGCCGTCACGAGCACCGCACCGCAACCCTTCGCCCCGCTTCGCCCGCCGCCCCCGGTCCCGCAGACGGCCTCCGAGAGTCGGCCTCGTCGTTCTGTCTCTCTCGCACCCTTACGGGACGCCCCACGAGTGCGAGAGAGACAGAGCGACGAACGACCCTCCGCGCGGTGCGCACTCGACAGCAACTTGCCAGGCACTTGCGCGCGGCTGACGGCGGGACGGCGGCGTGCCCCGCCGCTCCGCGCTCGCATTTGTCGCACGGCGAAACAAAAGTGAAGGAATGAAAAATAAAATAACGGGGTGACGGCGGGCCAAGTAAGGAGGCGGAATATATGAAACCAAGGAATTTCATAAGAGGAGCGCAACCACTTTCGGAAGCGCCACGTCGCGACGGGCGGCGGGGCGGGGCGGGGCGGGGCGGGGCGGGGCGGGGCGGGGCGGGGCAGGGCGGGGCGGGGCGGGGCGGGGCGGGGCGGGGCGGCGAATATACGGCAAGCTGTGACGCCTGCCGGCGTCCTGGCGGCGCCCTGCCGGCGTCCTCGGCGTCCTGCTACTCACCGCTGACGTTCATGTGGACGGAGTACGTGTTTCTCCAGCGCTGCAGGCTCTCGCGGTCCCGGGCGCAGAGGTACTCGCCGGCCTCCTGGTAGAGCACGCGGTCGATGCTCAGGACGGCGGGGTTGGTCCCGGACCCGGGGCCCGAGCCCGCCGTGGGCTGCAGCACGCCGTTGGGGCCCAGCTTGAGCCAGCAGGAGCCCGGGCCCCACGGGCAGTCGAGCTGCACCGAGCCGCCCAGCGTGGCCTCCAGGTGCTTGGTGTCCGGCGGCGGCATGTGCGCCGTGCCCGGGAACGGCTCCGTCGGCATCTCCTCGGGCGCTGCGGGCACGGGGAGAAGTTAGAAGGCGGTGCTTCGATGCACAGTGGGCCAGAAGACCGGTGGAGGCGGCCAAAATCCCGGACGCGTTTGGAGCTCCAGAGTCGCTAAGCAGGACTCGAACCGGGCGTGGGACCCCACCAATGGATTGCTCTTCGAACGAGGAATCGATTGGTGGGGTCACACGCTCGTTTCGAGTCCTGTCAGCGACTCTGGACCTCAAAACGCGTCTAGAGTTGTGTCCGCCTCCACCAGTCTTCTGGCAAAGGTGTTTCTGTGTACACTCACTTCGGACTTGCAGCAGGTAGGCGTTGGACGAGTACTCGGTCAGCAGGTGCCTGCAGGTACACTTGTACCAGCCGGCGTGCTCCTTGCGGACCGTCGTGAAGTTGAGGTAGCCGTCGTCGCCCTGCTCCACGGGGGGCGCCTTGTCGTCTGCAGGACAAAAGAAAATACACGACGATTTAATACGGGTTCGAATACCGACATTGAAGTGCTTTCAGGTTAGATAAGGTTAGGAAAGGTCAGGTAAGGTTAGGCAACGTTGAGTAAGGTTATAGGCAAGGTTAAGTAAGGTTAGGCAAGGTTAAGTAAGGTTAAGTAAGGTTAGGTTAGGTTATGTGAGGTTCGGTTGCGCTGGCAGTGCAGTGCGGCAGGCCTGGACGCTGCATGGAAATGGCGGGAAATGGTCTTTCTTTTGGCGCCCTTTCCATTTTCGCTCCGTTTGGCGGCGCGTCACGCTTCAGTGGTTCGCGCCGTTTTTCGCGGACCGGCGGACGGACTGCCGCTCGCTGCCGCGTGCGTGGTCCGCGGTCCACAGCAAAGAATCAAATTACAAAACGAAATAAAAATAATAATAAGAAAACAAAAATGAGGGCGCCGCCGCGCGGCGGTCCATTTATTTCCAGATTTGACCCGCGATATCGAGTGGGGACGCGAACGGCCGTATGCCGCAGAAAAATAACAAAAATAATAACAATAATGATGGTGAAAAAACGTAAAGAAAACGGCAGCGCCAAAAAAAAAGGGCGGGCGATAATGCGAACAAAAAGGCGGGAAAATGAAGAGAACAAGCGAGACGGGGAAATACGGCACGGGGTGTGTGCGTGTGTGAGGGGAAGAGAGAGAGAGAGGGGGGGGGGGGAGGGAGAGAGAGAGAGAGAGAGTTGCACACGTCCGGCTGCCGCGGCTCCCCACGGCCCGGCTCGGCATGAACGCGCTAACGACGACATCCATTACTTCTATTTCCGATTTCCCAATAGTGCCGCACGTGGTGCAGCTCACCTGCCCCCCCCTTTCCCCTCGTCCCTGGTGGTCGCCATGGCGACGACTCCAGTGCAGCGGCGCGGGGCAGCGCGGGGCCAATGTGGCTGCAATCAGCGCTGCTAATGTTTGGCTGCATATGGGCTGCTGGGGTGGCGGCCCGGCCTGCCCGCCTGGGGCCGCCCTAGGGCCGCCGGCACTGCCAGGGGTGCCAGGCTGCCGCTGTGTCCTCTCCTCCGATCCTATCTGGATCCCCCTGCCTGCCTGCCTGCCTGTCTGCCTGATCACCACCGCCACCCTCTAATCACGCGCGCGCTTCCGCATTCTATTTTTTTCCCATTCATTTTTTTCCCCCGCGACGGTTTGAAAATTGGCGCGCAAACGCGCACACGCGAGGCGCAGCAGCCCTGTGCGATCCCCCGGCCCGGCCCGCAACCCCTAATGTGATGGGGCCCCCGATCCGCTTGTGCTGTCCACTTGAGTGTAGTTAGCTTCAGCCTCGAATGTGGCTATTAGCTGGGCAATACGCTTATGACAAGCGTGTGTGTGTGTGTAAGTGTTCCGTGTGTGTAGTCTGTGTGTGTGTGTGTGCGCTGGCACGGTAGTTTTGTGTGCATAGTGGATGTGTGTGGCGATATTGCGCCGCCAACGATCAGCCTCCACTACACTGCACTGCGGGCCGCGGCGGGCCGGCAGGCAGGCCTCCGATTTGCAGTGATATGAATCCACCGACCGCGCCGCCAAACACCGCCAACGAAATCCCCCCATGCCGTCCGGTGGACGCGAGAGTACGGCCACAAACCGCCAACACGAATCCATCGCGAGACAGAACAGAAGGGCATGACCGGGGCACGGCGGCACGGCCGAGGCGCGCGTAAAAAAGGGATCATGTTCGGCCGGATCGCTGTGTATGGCGGAAAGTTGGGGGGCGTTGGAACAAACAGCATTACCCTCTCGAGCTGGGACACTGCCTGGAGTGGCCTGGCCTGGCAACAACAACAAGAGTGGGGCCCTGCTGCTGCTGAGACGGAGCCGACTCTCGGCACCAAGTCTTGCCGGAGCAGCCGCAGCCCCCAATCACGACGGAAACAATTCAAATGAAATTGTTGCGGCCTGAATCATCCTGAACCCCTTCGCGCTCGGCGTCTCGAGGTGCGCTTGTGTGTGTGTGTGTGTGTCTGTGCGCGCGTGTTTGTTAGTGCTATGTATGTTTGTGCCGTGAAAGGGGCGCGTTTGTATTAGTGTGCGTGCGAATAGCGTGACTTTGGCGCGGGCGCTCTGTGTACATGTGCGCCCGCCCCGCTCGCGCTTTGAGAGTGTGTGTGTGTATGAGAGAGAGAGAGAACGAGAGCGCGAGAGCGGGAGAGAGCGAGCGAGAGAGAGCGCTCCGCTTTATACGCTTGTTTTATTTGAAGAGGCGGGCGCGAAATGGGATAACTCGTATGTATACGTAATGTCACCCACTCCCCCTCCCCCTCTCGCTTTCCCATCAACACGCTGGAGCCGCTGGAGCCCGCTGGAGCCGCCGGGGCGGCTGTATCGGTGGCCCCCCTTTCTTCCCTCTCTGTCTCTCTCTCCCTCGGATAGCTCCAGGTAATGGCTTTACTCTGCGAGTGGGAGTGGGTCGGGGAGTGGCGGCGCGGAGCGGGGAGTGGAGGATGTGATTTCAACGGGCAGCTACACCAACGGACCTGCGAAGCACCATCTGGCGGAGAGGAGCCGGGGAGAGCAGGATGAATGCAGCCGGGAGAGCGAGAGAGAGAGAGAGAGAGAGAGAGAGAGAGAGAGAGAGAGAGAGAGCGAGAGAGAGAGAGAGAGAGAGCGAAAGGGTGAAAACGGGTCGAATGAGAACGCGGAACGAAAGCCGCGAAGAAGCCGAGTCTGCAGAGCGGTAAGTCGTGGTACCGAAACAGGAGCTGACCCCGGCGCCGAACCCGGGCGACTCGGCCGCGACCGGGGATCGAACCATCGAACCCGCACCCGCCCCCGGACTCATATATATTACCGTGATTATATAAAACGCCACGACGCTAAGCCCTGGGCGCGCGGCGGACCGTGACACCGTCGGGACGCTGCGACCGGCCTCTCATGGCGCCCATGGCGCCAGAGCCGCACCAATGCCACCGAGGCCCTGTTCGAAATGCAAGGGGATCTGAGAGAGAGAGAGGGGGGGGAGGGGGGCGGCTTCCATCGGGGCTGGCTCAGCGACTGGCCAGGCGTAAAATGAGACGTAGGGCAGGGCAGCGCGGCCAGGGGCGGGGCGGGGCGGGGCGGGGCGGGGCGGGGCGGGGCGGGGCGCGGCGGGGCCACCGGGGGATGATTCTATGGGGGGCAATTGCACCGCCAGCAGTGCTGCCAACCGAACGGCCGAACGGCGCCGCCAAAACGCAATCCATACCTGGCCAATGCCACCCCCGCTCACTCACCCACACAGTCACAGACAGACAGACAGACAGACAGACAGACAGACACAGACAGACACACACACACACACACACACACACACACACAGACGGATGGATGGACGGTCGCATGCATCCGCGACGGTGTTTACCATGTCAACGCTGCCCGGGACTGTATTCGGTTCGGTGCCGCGGCGTTTGGGTGGGACAAAAGCATCATCGCTCGCCGGTCGGTGCGACGTCACCCAGAACGGTGACGGCGCACAGTGGGCCAGAAGACCGGTGGAGGGGGCCAAAACTCCAGACGCGTTTTGAGCTCCAGAGTCGCTAAATGGGACTCAACCCCGGGTCCACTCCGTCTCGGCTCCAGGTCCACTCGGGGTCCGCTGCGGCCCCGCTGCGGTCCGGCACAACCCTTTGTCTCTGCGCGACATGTTCACGGCGACCGGCGAGGCGGCCCGGCCCAGGCCCGGCCCAGGCCCGGCCCAGGCCCGGCCCGCGAACAGGAAAAAGGCGTGGAGGGGGTGCGGCCCGGCCAGCACACAGCCTGCAGAAGAGCAGCGCGTCAGAGGTGAGAGACGGCGGCGCGGACAAAAGCCTTCCCTAAACTGAGTCTGTAGGGCTGGAGGCTGCGGCGGACTCATGCCGAGAGTCGTTTTCGCCTCTCCGTCTCTCTCGCGTCTTGACGGCACGCGCTTGAGAGCGAGAGAGACAGAGCGAACAAAACGACTCAGTCGGCTGCGTGGACGTGGAGTGGAACAGCGGTGGAGGCGGAGCGGGAGGGAGAGTGGGTACGCGGCGCGGAGGGGCAGGGCAGCGCCGCCGAGACACATATGCTGACCTGCCGGCAGCCCCGTCTGACTCTACTGACGGCCTGGAGGCTGACTCCGAACACTCTGTCTCTCTCGCACCCTCGCTGGACGCCCCATGAGTGCGAGAGAGGCAGAGCGACGGAAACGACTCTCAGTCCGCAGGGGGAGCGCGTGGGGTCATCACCGTGCGGACGGACTCCGACGTGGGGCGGAAGAGGACGAGCCGGACAAGTAAATAATCATAAAAACAGCAATATGATTTGGCCAGCCGGCGCGCCCCACCCGGCCCGCCCTGGGGCGTGTACAAATCGAGTGAGGGAGGGAGAGCGAGGGTCCCCTCGGACACATTGATTCAAACCAGTGCGCGAGAAGAGAGACAAACAGGGAGAGAGACAGAGGCAGCGGCCGAAATGACGAAGGCAACGGGTTGGGCTGGGCTGGGCGGCGGTGGAAAAACCCAGAGCCGCGTTGCCGCACTCGGAGCGGGGACTCTATTCGCACCAGGCCGTGTTGGTGTTTGATTCGAGTCGTACTTGCAAACTGGAGCTTCAAACTTGCCCAGCCCAGCGCGGCAGTGTAGGCACCAGGCCCGGCCCGCTGCCCCCAAGGAGGTCAAGCACCGCATCTCGCAGTGTTTGCACCTCGGCGCGGCCTCCACCGCGAGGCGCGGCGCCCGGGGCGGCGCCTGCCTCGGCACTCGGCGGCCCGCGTGCCTCAACACAAACAAGACCCTCCTCCACCACGCCGCCACGCCTCGTCAGCCAGCCTCCAGTCTTCAGCCTCCGGGCCGACCCTCGGCCACCTCGTAAAGAGATGCAATGGCCCGTCCAGGCAAGGCGGAACGCGCACAGTGGGCCAGTACCGGTGGAGGCGGCCAAAACTCTAGACGCGTTTTGAGCTCCAGGGTCGCTAAACAGGAACCGGGCGTGTGACCCCACCAATGGATTCCTCGTTCGGAGAGCAATCCATTGGTGGGGTCACACGTTCGGTTCGAGTCCCATTTAGCGACTCTGGAGCTCAAAACGCGTCTGGAGTTTCAGCCGCCTCCACCGGTCCTCTGGCCCACTTGTGAGCCGAGGCCCATACGAGTGCAACGCCACCGCGCCCCTGGTGGCCGAGTTGGCAAACTACTTGCATTCGCTGGCCGAGGCCGGGGCTGCCGAGGGCGTGGCCGGCGTGGCCGCGGCCCGGGGATTGACTTATGTGCATGCGGTGGAGGAGGCCGTGGCGTGGCCGAGGCCGGGCCGAGCCGGGCCGGTGTAGCGGTGCGCGCTTACCCTTCCTACCAAGATGGATCGCCATCGCCCCGTGGCTAAACAACCGCCATCCCGCCATTCCCCACGCCCCGCCCCGCCCCGCCCCGCCCCGCCCCGTCCCCTCCGCGGCCTCCACCGGCGTCGTCGCCGCCCCCGCCGGCACACTCACTGGAGCCGGTTGACGCCCGGGCCCTGCTGCAGGCTGCTTCCGAGCGTCGTTGTCGTCGCTCTGTCTCTCTCGCACCTACACTGGCGCGTAGTGGGAGTTTTCGGCTGCTTCCGTGTGGCAGTGTCGGCGACCGACAGAAGGACTCGTCGTCTCGTCTGCCCCGCGGCGCGCGTGTTCGCCTTCGTCGCCGAGACCCGCAGACTTATTCCGAGAGTCGATTTCCTAGCGCTGTCTCTCTCGCACCTTGAACGGGGCGCCCCGTGAGTGCGAGAGAGACAGCGACGTGACCGACTGTCGGAATCCGTCTGCATGGCGGCGTGCCTGCGGCGTGTCGTTCTCCATGTGCAGGAGGCCCGTCGCCGTGCCGTACCGCCGTGCCCCGGGGCGCCACGAGGAAGGCCTCCGACAAGGAGGCGAGAATTGGCGGCGGCGGGCCTCGCACACTGATTCCGAGAGTCTTCGCTCTGTCTCTCTCGCACTCGTGGGGCGCCCCGGACAGGTGCGAGAGAGACAGAGCGACGACTCTCGGCATGAGCGCGCTGCGGTGGCGGGGCACGACGCGCCGCGACGTGCGGCTGGTGCGCAGTGGAGTGGCGCGCAGTGCTGCGGAGCGAAAGATTTAGCCACTCACTGCAACGCAGCCAGCGCGGCCCCGTCCCCGTACTTGAGCTGCTGACACGTGCAAGTTGAAATAATGAAAGTAATGATTCCGGGAGGGCGAAACTTGGACGGCCAGGCCGGGCGGGGCGGGGTGCACGGCCGACGCACGGACCCAGGCGCGCCCCCACCATATTTCTACGGCCCCCATTGTTATGGAGCGAAGCATACAAACGCCCTAGAGACGTCCGCCCCGCCCCGCCTGCCTGCCTGCCAGCCTCGTCCGGGCGGCTGCTGGCCGGACTGCCCGCCACGCCGCCCAGCGAGGAGGGAGGAGCCCTGTCGGCCTGTCTCTCTCGCACCCACACAGGACGCCCCGTGAGTGCGAGAGAGACCTCTTATTCAGAATCAGACCGCAGCCCCCCTCGGCCAACACCGCGGCCCACGGTCGGCAGCGAGGGGCTGGTTTGGCGTGTGGGACTACCCTGTCAACGGTCGCTACCCCGCGCTCGAGGGACTCACGGCGGTAGCCTTACGGACGGGCCCCGCGCGTGGAGTATTGACAAGCTGGTCCACGCTGCAGCGGCTGGCAGCGACGCTCTTTGTCCCTGCAGACTGATTCCGAGAGTCGTTTTCGTCGCTCTGCCTCTCTCCCACTCATGGAGGCATCCCGTATAGGTGCGAGAGAGACAGACCGACGAAAACGACTCTCGGAATCAGTCTGCTGCAGGGGCCCTGTCTCTCTCGCACTCACGGAGTGAGCCCGGACACGCTGCGAGTGCGACGGAGACGGCGAGAACACTCCCAATCGGACTCCGCGTCGCGCCACGCCACTAGTGCCGGACTGGACTCTTCCTTTGGAAAGCTGATCGGCGACGCAAGGAGACGCCGGAAAAGAGGGAGCGGGAAAAAGACGCGAGACACATAAAAAGTGGGGAAGGAAATGGGAAGGCGAGACAGAGACAGCCTGTGCTGTGCGCCCTCTCGCTAGCCCTGCTAGCCCTGCTAGCGCGCCGCGTCCCTAAACCTACTCCCCCCACTCCGGCGCGCAAAAGCGATTTTCGCGGGCGAACTTAAACCGGTTTACCGAATCCCCTTGAACGGCCGCCCCGCAGCGCCCTGCCGGGGCCCTGCCCCGCCGCGACGCGCCGGCTTCGCCTCGCTTCGCCTCTCCAGCGAGTCCGCATCTCCGGCTCCAGCGTACCAGACGCTGGAACGACTGGAACGGATTGTTGCATGGGCCCCTCACGCCGCGCCGCGCAGAGCAGAGCATCTTGACTGCGCGCGGACGTGCCCGCCCCGAGCCGTGCCGGGGGCGGAGCCAGGGGGGGGGAGGGGGGGGGGGCGTCGCCCCCTGAAGGCACCTGAAAGGTAGGCGTCGAAAGTCCCTGTTAAAGAAGGTAGCTATGACGACTTCCCCTTCCCTGAACCTGTCTCTGGATCCACCCTTGAGCTGCGCCCAGCCGGGCCGGGCCGGGCCGGGACTAGCCCGGGGCATTCTCCCATATTTCCCCATTGCTCGGGACGTGTGGGGCGGGGCGGGCAGAGGAAAAGTCCCCTCGACCTAACGGGCCTAGCCCGCCTGGCCCGCCCGGCCCGCCTAGCCCAACGCGATTGCAGTGTCTTGCGCCAGATGGCGCTGCAGACTGAGAGTCGTCTTCGTCGCTCTGTCTCTCTCGCACTCAGGGGGCGTCCCCTGTCGGTGCGAGAGAGACAGAGCGAGACTCTCGGAATCAGGCTGCTGGTGGCCGCGTTCGGCGGCGACCTCGCCGACGACGAGCTTGGCGTCCCTGAGGCGTAAGGCGATAAGTCGTGTGTATGCAGGACCGAGGTGCGAAGTGCTGACTCGGCCGAAGGGGCGGCCCGCCGAGATGGAGAAAAGAGGAGGGGGGGGGGGAATCTCGTTGTGTTATCCGGGGCCCATCCTATATCCTGGACCTGGGCGATTGGATGACCGTCTTGTGGTGCGGTGTGCCTTGTGCTGTGGGGCCAGGCCAAGGACCAGGCCAAGCCCGCCCCGGGGGGCAAGCCAGCCAGCCTAGGACCGCCAGAAGGATCCTCTCGCAAAGCCTCTTCCTGGCGGGCACGGCACGGCACGGCACGGCACGGCAAGCCACGGCCAGGCGTAGTCAAATCAAAGTCCCTGGGTTTGGGCCCTCTTTTTTTTTTGGACGTGTGTGCGCGTGTGCTGGTAGACGACAGGGCCCAGCCCCAGTCGAGCCCCACGGCACAAGGTGTACCGTATTGAAAGTCGGCCGCAAACACGGACACGCCGACACAGACGCACGGACACACAGGAACCGACACGCCGACACACCTACACAAAGACACACCTACACACCGACACACTCACCTTTCTGCCAGACGGGACTGGACGGCGGGTTGGAGTCCACGTCGCACTTGAGGGACAGCGGGCTGCCCTCCCGGACCGGCAGCCCGAAGCCGGGCGACCGCGTGATGTCGAAGGACGGAGAATCTGCAACACAAAGCACACGTCAGGACACTGCCAGGTCGTCTCCAGTGCACAGGAAAATGTGGGCCAGCAGACCGGTGGAGACGGCCAAAATTCTACACGCGTTTTGAGCTCCAGAGTCGATAAACTGGGCTCGAACCGAACGTGTGACCCCACCAATGGGTTGCTCTCCGAACGAGGAATCCATTGGTGGGGTCACAGGATCGGTTCGAGTCCCATTTAGCGACTCTGGAGCTCCAAACGCGTCTAGAATTTTGGTGGCACACTGTGCAGCGGCGCAGCGCAGCACGGCACAGCGCAGCGCGCCTGCGAAGTCCGGGGTAGGCCCGCCCGCCACACACCGGAGTTCGACGGGACAGCCTGGCGTGCAGGCGCTCGACCCGCCTGAGTCGAACAGCGCTCCGTCGCTCTGTCTCTCTCGCACCCCTGCGGGGCAACCCGCGAGTGCGAGAGAGAGAGAGAGAGAGTGCGAGAAGGAAAAGAGAGAGAGAAAAGAGAGAGAGAGAGAGAGAGAGAGAGAGAGAGAGAGAGAGAGAGAGAGACCAGAGCGACGAAAGCGCCGTTCAGCCTCTACCGCTCGGCTGGCCGTCGTTAGCTGATAATTGTTTGCCCTGCCGTCTTTTGTTGACGCCGTGCGCTCTCTCTCTCTCTCTCTCTCTCTCTCTCTCTCTCTCTCTCTCTCTCTCTCTCTCTCTCCCTCTCTCTCTCCCCCCCTTTCCTCCCCGGTACAGGTGCGCGCCGTGGCCCGGAACAGCCCCCCCCTCCAAATGATCCCCGGGGCCGCGGCACAAGTCACGGCGACTCAGTGTCACCGATCCCGGGGGCCCGGGGGCCCGGGGGCCCGGGCTGGCGCGCAGCTAACTTTTTACGCACCAAAAAGTCCAGAGGTTGGGGGGGGGGGGGGGGGGGGGTCGCCGCGACTCTACCTATGGCAGCCACTACACCAGCAGCGGGTGGGTCCCCGCCGGTCCCCGCCGGTCCCCGGCGGTCCCCGCCACCCGGCCGCCTCGACGGATCCACTTGGTGATTCCCCTTGACGTGCCCGCCGCCCCGCCGGCCCCGCGCCGCTACAGCGCTATTACTGCGTCATGGATCATTCAGGGAGGACGGCGAGCCCCCCCCCCCCCCCCCCCCCCCTCGCCACCACACCGCAAGGCCGGCGCGCTCTATACGACGAGGCACGAGGCAAGCCATGGATCCCCTTAGAAACCCCGCTCTGTCTCCTCCGGTCGCCCCGTCTCCGTCTCGGCACCGCTCTTCGCGACGCTGGCCGCGCGCGCGCCGTCCAACACAAATAAAACTACAATCCCCCCCCCTCCCACTGTCAGCGAAAAGCCGCGCTCGGTATTCGAACCCGCGATCCCTCGGGCGTGCGAGCTATGTCCCTCACTTCTAAGAGGACAACTATGCTGGGCTTTCTGACCCTCTTACAGTTGACCGGTCGCAGCGACGAGCTGTATGATGATCGACCTCAACAAAAGAATTTTCATTCCGTACCGCAGTTGGTGGAAAAAAAAGTGTCCATGGACGTTTAGTGTGTGCAGACACACGCTTTGTAGGCCAGCGCCGACGCGAGGGGGTGGAGGGGGAGGGGGGATGCGACTTGTTGTATTTCAACGGCTGGGCGCAATTCCGGTGCAGCGCGCGGGGCGAGCGGGGCAGCGGCTAGCCGGGCACTTGACTGCCGGGCTGGCCGACCGACCCGGCGATAAAACACTTTGCTTCCCCCTCCCCCTTCCCCCCTCCCCTCCCCTCTCCCGGTTCTAATGATTGATTTCCCAGCGGGCTGCGAGGCCGGGCCGCGCCGTGCGTTTCATCTGCTTTAAGAGGTAAATTAATCTTCCTTCTGTAAAACATCAGACAACCCCTCCCTTCCCTCCGCACTGGCCCTGTGCTGCCACACCTCCCCTTTGGGAAGTCACATTATGCCCCCCACCCTCCCTCGCCGCCCCGCCGGCCTGTCGCTCTGTCTCTCTCGCACCCCTGGGGCGCGCCGCGTGAGTGCGAGAGAGACAGCGTTTGTCGGACGCCCTGCCCTTTCCGGGGCACCCGTCTCTCTACCCGTTTGATGAGATGATAATTAACGCGCCAATTTTGAGCGCTAATGGAAAATTAATCAGCATTTGATTTTTTTTGCGACGGGCATACTGTTTTTTGTTCCATTTCTTAAAAAAACGGCTTTTGCTGCAATAATCATCATTGTACCAAGCAAGCGATGACCGCATTTCATTATTGGAAAAGGGCTTCGCCGCGTGCTTTTGGACTGACCTCACATTGCCACGCTTCGCCAACACTTTATCCTTTGTAGTTCTTATGCATTGCTTAGCTATGCACCAAAAACTCAGTGAGTATTCTTTCCGGTGTGTACAGCAATTGCCACATTCATTTATTACCGCCCGAGAGTTTTATCGTTTCATTTCGAACGAGGAGATACACAAAACGAAAAATCAAAACGAGAAACACAGAGAGATAGAAAAGGAAATAAAAAAGACAAAGGCGTCACGATGATACCAAAGTGCCGGGGACTCACTATTTCTGTCAGGGGCCCGCCCCGCCCCGCCCCGCCCGCGATCCGCTGAGCAGTTCAATGGAACGGAACAAGTCCTGTGACGCTGCCAACCTCGGGAAGCGGGATGCAAGAGGAAGACTGGGCGTGACAGGAAAAGAGAGAGAGAGAGAGAGAGAGAGAGAGAGAGAGAGAGAGAGAGAGAGAGAGAGAGAGAGAGAGAGAGAGAGAGAATGACACAATTGGGAGAAAAGAGGGATGGGAGAGGCAAAAAATAGAAAGAGAAGGACGCAGGAAAATCGACAGCACACGACGACACTGCACCGCCTGCACTGCTGCACTCGTGGCAAGCACGCTGGAAACGCATTCGCTCTTGGCCGCCTTTTTGCAGCCTGGAAAGTTGGGGGGGGGGGACCCCGAGTCCTTTTCCAGGCCTCCAGCTCCAGCGCGGCGACCTCACGCGGTACGGTTCATTCCGAACGGGTATTTACCCTCACGAGTATGAAAGTCCCCCCAGCAGTGTAGTAGCCTAGTGTATCCTCGCGGTGGGTGGGACAATAACTCGTAAGCGGTGTGGTGGGCGAAACCCCTTCGCAGAGAGGTTGGGGTAATATTACCGGGGGGTGATCCGAAGGAAGGAGAGGGGGTATTGCATGATAGGGGGCTAAATTATCGCCCGCGGCGTTTTTCCCACCCTCGGCGCGTGACGCGGCGCGTGTTCGAATCCGCGGGGCAGTAATGATTGCGTTACACTCACACTCTCTCACACACTCACACTTACACACACTCACACTTACATAGACTCGAATCAATCTGTGTGTTCGCGTACGCTCTCGCGGGAGCCGAGTTTTCGGCTACGGGCGTCGCCGTAGTGTGTGTGTGTGTGTGTGTGTGTGTGTGTGTGTGTGTGTGTGAGCGCGAGTATTTACCGCACAATGCCCGTCCTTCAGACTCCCATTAACAGCGTTAAATGACGCCGTCGACAGGCAGATGTGTGCACTTCTGATTGCTGGCGGTATGGTTCACCAATGCGATGCAAATCAGGCAAACGGGGTAAAGCCTCTCTCGCATGTCAAGGGGGTCGTTATTGAGTGCGAGAGAGACAGAGTGACGAAAACGGTCGAGCCAGTTCTGGGGCAGAGAGGCACCTTCCCTCACGTCCCCCAGATCGCTGCTGCGTCTCCCAAGCAGCACGCCCCGCGCGCGGCGTGCCCCGGGTTCGAACACCGCAGCCGCGCCCGCTGTTTTTCGTTGTTGTCGTTTTTACACCCCACTGACCTTTTTGTTTTTACTACGGCGTTGGAATGGTACAATCTCGGAGCAGAGTCCGTTTGTCCGTCCGTTGGTCCGTCCCGACACGGCAACGCGGGGCCACGCGGGCCGCAACAAATAGCGCGCCGCCGAAGAGAACGACCCCCTTGCTTCGACTCTTGGTCGCTCTGTCTCTCTCGCACCCATGCGGGACGCGCCGTGAGTGCGAGAGAGAGAGAGACTCTCGGAATGAGTCCGCCGCGGAGGGCTTCAAGGAGCCCCCCTCCTCCCGCCGCGCCCGCCCCGCTTTACGATGTGTAATTTGTACGAATACCGGGCGGTCCGACGCCGAGACCGCGAGGCGAACGAGATCTCGAACGAGATCTCGAACGAGATCTCGAACGGGATCGAAAACAAAGAAGGCGAGGGTCGTGGGGCCGTCGGGGCCGGCAGGCCACTGAACAGCGCTCTGTCTCTCTCGCACCCCGACGGGGCGCCCCGCGAGTGCGAGAGAGACAGGGCGAGCCGCTGTTGTTCGGGATCAGCCAGCGCGGCGGGGAGAAAGGATCTCTCATTGTACCGAATCATTCCTGTCAAAGACATTTCGATTACTGGGGCCTCAGCCGCCGAGGCTGCCGCTGCCATGCCCGCCCGCCCCAGCGTCCCTCGCGGAATATGTTTGAGTGCTCCGTAACAAAGAGAAGGCAGCGATAGGCCGATACAAGCAGCGGCTGCGAAAGGGGCGGCAAAAATACAAAAAAAAGGAGGATGGGGGCAAGGAAGAAACAGACCAAGTTGGTGGAAAGTTTAGATCACGAGATGACGCTCGCGAGGGAGGGGGTGGGGGTAGCGTGGAACCAAACAGCACGCCACGCCGCCGCGCGCTCTGTCTCTCGCGGGGAAATAGGGCGGGAGGGAGGGGGGGGGGAGGGGGGCTCCTCTCATGAATATTGACGACCTATTTGAGAAAAGGGTAAGGGCGGAATATTTTGCGAAGGCCCAGGAATGTATCGTATGAACACAGGAGGGCCCCGGGGCGGCGGCAGGCAAGGGGGGAGGGAGCAGGGGGTTCTTGTCTGAGTGGTGGTTTGTACGGGAGGGGGGACCCGCTGGATTTCGCGGTGATATTTCCCCACCACTGATATGTGTTGTGTTGGAGGAGCAAACCGGCGACCGCGCCTTCCCCTTCGCCTTCGTCATAAAATGGAGAGAAGCGGGCCAAATAAAGAGAACAGACGGGGGGGGG